GCCTTAAAATTCTCTATAATTGTCCATTAAAGTTCATCTCCTTGCATTTTAAACAAGTTAATAAGCCATGTGATAATTACTGTGGAGATATCTCAATATAATCCTGTCATTTTCTTTTAATCCTTAAGCCACGTGATAAATTATTATTATTATTATTATTATTATTATTATTATTATTATTATTATATATTTTAACTTTTAAATAAAAACGTTAAAACAAATTAAAAAGAAAAAGATAGTAATAAGATAAAAAATATTTTCTTATCATCTAAGAGGGAAGTGAGTTTTGATTCGGTTATTCTAATTGATATGGGACAAGATAAAAAATAAATTAAGGATATATTAATTTATTATCACACTGTATATTTACAACGTTTTTTTGCTACACCAAAATCCTGATTTAGATAATTTTTATAAAATTTCATTTGAATTATAACTCCACATTTTTAAATAAAAAAATTATATTCTTAATCTTGATAAAAAAAATTAGTTTCATGTTGACTAAGATCATAAAAAAAAAGACGAGAAAAAAAAAGCAGAAATATGAACTTTATTACATAATTAATTAATTAATAAAACAATTTTACTGAGCTTACTCATATTGTCATTCATTTCATTCGTTTGGAAAACTTGACTTGTATAATCAATTTACTATTCTATTAAAATTTTCGACTAAATTCACTATTCATAAATATTTAGTCTCAAGTGCGAAATGTGGAATCATGATATGTACATCCACTAGAGTATATACAAATCTAATCTTAAAAATTGATTTTAATCAAATGGTAAAGTTTTGAAGTAAATTTGGGAGATTGAATTATTTGAAGAAAATGTGAAATGAAAGCTTAATTTATCATTTATACAAACTTAATAATTAACTACTAATTAACACGATTAATATTAACCAAATTAAGGTAATGTTGTTGCTAAGCCACCTTCGGATAGTGAGTTCTCAACTTGAAAAAAAAAAAAAAAAAACTGTCTGGCAAAGTCGCACATTTTTTTCTTGAATGAGTAGCTTGAGGCGTGGCACCCCTTTACAGGTCTTTCGGGTTTCTGGATATCAATAAAGATGACATCACGACTGTGTAATGACATTGAAGAATACGTTAAATGGGATTTTTATACAAAATAAAACATGATTATGATGGTTGTTTTGTGGATAAGCAAGGGATGGATTGATTAGCAAGGCAAAGCCTGAGTTGCTTTTGATTAATATAATGCTTTTAGGGTGGCCAATAATTGGACATTCGTGTGTTTTATTCGCTCTCAGAATGCTCATCAGAAGCATATATCACCCCACAAACAAGTACCAAAGAAATTTAATTAGTCTTTTTAGAAACAGTCTTGTTCAGCACAACACTGATTAAAATAATATTCAAGATAAGACAGTGAAACGCGTTAGTTGCACCAAATCCCAAATTAAACTTCTGCCTAACAATTGTCTAGGAGTAGTTTGGTACAAGCCATTTGGTTAGTGCCTTTATTCTAACCCTTAATTATATCATCTCTTTTCCTGCAACACGTGTACAAAATCTCATCCATAACATTCCTATAACACACCGCAAGCATTAGATCAATATATAAGTTGGTTTGGTAGTGATATAACCATTTTTGAGTTCAAGAGTGGTAACTAACTGTTTAAGGAATCTACATAGAAGGTCAAAATAATTGAGGAGGGAAACCTTTCTGCAATTGCATCACCGCAGGATAAACGTTTTTCTAACCAGACATGATTCCTCTTTTCTGGTGCTGCCAAGAATAATTGGCAGCAGGCCGCGAATTTTGGTGCCATGATCATGAGATTTGGTTCACATTATTCGAATTGTGACAACAGTTCTGCATCGAAGTTGTGATGACTCGGCTATTGCTTTGCCTATCCAAAAGGTCAAACATTCATGAATCATAACCGGTGAAAGATGTGTGCATATAAAAAATAAAAATCTGCATAATATGTTATGCGTTTATTTAATGTAAGAAAACCATGTTGGGAAGCATAGCAGCATCATTAATGAGTGTTGTTTGTCTTATGCGGTCACCTGGTATAACTAATCTTTGCTATTATATATACTAATGCTTGTGCTAAGAGCTGAACTTTCCATCAAATTATTATAATAATATGGTCGAAATGAGGAAGTGAAATGCAAATTGGCTTCTTCACGAAACATGAAACATGGTTAATGAACCGGAAGTCAAATTGAATACTGATTATATTAACTATGAAGAGGAGCTGCATAAAAGTCTCATCACATCATATAAGTCGTATCTTCTCACATGGATTAATAACAAGATTTTAAAGTGGAAATCCTAGTAACCCCACATGAAAATACAAGATTCGGAGCAAATCTATAAGAAAGGTAGAAAAAGAAACAGTTGTTCTCACCTAGTAAAGATGGTTTCTGACCAAGATAACTTTAAATAAGCAAAAGGGTTGTGCAGCATTACAAGGATACAAAAGCAATGAATATAATAACCTATCATGCTTTTCACTTCTTGACCATTTGTCACCAACCTAATTAACCATGCCGTTAATAATTTTTATGGAGAGAGGAGGGGTCTATCTCAGTCTCACTGTCACATAGGTTTTCAACTGTACATAGTTGTGATAAAACGAAAGCAATACTCTATTGTTTCTTTCTTGGCTGAATGCGAAAAATCATTGTACTGGACCAATTGCATTGTTGTTAAATATATTGGGAGAGAGTTAAGACAGCAAGGCCTGTCTCTTTCAGGGAGACCAAGTTCTCTGGCTTGTCATTTGGATACGAGGCTGATCAGATTTTTCACAGATTTTGTTTCCAATTTTCCATTCTCGCCACGGCTATTTTATTCTAAACTTTGTTGCTGAGAATTTAACATGCTGTTCTCAAAGCCATGGAAGCAGTTGAATAAGGTCGTGGCCAAAATGGGGTGTGTAGTATGGCAATAATGCAGGGCAATGTACTGTAGAATATTATTATTGTTCAGAGAGAAAAGAGGGTGGGCAATGTGGATGAAACCTGGCCACACCGTCTGAAGGAGGAAGTGAGTCCAAAACCCTTTCTTTCATACATTGAGAAACAAATAAATCAATACAAAATAGAGGGCCAGATGATAGAAAGTGCGATGAAAACAACCACATGTCTTACTTTTTCTGTATCTTTGGCTTCCATTTGGGTGCATCACCCCCTAATGATTGCCAAGAATAAAAACAAACAAGTTTGGCCCCATTTCAGGAACCAATCAACAGAGGCCAACTCCATTTCTCCATCCAATCGCCCATTTCCATTCATCATCAATGCCTTCCAATTAAAGAATAAAGTTTTTCTCTCCATGGAATAAACCCATTACTCTATCAACTCATCTACCTGTTTTTCAAACCCCGTGCCCAAAAGATGGGGAAACTTATTTCTGTAACAATCATAAAATATAAACCAAAGCATGAACATAACAATCCTTGCAGGTAAAGGTAAGATACACAGTGAAATTTAACATTATCATAATAAACATTCCATGGCTTTTATCACATGCTAGCCATTGGCCATGGACTCATTAGGCCTGTCATTCACGCCCAGCCAAAAAAAGAACGGATGAAAGAGAGAAAACTTTATCATTTAGCGTGACCAAGTCATGACTACTCTGACCATCAATCTTGACCGTTGATGAGACACAGCAATGCCTCTGCGCTCCTTGATTCCAATATTTCTGTACCCTCAGTGCTGTTTGATTTCTGAGAAGGGTTAAAATTTGCACTTTGTGTAATAAAGAGTCTGGTTTTTTATTTGCAGGTAAGAGTTAAAGATATATAGTTTTACCTCCAAAAATAAAATACCCAGACAGAAGTAAACTTAATTAACACAAAGTATCCAAATATGTGACTAAATGTAATGTTGCACCAAATGAAAGTTGGACACTTTGGTTAACCTAATCATGCTTTAATATTTTATTTTGTGTCCTCTTTTCTCTTTCCCCTCTCTCTCTCTCTCCTTAGGTTATATCTTTGCAAGCAAGTTAAGATGATTGAGGCAACATGGGAGATCTTATCCGTAAGAGGTACAAAATAATAGTGATTAATTGGATGTACATGTTTTGAAAATGGACTCCTCGTTCTTCATTTAATTACGAATGGTTTTGTGCCTCCCGTGACTTACAAATTTTAAAGTTTGTTCAACCGAAATTTAGAATAAAAACAGAGGATTGAGGCCATGAGGGGCCGAAATTGAAAGAAAAAAAAATGAAAAATTGAGGAATTAGTTAGAACTGGGCGAGAATACGATAAAATTAATTAGGCAAGTTGTCCACTTGCCCATCTTGTCCAATAAAAAAAAACCTCAACTTTCCTCATGGGAGGTGCCATGTGAGGTCTCAATCTCTCCCTATTTTATTATCATCATATTCAAACCACATCCTTCTTGTTGGTTAATCTTTCATTTCGGTTTATTAGTCAAACTAAACTCAAACTTAACTTCCCACTACCACCACATCTTCCTTTCATTACCCCTCAAATTAATTACACATTTCTACAGTTTAGGTTCATACACTGTTTTTTCTTATGTCTTTTAACAACAAATTCAAAACATTAACATCAATTTTTTAATTAGATAATACTATTCTAACCATGTCAATAGATATGGGGTAATAAGAAGTTTCATAATCTATGTTGTCAATAATTAAAATAGTATATTATTATTTTATATATAGAATGAAAATAGTATTATATTTTTATTTTACAATATTGTACCATCATTATTATTATTATTATTATTATTATTATTAAAAAACAGCAAAAAAACGAGGGGAAAGAAAATAGTAGGGGCAATAAATGTGAGTAACTGAAGGACGCGTGGTTCCCCGTGACTTCAACTCCTTTTATACTCTTTCTTTTCTTCTATTTTCTTCCCCTCACTTCCCTTCTAAACACCATCAACTTCTCCTTCTTCTTCTTCTTCACAGTTCATTGTTCATTCAAATTCTTCTTCTTTCTTCACCTCCACCAACAAATCGTTCGATTGGAATTATCTATGGCGTCTTTCGAGCCCAACGTAGATTCAAGTAATTCAGAAACGTCGAGAGAATCCAATCAAAAGAAGCGCAGGAAAATCGGAGACCACGCCACCGATAACAATTCCGCCAACGCCGTCCCTTGGAGATCCGAGGCGGAGCAGCGGATCTACTCCCGCCGCCTCGTCGAGGCTCTCCGCCGGACTCCATCATCGCAGGCCAAACCTAGAGCCGCCGGCCAAGTCCGCGAGACCGCAGACCGAGTCCTCGCTGCAACCGCCAGAGGGCGAACGCGATGGAGCCGCGCGATTCTCGGCCGGTGGAGGAAGCTCCGCACGCAGCATAAGAAGGCGAAGAAGGCATCGTCCACCGGATTGAAGAGAACGAGGATCAGCTGCGGAGAGAGGAGGAACCGGTTAGCGGCTGTGCAGAAGAAAGCGCGCGTTCTCAGCCGGTTGGTTCCCGGTTGCCGGAAGGTCTCGTTCCCGAACCTTCTGGAAGAAGCCACGGATTATATCTCCGCCTTGGAGATGCAAGTGCGAGCCATGACGGCTCTCGCCGAATTACTCTCAGGCGGCGCTCCGGCTGGTCTCGATGGTGGCGCGTTGTGTTGACCGCGCGCGTTGGTTACAACGACCTAGGCTATATTGCGCCAGGTGTTTCTTATTTTTTAATTATATCGTTTTTATTGGTTTCCATATTCATGTATTTTATCGTGTACACTGTACATGCCATTTGCTTATTCCCCCTTTGAGTTCCACTACCATCTCCACCTTCCTCTTTTTTTTTTTTTTCTTTTTTTCTTTTATTCTTTCATTTTCAATTGAATGTGAACATGCTACCTACTTTTATTCTTTTCTTAACCACTTCCTTCATAAATAAACAACTCTTCATACATATTTATCTAGAAAACTAAATAAAAGACCACTTAAACTTATTACTTAAATAATCATTTTCAGATGTCGATAGTTTCTATCGAACTTTTCAATTCCTCGTCAATGCTTCCACAGAGTAGTTGTTAAATTGTAATGTCTACCACTTTAGTTTTGTTTGTTTTTCCACTTTTTGATGTCTTCCTAAATCTAACTCGAAAGGAAATTCTGTACAGTGCTCTTCTTTTTTTAAGTATGTAAAAATCTTTCCGCTTGCTATTTTAAGGTTTATTACAAAATTTAAAAAAATAAAAAACACAATTCAATTTTTTTAAAATAAGAAAAGCAAATTACGCTTTTAATCTTCCTCCATGGTCACTTTCAGCCTTTTATCGTTTGAATTTGAACATGATTAGAAACTTCACCTTTATCGGGATTTGTACTTCGAAGAAGTCATCAACTCAGATAGTTGCAATCACACTCCGCTTACCTACAGAAATTTTCGTTTATGCTTCAAAAGTGAAAAATGAAAAACATCTTCTATTTACAGAGTTTCTTCTTTCTGTGGGTTAATTTTGAACATGACTCAGTGAGACAAGATTTTAAAAATATATTTATTTCGTACTGAATGCCTTTTCTCTTCCTTCTATTTAAAATAAAATATCTTGAAAATAAGTGGCCGATTCAAATTTAATTACAGTAAAATCCAAGAATGTTTGGGATTTTATTCAGTTTAAAATTTAAAAATATACAATTATTTACCCTTTAAATTGCTGTCATTAGATTGTGGACTGTACCTCTAAAATTGAGCTTGGATCGTCTACAACAAATTTAAGATACCAATGAAGTATAACAGCCCATAATTACACATCGTATCACTGTAGCTTTATATTGTATATTGTCTGATAAAGTAAATTTTAAAATAAAATTAGATATAGTGTAATAACTTTCATGAATATTAATTCATACGGGTCAATAAATAATTTTTTGTGCTCAACTTTTTCGATTTTATTACAAAAAAATTTAATTCTATGTTACAATATTACATTGATAAATAATAATATTTTTGCGTATCTTTATTTATACCCTATTTTTACATAAGGAAGGTCGAGTCAACAATAAAATATACCTGAAATTTTATGTTACCAGTCAACAATAAAATACATATTTAAAAATATATATAAATAATCTTTATATATATGAGTTAATTAAACAAAATGCATTACCACAAATGTTAACGCAGACATTATTTATGACCGCATTTTTATTATTTAATTTCACGTATATTATAGTAATTTAAATTTATTCATCTCTTTAAATTATATTTTGGTGAAACTTTTATGAATTTGCATTCAGAAGTTATATTAAATATAAAAGAACTATATTTTTATTGATTTTGTCGGTTAATTTGAAACAGTTCTAACATTTTTAATATACCATCTATAGATAACTTCTATATAAAAGTATATATATTACAAATAAATTAATTCACAAAAAATTGATGTCAAAAGTAAATTTTACTTATGCCTTTATAATACATTTTTTAACAAAAATATAAATTCTACAAAATTTGTCTTATATTTATATTTTTCATGAAAATAAATGAGAGATATAAAAGAGAGAAATAGAAAAAACATTTAAATATAAAATATACAAGAAAATTTTAATGTATATTTGGCTATTTATCTAAAAAATAAAAAATCGATACATGATTACATCTAGTTAAAAACTTATTTAGTGTAATTTAAAAGTAAAGGATATTACAATCATTTATTTTCATTGATGGATTTCTATATGAAATGAATATAATTATTGTATTTTCATACAGTATATTACTCAACATCAAAAGTTACTTGAAGTACATGATTCTTTTAAATAAAAAAATGCACATACATGTGTGCGAAATTTAACCATTTATACATGTTATGTTTTTGTCTCTTCCTCATACAAAAACAAGTACATAAAATTCATTTATTTTTATAACATACTAAAATTACATCTCTCATTCATAGATAGTAGAAATCTTGAACATGCTTCTTGTAAACACCATCTTGCAAGCATCATTAATATCTCATCAAATACACCAAGTGGGTCATGTTATCCATTATAAATATTATTGTAAAAGAATACAATAATAAATAACTTTTAATGAAGTCCGTTAAAATAATTTGAAGGTCAACGTTTTAAAATTAAGAGAGTTGAACTCTACTGCATGCCTAAAAAATGGGAGGTCTATATAAAAAAATATTCTGATAATACAGTACGAACAAAATATTAAAATAAAAATTTGTCAATTAACATTTATAAAAGTCTTATTAAAAAAAATCATTTATATGATTTAAATTATATTAATTATAAACAATACAAAATTGCTGAAAAGTACACTTGACCAGTCCATGACCAATTACTTTATGCAAAATTTGACTCTGCCTCGTACTTCACAGTAAAAAAATTGCATTCACAATAACCATCAAACAAGATGAAGTGCTTAGTTACCTTTTGAGATGCACATATATATAGAGAGAGAGAGAGAGAAGCACCTGAGGTGCGTAATGGACGCTCCATGACAGCTTTACAAGCATAGAAATAATAGGCAGTGTGATTTGCTTCAGCAGTTTTGGTGATCTTTCATTGTAGTTGACTGCACCATGCTTAAACTGGTTAGAACATATGAAAGTGATTAAATGGCATTAACTAATAACAATGCTCATTTCAAGTACTTACTTAGTTGTCATCAGCTGGCAAACCCATTCCTGCCCCAACAACACAACACTTCTTCCCACTAACACATGTCTGCTTAAGCCCTTCATTCTTCCTATAAATCATTTACTCATTATCATGCACCAACAATTAATATTTTCAAAAGGGTGCCACCACAATAGCCATCTTATTTTAAAATTTCTGAGAAAAAAGCTCTGTCATGTGGTTCAGGTGCAAGATTGCAGAATTAGATAGAAGCTATGCTAAAAGGGAAAGTGAAGATCGCGACAAATTATAAAAAGATGGTGAAGTGGGGGAAATTGAAAAGAGGGTGAAGGTGTGAGTTTGATATGTAGTTTATATCATGTGGGAGGGAGGTCCTACAAAATGAAGAAAGGGTTATGCATTGGGTTGCATGTGAGTGTGTGAGTGTTTTAGGGAAGAGTTTCACATGGTATTTTTAGAAGCAGAAGAATTGGTGGGTTTTTTTTCGTTTGTAACGCACATTTGTTGTTGTTGGAAACAGACACCAATTAAGGGTGGGATACTCTCTACCCTACGGTTGGGGGTCTACCCCACCCCACAGATGGATGGATTAGCGAGTTTTGAGGGACACCTTTTTCTAATTAAAGACTGACACGTGTGGCTGAATGGCAACATTCACATTACAACTGTCAAGTTCCACATGCTCAGATTGTGACATCCAGACAAAACTTATTTCATGCTTCTTCCTCCATGAAAAATATAATAATAATAATTAATATTTCACATTCTAAATTATTTTATAAACATTCTTTTTTCTCTCTTTTAACAATGGTCACTTTAAATTATGAAAAAAAATATATATATAAGACCATGTTAAATAAAGATCAATTATACCATCATTTTAAATAAATTTTTATATATTATTGTTTCGTCACGTATATTTTAGGATTTAAGATAAAAAATAATTTATATATATTATTTTTTTAAATAAAATCATAAAATTTTAAAATAACAATAATTTAAATGTGACCATTAATCTTTATAGATATGATATTAATCACTCTTATTCTTAAGACATTGACACTTATCATAAAATTAAATATAATTTTTTTTATCATTCAAGAATAATTTATTTCACCATTCTTAATTCATTAAATTAGAGTTTTAAAATAAATAATAATTTAAATATGATAAAATAAATAATAATTAAATTGTGATAATTAACAAAGATAAAATGATATATTTTTATTTTTAAATAAAATAATTATTATGAACATATGATTAGAATTTTAGTAAGTTAATATATATATTCTAAATTTTTTGAAGTCTTTTTATAAGAAAGTTCAATGTGGTAGGTAGATTTTCATTAACCAAATTATTTATTATAACTTATAATATAATATCTATCCACGTGTCAATTCCATTGTCATTTTCACTCAGAAGGTAGGGTTTCCTTCGCGGCAACCACACCCATTGCAAAAATATATAAATAGTTTAATGAAATAAAAGATAATAACTCGAAATTCATTTTTTTTTTTAGCCTTTATTTTTGAAAGTGATAACTTCTTTTAATATATATTATACACTTTTGACTTTTTATATCAACCATTACATGTTTTTCCCTTCTTTTTTTTTTTAAGTTTCATTAATCTTACTTCGTTCAATTTTTAATGCTAAAATTTCATATATTTAATTTGAATATTTATAACTTTGAATTAACCATAAGGAGTAGTTTATTTTATTATTTCCTTCTATTTAATCGTTCCATTCCTTTAATTCATTGTTATTTACTAAATAAAATCCCATTTTTCTTTACTAATAAATACATATTTTAGAAACATCTGATTTCTTAAATTAAAAAACTTGTTTTATTATAAAACTTAGATTGACTAAAATTAATCCTTGTTTCTTTTAGATAAAAAGGGTTTATTAAAAATAAACATTTATTTATTTCAGAAAAAAAACCATGAAAAATGATGTCTTTTAATGTAAGTTATTTTAATTTTTTATAAAAATATTAGCAGTTAAAATAGGATTAAATAGGATCATAAATTATATATTTTGAATATATGAAATAATTTATACGAGTCACTTATATTAGATATATGTGCTAACGTGACTTGATTTTAATTAGAAGGGACCACAGCCACATATAGTGAGTATTTTGTTGGGTTGCCCCTTCAAACTTCCACGAAATCACATTATTTTTTATTCTTTCTCATTCCCATTAGTCACCACATTTCACATGCATCCATGTGCCTCCATTTAAGAACCCTTCTCTCTCATTTTCTCTTTCTTCTTTTTCTTTATTTTCTCTTCCTTCCTTTGATTTTCCATTCATCTTTATCTTCCTCTCTTTCCTCAAAACCCTTGCTTAGATAGCATCACCTAATTCATGGAATCTACCACAAGGGAAATGCTAAAAAAAAAAAAAACCCTCTTAAACTCTAAGAATATAATTTTCATTTTAACTATACCATGTTATGTATATGAAGGTGGAATAATAATAATAATAATAACATTGAATATAATTATACACATACAAAACAATATCCAAGTTATTTGTTGTCAATGACATGCGTCCTTGCAATTTCCTTAGATGGAACAAACCTAAAAAGCAAGGTACAAGAGTTTGTTTGATGGGAAAACTTGTTTTTTCAAATTCATCTTCTTTTTAAACATTCAAACGTGGTCCATCTAGTAGTATTCCTAGCTACTTTGTTGTTGTACTATGTAAAATGGAGTTTCTTTCTTCCATCAATGATTTTGAAAATTGAGTTTACTTTACGTGCCTTTCAAAGCTGGGGTTAACCTCGTTCAACATGGTAAAATATCTATCATTCATTGCCTTCTTTCATAAATCTATTTTGTTTTAATATTAAAAAAAAAAAACTTACCTTGGTGTCATCATTGGTGTCATGGTTCCAAAATCTTGAATTGCGTTAGAAAGAGTTAACTTTTTAGTGCATATTATAGTATGTTCACTAAAGAGGTGAAGTAATGATATGTTAGGAGCCTTGGAGCCTAAAGCATCATGATTTGGGCAATAACCCATGTTGCTTTTATTTTCATATTAAAGAATCATCATGTAACAACTAACCTCTTAACTATTTACAACATTATATCAATTTGGCTTTTTTTTTTTTTTATCTATATATATTTTTATTGTCTTATTCAATAGTCATATTTTGACAACACAAATAATATTAGATTATTAAATCATGATAGAATAAAACTAAAATAATTTTTATTATTTTTTTAATTGAAATCCTAAACGTTTAAAGGTAACTAACTGAAATTTATCAAATTTATATTTACTTGTTATTTAGTCAATGTAAAATTTTATTTAATTCTACCTAATCGATTTAATAAAATAGAGATTATATTTATCGTATCTTTTCTATTTCATTATCTTAATCGCATTTACTTTATATTTTTTTAGACAAAGAATTAAATAAATCATAATGGAACTAATAATAAATTTTATTTCATTATTTTAAAAAATAAGCTAATGAAAAATGAGTTGTAATTTTAACTTTTCATATTATTTTTACATTTGAATATAATAATATTGTTAACATACTAATAATATGGTTAAATTTTGTAAAACTCAAATAGTGATTTTCTTATTTACAAGCTTTTTTATTAAACACATTTTTAATTCGTGGGGAAAAAATCAAATAATGGAATGAAATAAATTATGATAAAGCTTATTTTATTAAAAAAAAAAACTTATCATTTTACTTTAACCTTCTAAGAAGTTATGTATTAAACTCCAACTTTTTAGGAAATTCTGTCTCTTCTAGGAATAGTTTGTTTTTTTTTCTTTTTTTAAATCACATTGCGTGGTTTGCAAAAATACAAAATTTTCTGGGTGTCACTTTTTCTTAAGAAACTCAGACGAAACTCTAAAACATTTTTAAAATAAATTACTATATAAAATTATTTAAGAATAAAAATAAATATTTTATTATAAATTCTATATATAAGTTATTAAAAATAAAAATAAATTTACTTAAAATTAAAATAAAATTACTTCAATAAAAAATTCTAACTAAATTTTAAATAATTTAAATAATTTAAATATAAAATCAATAATAAAACATTAAATTTTAAATAATTTAAATATAAAATTAATAATAAAATATTAAATTTTATTTTTAAACAATTCAAATGTGATACCATAAAAAAACCCATATGCTATAATTTGTATGTGTAACTGGATGCATGTGCTGCCAAATGACATGTCATAGTTGGATAAAAAAGAAGAACTTTTGCATATTCCTTATTCCAGAGCCAACAAAAAAAAAACATTATTTTAGTTATTTTATTTTTATTATTATTCTTTTGCTTTTTTTTTTTTTTTCTGCCTTTGTTCTTATCGAAATCGAAGCAAATGGCCAAAAGAGAAGGGAAAAAAACAAGAATGAGCCTTTCAATTCAACGCCCTAATTATTGAAGCCATGTATGTGTCAGCAGCTACTTCAATTTACATATCTCCAAAATTCATTTATAAAAATTCCAGAAGGTGAAGACAATATCATAAAATATCAATATCATCGTATCTAAGAGTGACTCATTTGAAGAAAATAATTATTAGATAGGAAAATATATGTTTTTATATTTTAATGAATTAAACTATTTATTGGTGGTATCTTAAATGAATAGAGTAAAGCTAGAGTATAATTAGATAAAAAAAATACATAATATTAAAATTTAGAGTAAAGTTACATGTTTTGGAAATATAAAGACTAAAATGATAAATAAAAGAATTTGCAATGAGAATTAAGATGACGAAAAAGTCAAATCCAGGTCACATAGTGAGATTAAAGAGAGACCACACCCATAACTGCAACCTAATAAGGCTTGTTTGGTTGGTTAAGCCCAAGCTTTGGTTAGATTAAGATTGGATAATGGTGGAAGTAGTAAACGACAACATGGAAAGTACTTTTGAGTTGTCAGAGTCCAACGACAACGCCCTCAAACAAAGAGTGGTCACATTGGGTTGGGCCCAAAACCCACTATGCGACAAAATGTGTGTCAAAGAAACAAGCTTCACCCATTTTCATTCAATGAACATGGTGTTGAGGTTGAGATACACACAACGGGAACTATTTGATACCCATTTAGTGCATCATGTTTTTCTTTGATGCACATTATCTTGCTTTATGTCAAAATGATTTTTCACGATAGCACGTGGTTGCTTAGTTTTGTTTGGAATAGGTAGAGAGATATTAGTTGTCATTGTAGAAAACAAAAATGGATGAGACTTTTGGTGGCTGTTGTGTTGGTTCCTTGGCGTTGAGGGTGGTTGAGAAAAAGGCAAAAGAAAAAAAAAAATAGGGAGAGAAACAAAGGAGAAAGAGTTGTGGTACAAAAACAACAACTACTATTTTGGGGTGTGGGTCCAAAGTGTCCCTCACCACACGTGGCCTCTTCGAATCATTTCACCCCCCACTTCTGGGGGATCTATCACTTTTACTTTTCACACAACAATTTTAGGATAACATTTATTGTGTATAGAAAAATGACAAAAATTAATATTGATCAGCACATGATGTCAAATAAGATGTTCAAACTTCAAAGTTTGTTGATGGTAGTACCCCTTCTATTCTAAGTGTCATGTATTATTTCCCTTTGCTTTAAACTTTAATCAGTGTGCAGCATCCAGGAAAAAAAAAGAAGGAGTAAGCTGCATGTCCTGGTCATACAAAAATCTAAACAGACAGTGGAAATATTTGCAATTCTTAAAACATGAGTATCTCACTTTCTAAATTTGTATTCTCTGATATTAGCTTCCAAAATTAGGCTTACCACCAAACTCATTTCTACCAACATAAGGTTCTCTCCTTTACTTAAAATGTGTTTTCAAAACGAAAATATTTTTTTATTTTTTTTTCTCAAAAAGCTAAAATAGTAGTTTTAAATATTGTATTATAAAATTACTTTTAGCCTAATCATATGCGTCAATTTTAACTTTTACGAGTAATCAAGAAAGGGTGATTATATTTTGAGAATTTAGTTTGTATAAAACAGTTATTGGATAATCTAATAATAAAGATTATTATTTAATGATTATTTTTTACAAACACGATTATGAATTTATCATTTTTCATCAAGAAAATATGTTCCCATTTTTGCTCTCTATTTACTCCTTCAGTGGCAATGTGTGTTTTTGACCACTTGCATGGCGTACGAGCAGCATGAGTCCTCTTCTCTGTTGTGGAATTTGTACTTACAGAGGCAGTAGAGGTAGACAATGGTGGTGATGTCACCAGTGCCAATGTGGTGTAGGAGGTGCCAGTTACAGACCGTTAAACACATCCTACGTTCAGGTGACAGTAAATGGTAGTTTAGGTTAAATTGGAAAAGTGGTGAAGCTTGATGATGGAAAAGACTATACAAGACTGCAATTCATGTTGTCAATGCTAAATAGTGCCTCTAAAAAACAGAAATAAATCAGATTTTTCTTGCAATTTTGGACCGGTTTTCTAAAATGTTTTAAAGTTAATTTCTAAAATCCAATCAATCATATTTTCTACTTTTGTTTAGAAATGAAATGTCAGATAGACATACACCAGTTGAACACTAGAAACAACTTTAAGATTAAAAGCCCAATGACAATAAAAAAAACATATTCTTCCTACACCTTCATATTTTCTTCCTCATTCTTGATTATTCTGAATTTAGGAATCCATAAAAACCTTGGATAAATAAATACAAAAACATAATTTTTTTAAATTCTAAATTTAAAATTCAAGATATAATTTTATTATTCCACAAAAATTAAGACAAAAAGTTAAATCTAAAAATATTTTTTTCGCATGTATAATTTAAGTTCCAAATTCACTTTTATGAAAACTTTATCAGTAAGTCTTCCAAAAAAAATAATCTAAAATTTAGTTAAATTAAACGAAATATTATTTTTTAGATAAATACAAAAGTTCATAAAGAAAGTATAAATGTGCAGATAGAAAAAGCTGAGAAAAAGCTCAAGGAGAAAGTTGCTAGACAACCATAAATCCTTAATCAAAAAAATAATACTTTCACCAAAAAGACTCATAAATTAGATAAATAATGCCTAGTTTTAATCATGCACAACATAGTATCGAACCACACACGGAACAATTAATAACGGTGCCCAAGGTTGCAACAGCATATTTGGATTTAACCACAGCTATCTGAACTAAAATGAGAGGATCGCGGACTCCTAAGCCCTCAATATTCTTTTCGCTAAAAACAAGTGACGCATAACATAATATGCAATGATGTCACCGGGGATATGAAATAACAAACAAAAACTGACAATTAGGCCAAGTCTATTGTACATAACTGGTGTAAATACCAAACTTTGTCCACAAGAGAAAAATGTGGTGAAAAAAATATGTGGTCTTCAAAGACAGTGAGTGACTTGATCTTTTCATGCAAAGTAGAGCATTGTCATTCTGCTGCTGATAAACATTTGCAATATGGTCTAACAAAAAGTGACTACATCCTAGTGGCAAAACCAATATCAGGCTTTGATGGGCTCAACACGTGGCCTCCATAGTCCCAGCCTGTACTTGTGTGTGTATTTCAGTATTAACTTCCTCTGCAAAGCAAAAGCTACTGGTTAGAAATAGTTTGCAAAACTGAACAATTTGTATGTCTCGTGGCCAAATTAAATCAAATCTTTGTATCTTAAAATCCATGTGAGTATAAGAAACCCAATCCTAACAGTAGTGTAAAGGTCATTTTAGTCCCAATCAACAAGTTATGAAATTTAAAATCTGACCTGAATTGTCTCACAAGAACTGACTAACAGGAGAAGGAGTCATTTGACTTCCAATATTAGAGTCAACAACAGCCCCGTGATTTATCTGGTGCAAATTTATCTTGGATACATGAATGTAAGACATACAACAAGGTTATCGAATTGAGATTTTAATTATAAATCGTTGAGTTTTTTTTCTTTTTGGGTTGTGAATCATAATTTTGTATCGAGTTGTAAGATCACCCACGACGAAAAAAATACTTCAAATATATCATATAGATTATATATAGTGTTCAACGTAAAGGTATAAACTACAAATAATAAAACAACTTGAGCAATAGTTATTCAAACCAAAACAATTAGTTATATCTAAGTTTGTGAGGTCTTTATTTTAGAAGAATGAAAACAAACAATTAAATAGCTAAATAGCATTGAATGGGTGAGTGAAAATTAAGGGCGGAATAAACAAGTAGGATCAGTTCACAAATGTTCTTTCAGATTCCTTTTCATTTAAAAATTTAAGGTCAAATGATATCTTTTAATTTTTTCCATTCGGTGAAAAGTGAAAAAAAAAAATGAATTGTTGAATTGTATCAATGATAAAAAAATGCATAGATTCATTCATGTATTGCAATATATACAAAGTCAATTAAGATTCATTTTTAGATACGAATCGGTAGATAACCGAAATGTATCATATCGTAAGATTATATTAACTAGGCATACAAGTTACAGTGGCATCTAAGATAAACCATGTTTGGACTTTGGTAAGAAGAGTAATTTAGGATCATAAAGCCTGATCATGTAAGCTCATAAAGCCTGAATTTGTTTTAATTGATGGAAATCACGTGCTTAAAGCATCTAAGATACCATAAAGGGGTATGATAAAAAATCTTCCTCGATGTGAGGAGGTGTGTTATCTTAGAAGATGGTGAGATATTTAACTCAACCCTACAAAACCAACTTGGTAAAGGTGAGGATTCACATCGAGAAGGATTTTCATTACACCCTATTATATCGAGGAGAATTTTTCATTTCACCTTCTCATATGGAGAATGAGTGGTTCAATATTGGTCTGATAACAGGTGGTTTAGTCCACAACTGTTAACCGTTTAATGTCCTAATATCTCTAGAGTTGACTCGCATACCATCTTAAAAGATGGTGAAATATTTAACTCAACCTTATAAAACCGGCTCAATAAAACGAAGATTGTAGTCACTTATAGACTATAGTGAGATTTCTCAACACCATGTACCTAACACATGTAGGTATCACGATGAAGATGATAGCACTACATGAGTACATGTGACCCTTTCATAGGAGCAGGTTAGGGCCCGTCCAATGGCTTAATGACAAAGCTAGAGGGAAGTTATAAGCACTGAGAGGAGAATAAATTTTGTCTAGGACAGGAAAAGTTGCAGGTTCAAAAGTCGTAGATATTTTCCAGGTATGCAATTTATGTAAAATACCAATTCTCTTAAAAGAATAAACTGTGAATGAAGATTCACAATGGCTTTATTAATATCTAACAAATTATTTTGGTAAGACACGGGGCATTATGAGTCCTAAAGAGTTTCTAAAGCCCTTTGATAATCTTGCCATCAATGCCCTCAATTTTGATAACTTTCACATAAATTATAGTCATTCATGTTCACTTTAATAGACTGTTTAGTTAAAGAGAGGGAAGCGAATGGAAAATGACATTTCCTGATAATGGAGGGGAGAATGATCAGCTTCTCACTTTCCCTCCCTCAATTCCCCTCCAACCAAACAGAATGTAAAATTACAATGCCAGTCACAAGCTTCACTGATTTAAACACAAATTTCCTTGCAAGAGTTAAGGAATAAACCAGGACACAAATCAACATAGTATGAACTAATAACAGCTAACAAATCAATCCAGTGGCTTTATCAGATGGTACTGAATACTAATCGAGATGATCAAACAGCACCCAAACATCTTGAACTTTGAGGTAGTTGATTCCGTTAATGATTAGTTGTCTTAGTCGATTGATTGTAATTTAATTACTTGTGCAAATAGTTTATGTGATCAATTAGTACTTCAGTTAACTGCATTGATCTTTGTGTGTGTGTGTGTAGCTCTGCCTGTATTAGTTTTAGTTTTACTCTCAGTTGTCAGTGATCGCCAAACTCCACTAATTGATATTTATCACCATTTTTCTGTAATTAGCACAAGGATAGCATTTTTTTCACATATGCACCCGCAACAGTGGCTAATCTTCTTCCTCTACAGGTGATCCAATTCCTACTTTTGGAGAATTGCCAAATTCTTTATGACTAATAGGAAAAAGAAAATAGCCCAAATTTTCTATAGAATGGGTCGAATAAAAAATTCACTCTATTTACGAATTTGGCAAGATTGATGAATCAATTTCACACAATAAGCTAAAGAACCAGAAAGCAACCATAAAGCAGAAGAAGAAATGAATACATACATGCTTGCAAGGTATACCGAGCTTCTTGAGCTTGAGGGTGCGAGTGACTAGAAGCTTCTGGAAATCACCGATTTCGGATTCGAGCTTGGGAACGTGGGACTCAACCCCTTTCCCAATTCCGTTAAGAAATTCTGGTATTCCAACCTTCACTGCATTTAGCGCCAATAAAAAACATTATTAATAACTCTATCACAGATTAGGGCGTGTTAGTAATCGGTGCAGCCAACAACAAGAGAAAGAGAAAGCGATTACCAACGTAGGGGGATGATTTGGAGAAGAATCTAGAAGAAGAATACGGCGTAGAGTGTGGGAGTGTTGAGATCAAATTAGAACCTCCCTTGGTGATGATTCTCTGCAGCTGCAACCATGCCATTCCCATCTTTACCTTCAACCTTTCGCCAAATACCTCCCAAGCTTCCCCAGACACTAACTATGCAGGGTTTGGACTTGGGGTTTGGGACGCGAAACTACGCCGGTATAGCAAACGACGTCGTTGCAGCCAGTTGATCATCCTTTACCGTGTCTTGCTACACCGGCCCAAACTTTAGGGTAGGCCCATTTTTCATTTTAGTCCACCTAAGAACTCACCTTAAACGCCGAAAGTTAGGGATTAACATATATCAAAATTAGGAGAAAAATAAATGCTTTTAGTCTTATACTATTTAAAAAAAAATTATTTTTTATATTTTAAAATTAATAAAATCGATGCCTAACTTTTTAAAATATATATTTTTTATTTTTTATATTCATACTTAACTTTTAATTATGAATTTTTATCTTGATAAATATAGTAAACGTGATTTTAATATTTGTTATATTTAAATTTTGTATTTAATAAAAAAATGTTACGAAATTGATAAAAATATTAATTTACATATATTTTAAAAAATCTAAAATTAAATAACGGAATTTAGTATATAATGATATAAACTAAGTCTAACGATAATTAGAAAAACAAAAATATATATTTAACTCAAAAATACAATAAAAAACGATTAAATTATTTGAATTTTATATTTTATACTCATTTAATGTTAAAATAATTTGTTTGAATTTTTTGAAATTTGTTTTAACCGTATATTCCAAAAATAGTTAATGGTTCAGAACCAAATTGTTTTTAAATCTACTCGTATTAACCTTATATTAGTTTTAAATCATAAATTAATTTTAAAAATTAAATCAAATATTTTTAGATGATTTTGAGTTGAATATATAATTGTGTATGAATCATAATTTTTTTAATGAATATAATATAAAAGATGTCCTAGTAAAAAATAACTAATTATGATCATCTTAATATAAAGAGTGGCTTAGTACGAATATAAATTTTAAAATGTTAAAATCTAATTGAATATCCAATTCATATATGATTAATTGAAATGACTTGAAAATTTACAAAAATGGATATAATAAATATGAAATCTTATTAATAAAATGAATTTAAAGTGGATTACATTATAATATATTTATGTAATAGTATTATTAGTCTTTTTTAACATTATAAATTTTTTATTATATGATTTAATAAATGGATAAAATTTAAGTTAATGATATTCAAATTCATACAATTGTGAAACAATAAAAAGTTGTTTTTTATCATAATTTAGTTGTGTTAAATATGTATTTTTTCACGGATAATTATAATTTTAAATGTTAATTATAAAGATCAAAATTAATTTAAGTTTAAGAGTCAAAATATTTTAATAAAGTAAAGTTTGATATTTTATTTAAGCTAAAAAATTATAAATATAATATTTAATTATTCAAACTTTATATAAAAATTATAAATTAAACAAAATATTTCTCTGAGATATATTCTTCCATTTTTATCTTCTTTTAAATTTAAGTATACTCTAATGTATGTTTTTAACTTGTGCTTCAATTAATGATACATTTATAATTAATAAGATTTATTTGATTAATTATAAAAATAAAAATATAATAAAATTATGAATGATCAAATATCTTAGTATAAATTAAATAATAATATATATAAATTAAAGTTGATATATGTTTCAATATGAAGTAATTAATTAATAAAATAGATTAAAATAAAAACATAATTTGTATATAAATGAAAAGTAAATTTATAATTTGTGAACTTGGATGTAGGTGACCCGAATGAATGTGTTTATGGGCAAAATGACTTTACCTCCATCACTTCAAATAATGTGGAAGACCCATGTTTATTTATTTACAAATCCACGATAATATCTTAGAACAAATGCCCTCACATCTATGTAAATCTACATTTGTATTTCTTGATAAATAGTAAAACTCTTAAATTGTGTTTGACTGGGATAGTCAAAGAAGATGAATGGACCGTGAATTCTTTGGATGGAATAAAATATAATAAATTTAAAGAAATTTAAGTCAATATTGTAATTAATATGATTAAATATAAAAAAATTAAATATAAAAAAATTAAATAATTAATTTTTTATTATGATAATTAAAATATTATTAATTTTTTAATGAATAAATTAAATAGAAATGATAATTATGATATAATTGATTTTATAAATATAAATTTAATAAAAATAAATTATTTTATAATTAGTTATCTGATTTTTTATAAATTAACACTATAAACAAAATTTTGTAATTATTTAATAGTGTAAACTTAAAATAAAAAAATCCTATGAAATATACATAGACATAACTTCTATTATGTAGTTTAAAAAATCCTATGAAATATACATGGACAATAAATACCATGAGGTATTTCTATGGTGAAACGTGTAACTCCATTAATAATTATAAATAATTGGATCACACGATAAGAATTGAAAAAAAAATACTAATTTTAGAGTATATATCGCTAATAATAAGTAAGTTATTGGAATTTATTGCATCATGTTAAAGTGTGTGAAATATTTTAAATAATCTTGTGTTACGCAGTTAAGAAAAATCATAATATAATAAATGTAAATATCTTTCTTTTTAATATAATATTTAGTTTTATAGAAGTAAAATATATATAGACATGATTTAAGATTTAAATATAATATTAGAGTCATTTAAAATTAAGTAAGATAACTTTTATATTTCTCATTTATTTTTTAAAATATTTGTCTTAAATAATTATATTGTCCTTCAAGTAAGAAATTTTATCGTTATAAGGACTAACCTCTCACTTAAACGTTCAATATCTTATTTGAAAACACAATAAAATCAATTTCATAAAATATTGTGAGTAGAAATATACACGAAATCATTTTTATTATTCTAAAATATTAGGTAAAGATAAGACTGTTGACAAATTTTGGGTCATGTATATATATGACACATATTTAAATGTGTTAGGGTCATTATTTATTAAGCCAAATAATAAAGTGATCTGACTAAATTAAGAAGGTTTGGCTAAAGACATATGTCATGAAAATAAAATTGTGTAGAGACCATAGAGAAATTTCTAATTTGATGAGGGGTCAAATTGGAAATACTAAAACTTAAGTAATTAACCTAATTTTGGTTATTTTAAGGGGTCATGGTCCCCTTTTAGGAGCACGTAGACAGAACTTAGTTACAGTCCCGTTTTTTTCTTTCTATCCCATCAAGAGAGAAAAACAGAGGGAAATACAGGTGTTCTTCAGGTGGAAGACCATAAGATCAATAGTGCTCTAAAATGAACATCATCATTATGGCTAATTCAGGTACGCTTTCGCATTTAGTTTACAACATGTTTATGAGTATGTGATTACTTTCTATTTGATCGTTAGATTGAAGATCATATTTAATTATCAGTTTACCTAACATGTGGTATCAGAGCAACCCATACTTAATTCATGTTTGTCTTTGGAAATTACATTTAACAAAATTCAGATTCTGGCTAATTAAAAACCCTAGTTGGAGATAATCTTCAAATTTTATGAATCATACATTCAAATTTGGGGTAAAATCCCCAATTTTAAAACCTAATTTCGAATTTGAGGGTGAAACCCCCAAACTGCTTCTGCTCGCGACGGAAAGGGGAAGCGTTGGAGAGGTTTGAACAGCCGTGGCTTAAGCCTCTGGTTCATGTTCAGGGTCATGACTTCTCACGGTGGCTCTCAATTTGGTTCTGAGGCAACGACGTTGGTCCTCTTCGTTGTTGGCTTGGCGGATTGTGCCCATGTAGATCAAAAGATGACACAGACGTGGGGAAATTTATTGTGCAAATACCACAATTTCATACGGGGGTTTTGCAGCGGCGATTGGGGAAGCACAACCAAGACCATGGTGGCCGGGTTAGGTCTCGCGGTTCAAGGTAAAGGAAAGGTGTTGAAGGACCAGACAATGGTCGTAGGGGCTGCTTCTCCTCTGTCGCGATTCCTTTTCCCCTTCTGCGAATGCACCTCCTGGTTTTGGTCGTCTGCAGGATTTCCATCTTTTGTGCTTCAGAAAGCTGTTGCTAAATCCAGAGATTTTGAGTTACTAGGAAACTATTTGCGTTGGTTTCCTAAGTAAATTTCAGGATAAAGCACGAGAATTGATGCATCGATGTTAAATTATTCATTATTTTGAGAACCAAGCATAAAACATACTTTTATGGCCATATTCTAGGTTGATATCAATCCCGATAATATATATGGCCGAGTTTGCCTTCTAAGTTGGTTGTCCAACATATCTTTTTTTTTTTTTGGAAGTGGGCCCACCGGCCCAATGGTGGCCATAATTAGCAATAATAAATAAAGAGCTAGGTATATTTCACATAAGAACACCACATCCTGGGAACATTTACTTAAAAAGGTTGCTAAAAAGTGGTCAGCTTGACGAGGCCTGCAATGATGCAATGCCTGTTAAAGATGTCGTTACTTGGAACTCCATGGTTCTAGATGTTGGAATTGGCCTTAGGATGTGCGTGGGGATAAGGATTGGTGTTGGAGTGCTCATGCGGTGATGACAAAGTTCAGATGCAACTCCTTCATATATATTTAATTGACAAATTTCAAAACAATCCAACTTAAAGTGCATATATAGAAATTATAAATTTTTCCTTCTTTAGAATTATAAATATTTGGTTTTTCTATATAATTAATATATTCAATTTTTGGTAGTTTAATATTTTTTTGTGAGCAAATTGAGTCAAGAAGTTACCAAAGTAACATCTCTTGAATTGGGTAGTTCATGAAAAATATTGAATGTTAGTGTTTGTGTATATTCATGCGAGTATTAGTCGGTCCAAAGGAAGGTTAATATTTGGCCAAATTGCATACATACTTGTAATGATAAACATGTGATAATTATAAGGATTTGCTTTGTCGATGATAAATCAATCCAAAGACTGGTTTGTTGTTGGACGTGCTTTATTGTCAATGTTTGATCATTACAACAAGATATCCCTAACAATTAATATTACTGTCCAAAGACTTGATATTGATGGTGCATTGGGTGTCTTGAGATGGGTTAAACCATTATTTGAATATATATTTATAATTATTTATTTTATAATGTGAGCATAATTAGTTTATTTCTTTTGTTCTAATTCAGCTACAATTGCTTCTGTATCTGCCAATTTGAATTATGTTCCGATCCTCAAAAGTATGTTTCCTATTTTGGTCTGTTCTGAAGTCAATTTAGTAACACTTGGTGGTTAGACTCAGGTGCAACTACTAACATCAGTGTTTCTATGAATGATTGCTTAAGCTATCGGAAGCCAATTGATTCTGAAAGATGGATATATGTTGGAGATGACAAATCGGTAGAGGTGGAAGCTATAGGGCATTTTAAATTGTTATTGAGTACTGGTTTTTATTTGGATTTGAAAGACACTTTTGTTGTGCCGTCATTTAGACGGAATTTGGTTTCAGTTTCTTATCTGGACAAATTAGGTTATTTGTGTTCATTTGGAAACAATAAGTTCAGTTTGTCTTTTAATTCTGATATTGTTGGAACTGGTTCACTTTTGCCTTATGATAATATGTATTTACTTGATACTGTGACCACCTATAATGAAACCCTTAATACAGAATCACGGGGTACTAAACGTAAAATTAGTGATACTCACTCAGGAGCATTATGGCACAGGCGATTAGGTCACATCTTTAAAAATAGAATTGAACGACTTGTGTCAAATGGAATCTTAGAGTCCATTGACTTCACAAACTTTGATGTTTGTGTGTGAATGCATTAAGGACAAACAGACCAAAGCGAAGAGATTATGTGCATATAGAGCTACAAACGTCTTAGAGTTGATACATACGGACATTTGTGGGCCATTTCCTACACCTTCATGGAATGGTCAACAATACTTCATATCATTCATAGACGATTACTCACGATATGCATACTTATTCCTTATACATGAAAAGTCACAATCTCTAAACGTGTTCAAAACATTTAAAGCTAAAGTTGAAAATCAACTCAATAAAAGAATTAAGTATGTCAGATCTGATCGTGGTGGTGAGTACTATGACAGATTTAACGGGTCAGGTGAACAACGTCCATGACCTTTTGCCAGGTACCTAGAAGAGTGTGGAATTGTCCCATAGTATACCATGCCGGGATCACCTAGCATGAATGGTGTAGCTGAAAGACGAAACCGGACTCTTAAAGATATGGTCAGGAGTATGATTTGTCATTCCACCTTACCAGAGTCACTATGGGGAGAGGCATTAAAGACGACAACTTATATTCTGAACAGAGTACCGACTAAAATAGTGACCAAAACACCTTATGAGCTTTGGACTGGGCGACAACCTAGTTTGAAGCATTTCCATGTGTGGGGTTGTCCAGCTGAGGCAAGGCCTTATAAGCCAAATGAAAAGAAATTGGACTCACAAACAGTAAGTAGTTATTTTATTGGTTATGCTGAAAGATCCAGGGGATATAAATTTTATGATCTCACATTAAAGACAATTTTTGAGACGGGAACTACTACGTTCTTTGAGGATATTGAGTTTGGGGGGAAGAATAAAATCAAGAACTTTGTCTTGGAGGAAGAATCGGTAACAATTCCAGAACCGATTCAAACAGTTACTTTTGATAAAGTAAGTTCGGAAGCTCCACAAGGCATTGTTAATGAACCCCTTACTAAAGATGATTTGGTTGTTCATGAAGAACAAACTCAAGATCCTCAAGAACTTGTGCATCATGAGCCAATAACTTTGCGGAGATCCACTAGAGAAAGAAGAAGTGCTATTTCGGATGATTACATGGTATTTCTTCAGGAACATGAGGAAAACAATGGTATGATGGAAGATGACCCAGTTAACTTCCGTCAAGCCATGCAAGGTTCTAACTCTGAAAATTGGATTGAAGCAATGAAGGAGGAGTATAAGTCCATGCAAGACAACAAGGTTTGGGAACTTGTCCCATTACCAGAAGGTATGAGACCCATTGGTTGCAAGTGGATATTTAAGACCAAACGGGATTCTAAAGGTAATGTGGAAAGGTATAAGGCTCGTCTGGTAGCTAAGGGCTATACCCAAAAGGAAGGAATTGACTTTAAAGAGACTTTCTCTCCAGTTTCATCGAAAGACTCTTTTAGGACAATCATGGCTCTTGTAGCACATTATGATTTAGAGCTTCATCAAATGGATGTCAAGACGGCGTTTCTCAATGACAACATTGATGAGACGATTTATATGGTACAATCAGAAAATTTTGTGCAGGGAGATTCAAAGAATATAGTTTGCAAACTGACAAAATCCATTTATGGACTAAAACAAACATCTCGTCAATGGTACTATAAATTTTATCAAGTAATTCTCTCATTTGGCATCGAGATGAATATTGTTGATGATTGTGTATATCACAAGTTTAAGGGGAGTAAGTATATTTTCCTGATCTTGTATGTTGATGACATTCTACTTGCCACTAATGATATATGCATATTGCACGAAACCAAGAAATTTTTATCAAAGAATTTCGAAATGAATGATCTTGGTGATGCGTCTTTTGTATTAGGAATTCAGATACACCGAGATCGATGTCGGGGTATTTTAGGATTATCACAAAGGAACTATATCGAAAAAATTCTTAAAAGGTTTGACATTCATGAATGTAAATCCGGGGATACTCCAGTTGCTAAGGGAGACAAGTTTAGTCTTAATCAGTGCCCAAAGGGGAATTTAGAAATTGAGGAAATGCAAAAGATTCTCTATGCATCAGTTGTAGGGAGTTTGATGTACGCCCAAATATGTACGCGTCCAGACATAATATACATAGTTGGGGTTCTAGGCAGATATTTAAGCAATTCAGGAATGGACCATTGGAAAGCAGCAAAAAGGGTCATGAGATATTTAAAGAGAACAAAAGATTACATGCTCACATACAGGAGGTCAGACCAGTTGGAGATCGCTGGGTTTTCTGACTCGGACTTTACAGGATGTTAAGATAGTTTGAAATCCACTTCAGGTTACATTTTCATGTTAGCAGGTGGTGCGGTTTCTTGGCGCAGTGTCAAGCAAACCCTTACAACTTCATCCACTATGGCAGCAAAATTTGTAGCATGTTATGAGGCATCGAATCATGGAATATGGCTGAGAAATTTTGTCACAGGGCTACAAATTGTGAAAGGCATTGAAAGACCACTTAAGTTATATTGTGACAACAAATCAGCTGTATTGTATTCCAACAACAACAGAAGTTCGACTAAGTCAAAGCACATCGACATTAAGTTCCTAGTTGTTAAGGAAAGAGTACAGAGTGGACAGATTTCCATAGAACATTTAGGGACAAACTCCATGATAGCAGATCCTCTAACTAAAGGACTTCCGCCCAAGGTCTTTCATGAACATGTTGCTCACATGGGTGTTTTACAGTTTGAGGAATTTGTGGTTTAGTGGGAGTCACTTTCATATATTTTATGTTCTATGTTTAATTTCATATATGTATACATTGATTTTTGGACATATTTGGTTATCTATAGATATGCAGTTTTTTCGTTCATTCATTACACTTTGTACATTAAGTATATTATATCGATCTTGATAAGTTAAAGTTTGGACCAGTTGAAAATAGACGTGTACAGATCACCTTCACGTAATTTTTCATGCTACACATTTCATGATGAATCCATGTCATTTGGTTATGTTAGGATGAGTAATCATTGTTGGTTTTAGTTGCGATGATGCAATGAAAAGCTGATTTGGTTCTATATTCTGATATGATTAATGGACAGGACTTTTGGAATATGCTAAAGGAATATAATGACAATTTTGAGCTCATAAAGTCTAACACATTTGTAAGGTTGTAAGGACATATATATTTGTGACCAGTGGGAGATTGTTGGCAAAATTTGGGTCATGTATATATATGATACATATTTAAATGTGTTAGGGTCATTATTTATTAAGCCAAATAATAAAGTGATATGACTAAATTAAAAAGGTTTGGCTAAAGGCATATGTCATGAAAATAAAATTGTGTAGAGACCATAGAGCAATTTCTAATTTGATGAGGGGCCAAATTGGAAATACTAAAACTTAAGTAATTAACCTAATTTTGGTTATTTTAAGGGGTCATGGTCCCCTTCTGGGAGCACGTAGACAAAACGTAGTTACAATCCCGTTCTTTTCTTTCTATCCCCATCAAGAGAGAAAAACAGAGGGAAATACAAGTGCTCTTCAGGTGGGAGCACGTAGACAAAACGTAGTTACAGTCCCGTTCTTTTCTTTCTTCCCCATCAAGAGAGAAAAACAGAGGGAAATGGTGGAAGACCATAAGATCAATAGTGCTCTAAAAGGGACATCATCATTATGGCTAATTCAGGTACGTTTTCACATTTAGTTTACATGTTTATGAGTATGAGATTACTTTCTATTTGATAGTTAGATTGAAGATCATATTTAATTGTCAGTTTACCTAACAAAGACTTTATGAAGAATTTTTAAACATACCATTTTTTTTAATAATTATTGCATGATTTTTAATAAAAGATAAGATACATTCTACTATCTTATATATTTATCCATCTATTTAGGCAACCAATAAAATTATCCAAAATCAAATTCAAATAACTTAAAATATAATATACAAAAATAATCTAAGCGGTCACATAACACCCAATTATACCAAACATAACAACTAATCACACGTAATTTTGTGCATTTATAATAACTTTATTGTATCTTGAACATAAATCTTAAATATAAGATCTATTATTTTAAAAATCTCATATTTTACTAGTTTTCAAAAGAAAAACTCTCGTATATATAAAATAATAAGAAGATTTATTTTTAAGTTTTATGTCTCAAATTTCAAGCTTATTTATGAACTTATAATAACATCTATTATTAACTATAAATAAATTGTATTTTACGTGTTATTGAAAGAAAAATTACACAAAAATTTGAAATTACACCTACCACTAAAATGCCAATAACATTACATCATTTTATTATGTGTTTTGTTAAAATTATTTTCGTGTGTTATTAACACGAAAAAAAATACAATATCAACTATAAATAAATTATGTAAATATAATTTTTTAAAATAATTATGATAAAAGTCGACAAAACTATCATATCCAATATTATTTAATTATATAATCCTCCTCTTTCATTAAATCTTAACAAATTACTAATGTCATAAATGTTGAGATACACGGTAGTATTGCTTTTTAAAGTGATATGAAATGAAACTGAAGATTCTTCGTATGTTTTAAATAACTTAATGGACCATTTTATCTCGTTAAAACAACTTTAAAATACATATATTTGTCACTCTTCTGCTATTTTATTACAAATCTTCTTTATACGAACAATCAGTTACCAAACCACGTGCGTTCTTCATCCAAAACACGAGGTGGTTTCCACCATTAAAGCATAAAACAAGGAAATTGGGAACTGGAACTGGAATCTGAGAATCAGCACAATTTCAAACACCATTTTCGTTTTCTTCTTTACTTTCTATACACATGGTAAAGAACTCTGAGAACAGTACACAACAACAGAAGAGAAAAATTTGAACCTAGTTCAGTCACTACCTTTCCACTTTTCCAATAACATAAAGCAAAATTTCCATTACAAAATATAAATAGCATAGAATTTGCGGCGAAGGCAAAATTGAAAATGGGAAAGGAAGATCGAGGCGCAAGAGGCTGAGAATTGAGATCAGATGGTGCATCCACAGAACAAGAAGAAGAAGCAGAGCATCGAAACGAGAGCCACGGATTCGAACGCCGTGACCACTCTCCACACCACCTCGTCCACAATGCTGGCGCTCATCATCCCCGACCACCTCAGCAACCTCACCGGGGACCACCGAGGGGTTATGTAGGACGCCAATGTCCCTGGCCATGACGACACCGTTGAGAGCTCCCACATTGCCCAACGAAATGTTGAACCCATCTCACCTTGTCAAAGAGGGTTGGGAACCAGGGTGGGTATTTATCGATTCCAAATATTCATCGCAGTAAATAATTATAAATGATACCATTTCCCTTTTTTTCAAATTTCCACTGTTACAGCTGTTGAGCATTGATTTCATTTTTTGAATGAAAAAAAATGTTATATTCATTTGGTTTATTGATTTAATTTATTATATGGTTATTGGTGAATTTGAAATATACTTATCTGGATTCTTAGTTCATTTTGAAATTGGCATGGTTAGGTGGATTTTGATGTGTAGGGGTAGGACCTATAAGTGTAGGGTTCCGGCATAAATCACGGTTCAACATGCAAGGTGTCATGGGATAGTTACATTACATCGTAGCTAACATCCAATAACAAGACAAAATATTTGCAGAATCTGTTATTTTTCTTTGTTCCTGAGACGAAATTTTGAATTTAAATCCGCCGCTCAAGTTTTGGTGGAATAAATAATGGACTTTCCTACTTCTACAAAGCTGCTTTAAATTAAATTAAAAATTCTTTTTTTTCCTAAATATCTATATTTTTAATGTTTATTTTTAGATGGTTAAAGTGAATATTTAATAAAAGAACTAGTCATTATATTTGGAAAGAGCGTGAATATTTTTTAATAATACATTAACATATTGGCATTTGTTTAGTTAAAAAGTAGTGTAAAATCAAGTAAATTTTAAGTAATATTTACTTTCAAGTGACAAATAATGTTACAAAAATTTAAGCGATTAAATGATATGATAAAATTTTTATTTATTTCACCAAATAATTTATACAAATAAATAAATAAATAAAAAATATTTTTTAAATTTTTTTATTAAAGAAAAATTAATTAAATATGATTATGATATAATAAATTTATATTCCATATTTTTATGTTAAAAATACCATTGGAGTATGGATTATACAATTACTTAGAGTGCATATTAATATTTAAAATATTGATTTCTATCCTTTAACGCATAAAAGAAATAATTTAAACATGCGTAACTTTTATATTGGGTAAACATTCGAATGGAGGTGAAATTAACCTAACAATTAAAACACCCCTAATATTAAAACCAAATTAAGAAAAATAATAATAAAAAACCCAAACAAAAAACAGAAAAAAAGGTGAAAGGATCTGGGGGCAAACGGAGGGTGCCAAGTGCGGCGTTGAATCGCGCAATCCTGCACCCGCTGTGACAGAAGCGGCGAGCATAAACCCTATACCCTACCATGTCTGAAGACAACGACAGAGAGCAGTACGGAGTGCTCCTTTACTACAACTACGCTGAAATTCCAGACCTCAATCACCTCCTCACCTTCTACCACTCCAACTGCTCCTCCCTCAACATACGAGGTCGTGTTCGCCTTTCTTCCCATGGCGTCAATGTCACCGTTAGTAATCATACATTCTATTCTTCCCTTTCTTTCTTCATTTTCTGCCACTACTCATTTCTCTTCGCACAGGTTGGCGGCAATTTATCCTCTCTCCAGTCTCACATTGAAGCCCTCAAAGCCTACGAATCCTTGTTTCGTCACACCGATTTCAAGCTTGCCACGTGTCATCGCCCACTAAATGACCAAGTTGCCCAGGAGTGTGGTTTCACTTCTCTTTCTATTCGGATCGTCGATGAACTTGTTACTCTCAGTTCTCATCCACTGTTAAAATCGCCCGATATCTCCAATGCTGGAAAGCATCTCTCTGCACTTGACTTCCATTCTTCCCTTCACAATGCCAGTAAGTTCCCATAACTTCATGCCATTCATTTATAGAGTTTTTTTTGTTTCCTTACTTCAGTTTACCCTGTTAACATGTTTATTCCTCACTTTTATTGTCTCTATCATGAGCATTCGGTTATGTTTGGGAAATTGGTAACTTGAATCTTCTATTCTTCATTTGTGTAATCCTGTTGTTTTGTAGACAACGAGAGTCCAGAAAACGGCCTTGTTTTACTTGATGCTAGGAATTTGTATGAAACAAGAATTGGGAAGTTTCATGTGCCAAATGTTGAGACTTTGGATCCACAAGTTAGGCAGTATAGCGATTTGTCCTCGTGGATAGATGATAATGGTGACCGGTTGAAAGGAAAAAATATCCTCATGTAAGTTCTCTTTTATGACATTTTGAGGGGGATTCTATTATGAAGTATGATATGCTAGATTATGAAGCTTCGACGGATACCACGGTCACTGGGACATGGCTGATGTCCCTAATGTAAGACACGGCGACATAACTGATATATATATATATATATATATATATATATAATCAACATGACAAAAATTTAAATTGAAAATTAGATTTATATATTTTACTGTATCTAAGCAAATTTGCTGCAGTTTTCCTTTAATAACAACTCTCAAAATAGAATTCTAAATAGGAAACATATATCTTAATAGTTTAAATAACTCATTAAGTCCTTCTGACACAAGCCTAAACAAATGAGTTTTGGATTAGTTATAATGTAATTTGTTTTTTACTTCTTTTATGATGTAGTGTTTAGCCAAGAATAAATGTCACTACATTTTCTTTACTTTAAGCTGTGTTGAAGAGGTGTGTAAGAGATGTTTAACCCGGAAAAAATTAATAATTGTGATACAGTTGAATTTTGATGGACGCATGTCGAAGTCATGTCTAACAAGTGTCATTTTCAAAAAGTATTATATAGAGGTTTCCGGCTTCCTATCTGATCAGCCATTTGGTTGTAGTGTTTTCCAAGTCACGAACAATTTGTGCTTGAGTAACTGGTAATCACTTACCCTGTGGCTTCATTCATTGGTTGAAGGTATTGTACTGGTGGAATCCGGTGTGAGATGGCATCAGCATATATTAAGTCAAAAGGTGCTGGGTTTGAGAATGTGTTTCAGGTAAAAACCAAATTTCCCTTCTCCTGACCCACCTGTCTTGAAAACAAAAGAAATATCTCGATCGTTATACAATGGATATATATCATTTTGTGATGGACATTACTGTGGAGATTGGGAATTGTGGTCAACGTGTACCATTTTATAAGAATCTGCTACCAAACATGATAAAAAATAACGTTAAAGTTGATTAGTAGTATTTCATATAATTTTGTATTAATTGCAGTTATTTGGGGGCATACAACGGTATTTGGAGCAATTCCCTGATGGTGGTTTTTTCAAAGGAAAGAATTTTGTATTTGACCACCGGTATGCCCTTTTTAATTCTCACATTTTTTTAGGCAAGAATTTGTAAGATTATCAAATCTTGTAGTGATTGGAAAATTGTACATTGAATTCTTTGGCTGTCTTTGTTAACAAGAATTATAGAGGTAGATCTTTTGTTTTTTGGAATGATAAAGGTCAAAGACCTGCAAATAGAATTATTTAAGCTTCAGGAGACTATAATCATTATTCTTTGTTTTTGGATTGAAGATATATTTAACCTCTATGTCACAGATATTGTCATCATGAATAACTTCCTTTTATTTACAAATACGAATAGTACTATCAATCTCATTCATTTCTTGATATCATCCATAAACAGAACCGTTTTCTATTTTTAGTTCAGCACTCTCTGTTTCTACATTATACATGCTTATATGTCTCATGTAACTTCATTGGATTTTCACAATTCTTTTTAAAAGGCATGGATACTCCACCAATACATTTCGGTCAAGTGTCTTAGCCTGTGTTTGTTTGAACTGATTTACTGTTCACGAAGACAGAAATGAGAGATTCAATTCGTTTGTTGCAAGTGATTTGAGAGGATTTGCAGGCGCGGATTTGAGGGAGAGGGGAGGAAAGCTCACCCTGAAGATTTGAGAGGATTTGAGAGGATAGCAGAGAAAGGCACGTCATCAAATAGTAAATAACTTATTTACCCTTCTCCATCTCCTGCATGAGAACACGCGTGGTGTACTATAATAGCACATCTAATAGCGGTTAAAACTTAACCGCTATTATATAGCAATTCTAATAGCGGTTAAATCTTAACCGCTATTATATATTTTCAGATATCATCGATCATTTGAAAATGTAGTCGATCATAATCGAAAAATGTGGATGTCGCTCGAACGAGATCAGTTTCGCTCAAGCGAAAAACAACCCGAGAATGAATTATGTGCAGGTGTCTTCGCTCGAGCGAGTTTAATGTCGCTCAAGCGAAATACAACTTGTAATAGCGGTTAAACCATAACCGCTATCTAATATACTTTAAATAGCGGTTACAGAGGAACCGCTATGATATCTTCCAATTATGATCGATCATTTGAAATTATGATCGATCAGGATGCTATTTCGCTCGAGCGAGAGTATAATCGCTCGAGCGAAATACAACCGAGACTGAATCTTAAAATATTTTTTTTGAATATTATGTTTTTTAATTTGTTATTAGAGAAAACCTTTCGGAATTCAAAATGTTAAATTATATTTTAGAATATATATATCTATATAATTTTCTATCAAAATTATATATTCTCAAATATAATTTATTTTCATTTCTATAATATATATATAAATTTTAGTAATATTGTGGAATATATATTTTATATTACAGTAATTAATATAAATTATATTTTAGAATATGTATATATATATATATATATATATATATATAATTATACATTAAAATAAATTCAAATTGTGGAGCCTTTAGATAGCGGTTATTCTGGAACCGCTATCAGATGTGAACATATGATAGCGGTTCAAGGTGAACCGCTATCTTAAGTGTCCAGGTTTTGGAAAAGTGATCGATCATTTTGGCAAAATAATCGATCATTTGAAAACTTTAGATAGCGGTTAACATATAACCGCTATCACAGGTTACTTTTAAGAGCGGTTATCTTTGTAACCGCTCTTAAAAGTGTATATATAATAGCGGTCCAGTTTAACCGCTATCTTATATATATTTGTAATAGCGGTTATTACTGGAACCGTTATCTAAAATCTTGATCATTTGACAAATTATATATTCTAAACACGACAGAAGGAGGTAAGTCATGAACAGAAGTCACGGGCTGTACATGCAGTGGTCACGGGCTGTACAGCCAACTTCACGTGTTCACAGCTGATAGAAGTTACAAGACTTATTCTTTCTTCTCTAGTTACAGCCGATAGGGAAAGTTATTGTATTATATAAAGCAAAGCTAGTCTCATAAGACTAGCTAAAAGACTCTAGCAAAGCAAAGCAAACTGTTTTTAAAAAGAATTTTCAAATCTGCTGCATTAATTAATCTGTTGAAAGTTTGTTTTAATCTGTTGAAATAGCCGTTATAATCTGTTAAAAGTCCTTTCAACCCATTAATGCGTTCTTGTTTCTTTAACAGAATGGTTTTAGTTGATACAACCATGTTTATATCAGTTAAAACATTTTACAAACATTTTCTGAGATTGATTCAATCGATTGATTCACGTTTTAATCGATTGATTTGCTTAAAAACCTTCTTATAAAACTTTCCTCAGTTATTTTAGCTGATATAAAGTCGTTTTAATCGATTGAAAATCTGTACATAACTTTTCAAGTCTTTTTAATCGATTGAAAGTTCGTTTTAATCGATTGAAATAAGTCTGATCGGTCATAATTCAATTTTGATCGATCATAACCAACTCTGATCGGTCATAATTTCATTCTGATCGATCATCCTGACTTCCAAAGTGGTTTTAATCGATTAAAACGTGTTTTAATCGATTAAAATAAATCTGATCGCTCATTTTTAAAGTCTGATCGATTATATTTCATTCTAACCTGTCATATTCGAATTCTAACCTGTCAAAGGGTAAAATGGTAATTTTTTTAAATAATCAATTAAAATTATAATTTTTATATCTCATATCAATCAAATCATTCACAATTTCCCATAAACTTTCCTATCACTTTCCATTCATCCAAACAACTTTAACTTTATCTCCATTTCTCTTCAAATCCCTCCTTTTCCACTCTCTCATTTCCACTCTCTCAAATCACTCCAACCAAACAAAGCCTTAGAGTATGAGTACTGGATATATGAAATAAAATAAAGTATCCATGTTTCCAAGGTTAACCTTATAAGGTTCAAATGTTTGATTATATTTGTGAACTGTTATTCAACTTGGCCCTTTATGGCAAAATATTATTCAAACAACCTAACCTTTGAACTAAATAATGACTGGGTCCTTCTCTATAAATAATATTTTTATGCTATTCCTTGATTTTAATTTTCCCATGTTTTTACTTGGAATTAACTGGTGATTATGCAGTTTCTCAGTTTTTTATATGATTTAAAGTTTTACTATTATCTTTAAGCTTTACTTCCAAATTTTATTTTATGTTTTCTTGTTTGCTTTCTCTCTCCCTCCCCCTCTCTTAACGCTACAATTCTTATAGTCCTTTCAAATTACTGCTTATTTTACATATAAGTTTAAAGAAACTATACAGATCATCATGGTGTTATTGCGTTCACTATTCACGTGTATTGTTCACATAGCTTGCTGCACATGCTGATAATTCCAATTCAATATCGTTGTGCGGGTGGATCACTTTTTCCATGCTGCTGGTGATAACATTTGTGTCTCTCAATGGTGGTTTCGTTAATTGTATATATTAATATATTGAATGTCAGTGTCTAGTAAAGAATGGGGGTTATCTTGAAATCTGGTCAAACTCATAAGGGTAGTTTTGCAACAGTATGATGAAGCGAATCTTATTAATTCCTTCTGACTGTAGGATATCAGTTGGAAGTTCAGATGATAATGTTATTGGTACCTGCCTTGTATGTCAATGTTCGTTTGATGATTACTCTTCTCGTTGCCGGTGTACTTACTGCAGAATGCTTGTTTTGGTTTGCCGTAGTTGTCAGGTATGATCTAATAATATGTATTATTTATGTTGAAGTATTTATTAGATTAAGTGTATCTTGTTGGACATTTATGAGATTAGTTGTAGACCTAGTTCCTAGAATGCATCTGTTTATCTTCTCTAGGATTAATCATGTCTCTCTATTTATTGTATCTCTGAATCTGTATTTTTATCTCCTATAAATAAGAGAACACAAGAAGATGATTTCAGGCTCTCAAAATCAGTTCTTTATTTTCTTTTTCTATTTCAAGTTGGTATCAGAGCGGGTTCATCCCGCTCTGCCTGTCTCTGTTATTTTTCTGGCATTAATCGCCGCCGTCCGCCGCCGGTCTTGTCTTCTCCGGCGCTGTTTTCCTCTCGACACTTGGGTTTGGCTCGCCTCGAGGAGCGCGACCCAACCCCGATGTTCGCTTCCTCTATCTCGCCTCACGCGCCTCCACGCGCCACCCTTGTCCGCGGCTTCCTCCGCGGGTGGGCCTCACGCGCCGTCCTCTCGGTGGCCGTTTTGCTCCGAGCCACCTCTATCCGGCTCGCCTCGTCGTCCTGGTGCCGGATCTGCACTTTGTTTTGTGTTCTCGGTCACAAAACGTGGTGGGTCTGTGTTTTCTCTCTGCCTCTCTCGGTCCTGTCTCCGACGAGCACTCTAACAACACGTCTGGTCCTCTCTTGTTTCCTGGAAAATGTCGGAGAGCGTATGCGTATCTTTTCTCGGGACTCAGACTATAACCACGAGAAAAATTAAATGGAAAAAATTATTTGTCTTGGGCTTCCTCTGTTGAGCTCTGGTTTCTAGGTCAAGGAGTTCATGATCATCTAGAAGAAGATGGGAGTACTATACCAGCAGATCAGGCTCCTCAATGGAAGAAACTGGATTATCAACTTTGTGCACTATTATGGCAATCTGTTGAACCACATATTTTGAGCACTCTTCGAGCCTTTAAGACATGTAATTCTTTTTGGAAAAAGGCCCAAAATATCTTTGCTAATGATATTCAACGACTTTATGATTCTGCTAATAGACTTGCCTCCCTTAAGCAAGAGGATAATTCCATGATGTCCTTTGTTGCTGAAGCTCAGTCAGCTGTTGAAGAATTAAAAATGTTCCTGGAGGCAGAATCATTAGAAGAAAGAAAGACGAAGCTGGATAAATTCTATATGGTAATGATTCTTAGGGCTATGAATCCAGAGTTTAATCATGTTAGAGACCGGATTCTAACTGGAGAAGAAGTTCCTTCTACGGAGAGTTTAATCACAAGGCTACTTCGTGTTCCTTCTATCAAAAGCAAAAACAGTCAGGAACTTGCTGATTCTTCCGCCATGGTTTCTGCTCGTGGAAGAGGTAATCACAGCTCTAGAGGACGTGGTGGGAAAGGACGTCCTCAGTGCTCTCATTGCAAAAGAATGAGACATACTAAGGAAAATTGCTTTGCTCTGCACGGCTTTCCTGATAAGACAGCTAATACCTCAAAATCTGAAGTTGATGAGCCCAAGTTCTCTCATGAAGAGTATCAAGAATATTTAAGGATGAAATCAACCAATTTGGCTCAAGCATCTACAACACCAAATTCATCAACCGCTTGCATTTCGCAATCTGTGGAAAGTCAAAATCCATGGATTATTGACTCAAGTGCTTCTGACCACATGTCTGGTAATATCTCTTTATTTTCCTCTCTTTCATTTCCTAAAACATCCCATCTCATATCTTTAGCTAATGGATCTAAAGTAGCCTCTAAAGGAATTGGTCAAGTATCTATCTCTTCTTCTTTAAACCTTCAAAATGTTCTTTGTGTTCCTTCTTTTCCATTCAGTCTTGTTTCTGTAAGCCAATTAACCAAATCATTGGATTGCTCAGTAACCTTTAATGCCAATTGCTTTGTTATCCAGGAACGTGGTACGGGTCGACTGATTGGAGAAGGACATGAATCTGGAGGCTTATACTACCTTAGTACTAAGTCATCTGTATCTTGTGTTGCATCCTTATCCCCAAAGCTGTTACATGAGCGATTAGGGCATCCTCATTTAGCAAAATTAAAAAAAATGGTTCCTGAACTTGGAACCTTCAAACTTTTGAATGTGAAGCTCGTCAACTTGGGAAACATACCAGGTCATCCTTTCCAAATCATTCTGAATCTAGATGTGATTACGCTTTTAGTATTGTTCATTCGAGATATATGGGGACCTAGTCGTGTTTCATCTTTTGGTTTTAGATATTTTGTTACTTTTATTGATGAGTTTTCTAGATGTACTTGGGTTTATCTTATGAAAGATCGTTACGAACTATTGCCTATCTTTAAGTCTTTCCTTAATGAAATCAAAACTCAATTTGGAAAAGTAATCAAAATTTTACGAAGTGATAATGCCAAATAGTACTTTTCTACTGATTTTTCTAATGTCCTAAATTCTCAAGGCATTTTACACCAGTCCACGTGTCCTCACACACCACAGCAAAATGGTATAGCAGAACGAAAGAATAGACATTTGGTTGAAACTGCTCGTACCTTGTTACTGGGTGCCAATATGCCTATTCATCATTGGGGAGATGCTATTCTAACTGCATGCTTTCTCATTAATAGAATGCCATCTTCTTCTCTTGATAATAAAGTTCCACACTCCATTCTATTTCCAAAGGAACCAATTTTTCATGTTTCTCCTAGAGTATTTGGATGTATATGTTTTGTTCATGACATGTCTCCTGGCTTAGATAAACTCTTACCTAGAGCTATCAAATGTGTCTTCTTGGGGTATTCTCGTCTTCAAAAAGGATATCGGTGTTATTCTCCTGAAACCAAGAGGTATTACATGTCTGCTAATGTCACCTTTTTTGAATCATCATCCTTCTTTCCTTATTCTATGCGGGATATTGATTCTCGTCCAAAATGTGTTTCCTGTTCCCTTTGTTGAATCAGTTGTACCTCCTATTCTCGACACCCCAAATCCCAACCAAAATACTCTAGAATCGGCATCACGACCTATCATCACCTATCAACGCAGGAACCAGGTGAACAATCCTATTCCCCAAGATGAGCCATCCATAACGGGTCCTTCACCATCATCCTCTAATACCACGGCTCCCGATAACGATGACTCCAGTTGGCCCATTGCCATTCGTAAAGGTACTCGTTCTACTCGTAATCCTCATCCCATTTACAATTTTCTTAGTTATCATAGATTGTCTCCTTCCTATTGTTCTTTTATTTCCTCTGTCTCCTCTATTACAATTCCCAAAAATGTGGTCGAAGCGCTTGATCATCCTGGATGGCGACAAGCCATGATTTCGAAATGCGGGCTCTTGATCACGACAAAACATGGGAGCTTGTTCCTCTTCCTTCGGGAAAGAAAACAGGTTGGTTGTCGTTGGATCTATGCTATTAAAGTTGGGCCCAATGGTCGGGTTGATCGTCTTAAAGCAAGGTTAGTAGCTAAAGGGTATTCTCAAATATATGGGCTTGATTATTGTGATACTTTTTCTCCGAGTAGCCAAAATGACCACTGTCGCTTTGTTCCTTGCCATGGCCGCCATTCGTCATCGGCCTCTTCATCAATTGGATATTAAAAATGCTTTTTTGCACGGTGACTTAGAAGAAGAAGTTTACATGGAGCAACCTCCTGGATTTGTTGCTCGGGGGAGTCTGGTTTGGTTTGTAAATTACGTTGATCCCTCTATGGCCTAAAACAGTCTCCACGTGCTTGGTTTGGAAAATTCAGCTCTATTGTTCAAGCTTTTGGATTAAAACGCAGCGAAGCAGATCATTCGAGTGTTTTTTGTCACATCGCCCCTGGCAAATATGTTTATTTAATTGTGTACGTTGATGATATTGTCATCACAGGGAATGATGCTTGCTAAAATATCTCAACTAAAAGAACACTTGTGTAGTCATTTTCGGACCAAGGATCTTGGAAATCTAAAATATTTCTTGGGTATTGAAGTAGCTCAATCAAGAGAAGGTATTGTCATCTCTCAAAGGAAGTATGCTCTAGATATTCTAAAAGAGACATGTATGATTGATTGCAAACCTGTGGACAGATCCTATGGATCCAAATTTGAAGTTAATGGCGGGACAGGGTGAAGTTTTCTCGACCCGAGAAAGATATAGAAGACTGGTTGGGAAACTTATTTATTTGACGATTACTAGACCTGATTTGTCTTTTGCAGTTGGTGTTGTCGGCCAATTTATGCAAGCTCCTTGTGTGGATCATTGGAATGCTATCATTCGAATCTTAAGATACATTAAAAAAGCTCCAGGACAAGGATTATTATATGAAGATAAGGGAAATACCCAAATTTTTGGGTACTCGTGATGCTTGACTCGAGCTGGATCTCCTATGGATAGGCGCTCCACTACGAGGCTATTGTGTTTTCCTTGGAGGAAATATCATTTCATGGAAAAGCAAAAAGCAAAACGTTGTTGCCCGATCCTCTGCGAAGCTGAATATAGGGCAATGGCGTCTCTTACTTGTGAACTTGTTTGGGTAAAACAATTCTTGCAAGAATTGAACTTCGTGAGATTCAATCTATGAAGGTGTATTGTGATAATCAAGCTGCTCTTCACATTGCTTCCAACCCGAGTATTTCATGAGAGGACTAAGCATATTGAGATTGATCGTCATTTTATTCGGGAGAAGTTGTTGACTAAAGAAATTTGTACTCGAGTTTGTTGGTTCCAATGATCAGCTTGCGGATGCATTAACAAAATCTTTGAGAGGACCTCGAATGGAATTCATTTGTTCCAAGCTTGGTACATTCAATTTGTATGCTCCAGCTTGAGGGGGAGTGTTGAAGTATTTATTAGATTAAGTGTATCTTGTTGGACATTTATGAGATTAGTTGTAGACCTAGTTCCTAGAATGCATCTGTTTATCTTCTCTAGGATTAATCATGTCTCTCTATTTATTGTATCTCTGAATCTGTATTTTTATCTCCTATAAATAAGAGAACACAAGAAGATGATTTCAGGCTCTCAAAATCAGTTCTTTATTTTCTTTTTCTATTTCAAGTATTTATGCCTACATTTTTTTTTGTTTCTATTTTTGTGAATTTTACCATCTAGAAGAAGTTGGGAAGGAGAAAAAAAGTATAAGGAAAGAAAAAGAAGTAATTAATATCTCCTGGGATCATATACTGGATCTAGTAGTCTCAGTCATGCTGTTTTTTACCTGTTTATGAAGAACTTAACCAAGAACTGTCATATATGCTAATTTGTTAGGAGTCCATGAAATTCTAAATAAGATATTGGTTCTGATTTATTTATTTTTACTAACAGAGCTTAACTTGATATTGATCAATAATTTAACTTTGCTATTGGTAACAAAATTGGATATTTCCCTAATTAGGTTCAAGCATGTAGTGATTGTGTAAGCCCCTATAAGCCCCCAGCGCAGCTATTGCCGTGGTCATTGGGCCTCAAAATAGAGCTTCAAGGATGCTTGCATTTGAATAACATTTGTCCTAAAGGCATCGCTCCTATAACTTGGATTAACTACATTCTTAATTGGTACTCTAGAAAATTTATTCCTTCTCCGCCATCTTTAATTTCTTGAGTCTAATGTTTTTCCCATTTGTTTGCTGGTTTCTTTTTGTCTTTTTTTGATTCTAATATGGTTGTGTTCCACCAGAATGAATCTACTGCGTATGTTTGTGAGCTATGTCAGAAACAGGGCAAGGCCGTCATGTCAACACAGTTAATTGAAAGTGGTGAATCAAAAACATCATTGGCAGATGCCGAGTTCCAGAATTTTTCTTCCGATACTATATGTTTGCCTCGAGTGCCTAAGGGAGATGGTGAGGTCTGTGATCCATATTACTCCACAAAACTGTACTTTCGCTTGGGTTTTGTAAAATTTGAAATTAAATGGTGGTTAATTTTACAATTGCCACACTGTACTGACTGCTGAAAAATTCAAGTCTTTTAAAAATTGAAGCTCGGGAAATTTCAATGCCCTCTATGATTTACGGAATATGTGCAATTACTAACATCCTAATGATTAATCTTCAGATCCAAGGACCTCAAGAAAACTCAGAATCTTGTGCTTGCATGGCTTTCGGCAGAATGCATCCAGTTTCAAAGGTAGAACAGCATCACTAGCCAAGAAACTGAAGAAAATGGCTGAATTTGTTTTTATTGATGCTCCCCATGAATTGCCATTCATCTACCAAAACCCCATGTCTGAGCCCAATGTAAATTGTGCATCGTCGTCATTGCTATCTAGTCCTCCACCGCCATTGGAGAATTGCAAGAAGAAGTTTGCATGGTTTGTGGCACCCAACTTCGATGGAAGTAGTGGGGTTGACTGGAAGGTAGCAGATGGTCCATTTGATCCCCTTCAATACCAGCAGCAAACTGATGGATATGATATTTCACTATCACACTTGAAGAGTGTGTTTTCCCAGGAAGGACCATTTGATGGAATATTGGGATTTTCACAGGGAGCAGCAATGGCTGCTTTAATCTCTGCACTACAAGAAAAGCTGAAAGGTGAAATGGACTTCAAATTTGTAGTCTTGTGCTCGGGCTTTGCTCTCCGGATGAAAGCGATGGAGTGTAACCCTATCAAGTGCCCTTCTCTTCATATTTTTGGTAATGAACATGGTAAAGACAGACAGATAGCTAACCAAACAAGCAAGGAACTTGCTTCTCTATATGATAGTGATTGTTCTACGATCGTTGAGCATGATAGTGGTCATATAATTCCTACTCGGTCCCCTTACATTGATGAGATCAAGGGTTTCCTTAATCGCTTTCTGTAGGAGATCCCTGAAGTTATCTCAAGTTTTTGACAATATTCAAATTTACATCGTTGTGTGATATCTTGTCTTTCTATGTACCACCACAACAAAGTCTGTTATGCTCATGCAAAATTGCCTCAATGGAACTAGCAAAAATGGACACGTCTTCTGCATATATTTCGTGACTGTTCGCGAACCCCACGTCTAAAGAAAATGTTAGGTCTTAACGAAAGTACGTGACTCGTAGGAATGTTTTTCACCAAAGGAAGAAAATGTTTTGTTGATTTTTTCTTTATTTATCTTAAAAGTTACCTAAACAGTTTAATTTTTTTCACATTTTGGTAGATATCTGCCTACTAGTGTGAGAGTTGTGAACGGATTCCCCATGGGGGCGATTCCGACGCCTTGTTTTATTTGCAGTAACGTATGTACATTTAAGTGTTTAAAGTGTTATTTCAATTAAAATGGAAGCTTTAATTTTGTAATCTATATTCATCTATAATAAAATAATAAGTATATTTGTTTTTATAATATCTTTGTTCACCTATAATTTTTTTTTATTTTGTTGAAACTATAATTAAAATTTTAAATAACAATAAACTTAGGAATACTTAATCGTTTATTCAAATTAATTTTTATATTTAAATATTTCCAAGCATATATTTTTGCATTATAAAAGACAGTATGAAATTTATTCGAACGAGAGAGGACATTCCAACGTTTTATGGCACAAATAAATTATAGAGGGAACAGACATTGGGCAAAAAAAAAAAACGATTGGGTCGAGGATGAAGTTAAGTAACTGCAAAAACTTGTGATTAATTCACTCTTAAACCTTTAAACCCTTTAAACCTCTGCTCCATAGTGTATTGTTGAACTCACAGAAGATGCAGCGCGTCGTAAGAAAACTAACCAGGATTCTTTCACACAAACAAGTATGTCTTCTTTCATTGCTTTGTGCTACCTCGTACTTCATGTTCATAACAACCCAAATTGCATGTATACTTAGTATGTTTTATGCGGTTTGCTGATGCCACTGTGATTTCCAACATGGAAATTTTATTTTGTTTCTTCAAATTCTGTCACCCATTGTATTAACTGCTTCTAACTCTTGCTTTTCGGTGGGTTACTTCAATCGTTTTCGCTCTGCAAATATTTTAACAATTCATACGCTCGACCTTTAAATTGGTTCCTCTCACCGGAAGCTATATATAATTAATGATCTCATTTTCAATTTTCTTTATTCCTATTTGTGTTGGTAAATCTAGGGATTATTCAATTAATTCATTTGGGTTACTCTAACTAATTGGCATTTCCAAGTTTCGCTCGCAGGTTGTAGGTTTTCGTAACTATTACGCTGGCGGGGTTGCGGTTGATGTTGGACAACCAACCTCTGCATCTCATCCGCAGGTTTATTATAGTATTTCCATTTGTGTTTATTATGAAGTTCAAAAACATAATTAAAATAAATTGTGAAATCTAACGCATAAGTATTTGAAGTGTCTATTATGTGTTTGACACATATACGACAGCTATTTTGAAGTGTTAGGGTTTCATGCTGTGCACTAGGTGCTATAGAAATATAGAGCATTTTGCTTAAGTCTTTGTTTGTTAAGGCTAATTAGCATTTTCTATGTCATGTTACATTGTAGCTAGTGAAAGATGGGGAGCTCACACCGGGCATATCTACGGAAGAATACATCCAAAGAAGAAAAAAGTTGTTGGAACTTCTCCCAGAGAAGAGTTTGGCAATCATTGCTGCTGCCCCAGTAAAGATGATGACAGATGTCGTGCCTTATACATTTCGACAAGATGCTGATTACTTGTATATCACAGGCTGCCAGCAGCCTGGTGGTGTGGCCATTTTGGGACACGACTGTGGCTTATGCATGTTCATGCCAGAAGCTAAGCCTTATGTGTGTCTGACATTATATCTTCTTGAAAATAGAACCATGTTTTGCAATAAGCATGCAATGTCAATGTAAAGATGATGTAACTTCCACTTTTATTATCTTCAGTAACATAAATTGGTTATGGTTTAATATTCATGCATTTTCAATGTAAAGATTTTTACACAATTAACCAATTAGAAATCACTGTACATATGACTTTTAAAGTAGTTATTACAAAATTCAACAATTTTATCTTATGTAACAATCTACGATGAGATAATAATGTTACAATGTCAGTTTATTTGAACTTATTTACTTATGTATAAAATAAATTCTGTTATTTAAATATCTGATTATCAATATAAGTCCATGTAATGTTTTATTTCAAATTTTTTTTCATGTTAGATTAAACCATCAATCAATTTGGTCATATGTGTGTGATTCATTATGTGCCTTCTTTGGAATGAATATAACTTTGAAACCTTAAATTTGTGTAGGATGTTATTTGGCAAGGGCAGATAGCAGGAGTTGAGGCAGCATTAGATACATTCAAGGCTGACAAGGCATATCCAATAAGAAAATTGCATGAGGTGAATTACTGGTATCGACTATAAAAAGCTTTTACTTCAATAGAAATTATATAGTAACTGTTTTGTCCTTGCACCTGAAATATTTCCATTGGTAAGCTTGCTGGAGGCTTGAAGCCAAAGTTATCACATCTTTGCAGTATACAAAGTGCATTTTCATCTTGGTCAACAGTTACATCTGTTTTTTATAATGATTCTTATTTAACATTTTTAACTACTGATTCAGATCCTTCCAGATATGATAAAGGGATCATCAAAATTGTTTCACAATGTCCAGACTGCAATTCCAGCTTATATGGAACTGGAAGCCTTCAAAAAACTAGCATGCTGTAACAATGTAATGGATCTAGCTGTTTATACTCATCAACTGCGATGGATAAAGTCACCAGCAGAGCTTAAGCTGATGAAGGAATCTGCATCAATTGCTTGTCAGGTACTTTCATCTCTAGTGCAACGTTTTGGTAACTAAATATTTCTAACTCCCAACAAGGCTGTTCCATGCACCTAACCATTACTAGGTCCTAGATGTAGAAGAATACCCACTAGATAATTTGAATATTTTGTGGTCTTGAACAGGCTCTTTTGTTGACAATGCTACATTCAAAGACATACCCTTTTGAAGGTACACTAGCAGCAAAGGTTGAATATGAATGCAAAATTAGAGGTGCCCAGCGGATGGGGTGAGTAATTTTTGTCTATTGTTTGTTGATAATTGAAGAAGCTTCCACAACCAAAAATATAGAAGTTCATTGATAGAAAAGAAATTCAAGTTTAAGCATCACTTTCATCCATAGTTCATGATGTAATTTTTCTTTTCTTTTTCTCTCTATTAGATTCAATCCTGTGGTTGGTGGTGGACCTAATGGAAGCATTATACACTATTCTAGAAATGATCAGAGAGTAAATTCATTTAATAAACTCCATCTCCTATTAACTTTAATTTTGTGTCTCTAATCTGTAAATATGTTTGGCAGATTAAACAAGGAGATCTTGTTTTGATGGATATTGGATGTGAGTTACATGGTTATGTCAGTGATCTTACTCGTACCTGGCCACCTTGTGGTAGCTTTTCTTCTGCCCAGGTTAGCATGATTGAAGTCCTTTGAGCAACTCAATCTACGTATTGCAGGAGAGCTTAATAAGTGTCAAGGTTATCAATAGTGGTTAATATCCTATGGTGGTGAACCAAAAATGAGCAATATCAAAATGGCGGAAGCCATGGTGGACACTGTAAATATATAAACTTAAAAAAATAACTGTAAATATGACAAAGCAATCTTGTTTGTAGTAAACTTACGCCTATATCTCTTTCTTTCTTTTTTTCTCTCATTTGATATCCAATTTCTTGTCAATTAATAGCAATCTAAGACAAACAGTTTTCATGTTCTCAATTTTCTATTGCATACCTCATTCCATGATGGGTGTATACTTGTATGTATTCTTGTTTGTAGACATATAACTCTTCTCGTACACAATGCACTTGTTCTCGATGAAGTTTCTATGGTGTTAAAATAATTTAACTTTTGTTTCTTGTGATGAGTTTTTTTTGGCCATCATATTGTTCTTGCTAAATTTTCTACTAAATGCTGAGACTTAGCACGTTAAACAAACTGAAATTTTATGGCTTTTTTACTTTGAGAAGATGGTTTCTATTTTTTTTTTCTGTTGTGATAGATTTGTAAAGGAAACATTTTTTTTCACTGCTTCATATACCACCAACCTTAAAAAACGGAAAAGAATGTGAAACTTATGTAATTAAAAGTGAGAACAGAAAACGTTTTCTCAGGCCAACAAAACTTAGTTTGCTTGTTTATTTTTTGGAGGGAAGGGAGTTATGAGATTGCTTTCTCAACAAACAAACAATGGGAAGTGTTGGTTGTTATGATGTTTGAATTTGGTCAAGTCTACAGTTATACTCTAAATTCAAGATTTAAGTTAAGAGGCGTTACTGATTACAGTTTGGTATATGGCCTATTGGTGAAGAGTGAATATCTTACTAGTAGATGAACATTAACTAGAGTTGTTGGTGCTCCATGAGAAGATGACATTCTAATCGGTCATTATAGCCAAAATGGAGATTTTTGTACATAGAAATATAGTGAATTGGTTAGAGGTACTCTGAATAATATATACTTGTGTGGACATTCAATTAGGGATAGATATTCCCCCTCCTCTTGCTTTTCTTCTAGGGATCTAATGGGCCAAAAGCTTGAACCTGCCCCCCATTGGGAACAGCAATATGTAATACGAGTTTGATCTTTCTCTGCTTTTGGTATACTATGACATAAAAATATTCAAAGCCTAGTTTTTGCTCCTTCTAGACATGATGAAACTGCTAATCCCCATATTGCTTTGATCTTTTAACTTCTTTTCAACATATTACTTTGCTCTTTTATTCTTGCCATTTTTCATATGAATATCATGGTTTCTTGTATATTTCAGGAGGAGCTTTATGAACTTATATTGGAAACAAATAAGCATTGTGTGGAACTTTGTAAGCCTGGTGCCAGTATTCGGCAAATACACAACCATTCGGTATCCCTTTTTTCTTATCCCCTTTTCATTTTGCCAGAGATGTAATTAGTTCATTGTCACTCATAAAACCCCACCTAATAGCTTAAGTTTTTAGAGAGTTGGTGATTGAAATAGTATTAGAACCTCTATGACTAAGTTGTCAAGAATTTAATCCTTGCTGCCCTCATGCTTCTAAATAAAATTTGAATTTCATCTCAAGTTTGGGAGGCTGTGATATTCCTTCCTTTCAACATTAGGGATTGTGTTGTAGATATAATAATGTTGTTTCTGAGCCTTCACCTAACAAAATATTTCAGGAGTGTTGGTAATTGACACGATTTATTGTCATTATTAGGAGAAGCTGTGTTTGTTCTCTGTTGCTCTCTCTTTCCTACTTCATCATAGGATTTAGAGGGAAAAGTATCCCTAGTTATTCTAATCTTAAAACTATATTAATGATCTGATTAGGAATATGCTGTACTTTCTCAAGTAATTGATCAAAAGGTTCAAAACTATTAACTCTTTTAGATCCAAGATATGTTTAACTATGTGTAGAATGTTATGGTAATTAAATAAAAATAATTTGTCTTAATTTTTTTTTTTTTTGGTTTACAACAACATTTTGTCTTAGCTAAAAATGAATTTGCTTGTTCAAATTAAACAAATCCAGCCTTATCCAGTAATGGGAAAAATATTTTTTCTTAGCTATTAGCACCTACATCAACATATATATTTAGTAATAATATAGGATGCCCGTCTGCATATTTTTACTTTCTTGATTGAACAATATTTCCAATTTCTTCTATTCCAGCATTACCAAACAAATACTAGAACTTGGTTTGCCTCAAAGTTGGATGCTAGCTTATGCTATGTGGGTAACGTATAGGTTTCTCTAAATATCCCTTTTTCTGCGAAGCTCATTAGTAAATCTTCTCAGCACTGTCATTTCATTAATTCTTATTTTATTCTATGTTACTAAAGAAAAGCGGAGGGAATTTAATTATCTCTGGTTTCTGTTGTAGGCTTGTTGAAACTGTCCTATAATTCAGCTTTATTCTTGTTCAAAATTTCAAGTGGATCAGAACCTATATATTAAAAAAACTTTTAATATTTGCTTTGCCATGTACATGATTGAACATTATATCACTACCATTAACAGTAATAAGTGTGTGCTAGTGGCCTGAGTATCATCTTCACATTATATCATGCTTTTTCTTGTTGCACTTTTGAATGTTTTATTATTGTTCATTCAACTAGCTGACGTTATACTAAGTGTAATGTTAAATGATCTGGTTGCATAGGTTGAAATGCTGCAGAAAGGACTCAAAGATCTTGGGATTTTGAGAAGTGTTGGTAGCAGTTCCTACCATAAGCTGAACCCAACTTCTATAGGTAGCTTTCTGCTCAAATCTGCTTTCTGACAGAGTATACAATATGTAGCCATCAGAACAATAATTTTGTCTTACAGATTCATAGGCCAGTTTGAACTTTGGAGATTGAAAATAAAAAATTGTTATAGCCAAGAGAGACTGCAGATATATATCTAATCACACTTTTTTTTATCCATCCAGGTCATTATCTAGGGATGGACATTCATGATTGTTCAATGGTCAGCTTTGACTGTCCTCTGAAGCCAGGTGTTGTAAGTAGTTTCCCCGACAAAGCAAATTTTATTTTATTTTTTTCTATCTATTTTCTAAAAATTTGAGATAACTTCTATTCACTGACAGATAATATTTAATAATTGCTTGTTATATGTGGTTAGTGGAGATATCCTTGCCTTATTCCCATAAAATTATACTGCATTATTGTTACGTATATCTATTTAGAAAATGGAGAAATTGAAATACCTATAATTTAAAAATTTTAATACTCCTTAAATAATAAATTTCTATACTAACTATCTTTGTGTTTATAGAAAGAAGAGAATGGAAATCTTTTAAAAGAAAGTAACAAAATTGCGAGAATGAATGCATTCTGCGCTTCTACTTCTACCTACAATCTGTTAATAGACACTAAGAACCTCTTAGCCTGCTAGGAACATACTTCTATTTGTTCAATGGTGTTAGATACTATTAGACATCTTTAATTATGGTAATTAGGCAATTCTCAGATATTGTTAGATATCCTTAGTTTCTGAATACAAAAGACAGCATCCCCATATCCTTAATTTGGAAATTATTTTCTCTATAACAATACACATGCTATGTAATACACTTTGTTGTATACTATTAGAAAGTAGATATAAGCCTATCTCAACCCTACATCAAGCTTTGGCTTAAAGGTCAGGGATTTTGTAGATCACTGTACCACAACAGTTGATTCTATCCCAGAGGTCGATTTCTCTAATTGGAACAAGATTGATGCCTAACAGTGTACTGCTTGAAATCCTAGGGGGAGTCACTTTTAGGTCTTGCGAGGTACAAATAAATTGTTGGGTGGCTGAATTATCTTAGTGTCACCTGACCAGATATTTCCTTTGCAATTTGTGTAGTTAGTTTCTTATTTTTCCTCATTAAGGACATGGGGATGCTGTCTTTTGTATTCTGAAATACATCATAGTTGTTCCAGGAAAAGTTCTCCCACTAATACGAGTTCCAAATCTGAATATTGCATTTTTATGGTGGTAATTTCCTAGAGAAGTAAACAACATATTGTCGTTGCATGATCTAACGTAGAAGTAGAATATCGTGTCTCATGGCTTTAACCATTCGTAAACTTATTTGACTCAAATAGTTGCTCAAAGAACCAAAGTTTAGTGATGCTACCCAGATGTCACTCATTTGTGATAGTTAGGCTTACTTGCACATTACTTCAATATTTCATAAGAGAATTAAACATATTGAGATAGATTGTCACTTCGTTAAGGGATTATGGAATGACATTTACCTCTAATTTTGTAACTCTACCTATTGATAGGTTGATATCTTAACCGTTGGTTTGAGGGGTCCTCAAATTTATTATATTTGTAACAATTAACAAGCTAGTGTTGGATATTATTATATTTTTAATTATGGTAATTAATAAATTGTTTTCTCCAGAATTACTGTACTTCTTCCCAACATTAACTTTATGCTGTGTAATACAATTTGTAGTGTATATCCGAAGTATACTTTTACAATTGTATCTGATCAGTGTTTTCTAAATACTAGTTTGCATCAAAGCCTGTTATTGTTGCTGCTCATATGCTTCTTTGTGTACACATATTAGCTGATGGTTTTTTTTTTTTTAATTTGTATGGCTGTGTGCAGGTAATAACTATTGAACCAGGAGTGTACGTCCCATCTTCTTTTAATGGTCCAGAAAGGTAATTATTAAGGTTGATTAAAGGAGGTTTTTCTTTTACAAACTGGTTTTTTCAAATTGATGATTCCCATTGCTGACCCCTCTGACGAAATTTTCCGGTTTACCAGCTAAATCTACTAAAGAATACTAATTCACATGAATTCGTTTCCCTTGACTAGGTTCATGAATTTATCTTTCATTTTTCTTTCCCAAGAATCTGGTTACATATACCAGTTTGTTAAAGCTTGAGTTGAGTATCCTGATTAATTAATTTCCAAGGATGTTTTAGTACTGATTACCCTGTTTGATCATAATCTTCTTGTTTCCCTAAGGTCTCTATGTAACAAGTCCCACATTGGGGAGGTCTTCTTACCAGGGAGGCCTTAAGAGGTTGGAGAACCTCCTACCTTATAAGGCCTCCCTGGTAAGAAGACCTCCCCAATGTGGGACTTGTTACACTCTATTGGAATGAGACTAGTCATTGCCTATGATGTTCTTATACCATAAAAAAAAGGAAATAGCCATTCCCTCCGGCAATTACTTCTGTACTATATGTCTTCTCTAAAAATGCGAAATATCATTTTCTACCAGTGGCTGCACCATCAGTGTCCTACAACCTTCAACCCCCCAACTGCCATCGAACCAACTTCATCCCTCGTCACTAAAACATTTTATTATACTCCTATTTGATTTGTCTCAAGCACAGGACCCGAATGGAATAGTCATTTAATCATACACACGTGGCAATGGAAATGCCTATTCCATTCTCATCTGCATTCATATTGAAATTATTAAACCCAATGGGGGCCAATGTTCTACAGATGTATTGTTCCTAAATTATTTAATCCATCAAGAGATGTGTGTCCGTTTTTTGAAGCTCAATTTTTTCATATGCAAATTGAGAATCTTGTTAATCTGTTTCAATCGTAGTATCCGTCGGACATATGGGCAAACATAATATGGATGTTATTCCTCTCATCTGTATTCTACTTTAAGGTCTTTTTTGTCAATCGCTGTCCTGTTCACAACTTCCGAACCTCATTTAAATAATTTCAATATTTGTTCACCATATATTCCTTGTAAACATTTAAGTTGTTTTTAATCTTGACATTAAATGTTTCTTTCATATGCAATATAATAAATCTTGCAAGATGTCTAATTGCAGGTATCGTGGCATTGGGATACGGATTGAGGATGAGGTTCTGATCACAGAAACTGGTTATGAGGTATTTTTTTTATTTTAATTTTTGCAGTTGAAACTGGTATTTGACAACTAAGTGATCTGTTGATTGTGCTTCTCTTAAGCGTTAGTTTAATGAATGAAAGATACATGAGGTTGCAATAGAGGAGTTCAAGTAAATAGTTTATCCTTAAAAAATTTACAACTAAGCACTTGCACCAGTTGAGTTTCACAATGCTCTCACATATTATGTAATATGCCTCTTTTTTTGTTTTTTAATGGTATGAATTCGACCTCCTCAAGCCGACTTCAAATGGGACATATTGGATAATATGTGAAGGAGGGCATTGTGGTGCTTCTAAAACTCAAATGGAGGCACTGTGGAAAAACTCCCACATATGAAACTTGCTGACAAAAATGGAGGATAATTCTTTACTCAGCTTATGCTATACTGTTCGGTTTAATCTAAATTTTGAGTAAAGCCATAAAGTAAGATGAGAAATGAACGAAATCTGAAAAAATAATATATACTGAATCTTACTATTTTTTAAATTATACAATTTAATTTAATTTCAAGCTTCTCTTTCCTCTTCCAGTTTCTTCCCCACCAAACATATCCTTAACGGTTTCAGAATTTATGATTGAATGATACGCGCTGCTATTGTTCGGTTTTTTTATTACTCAGTATTTTAGCGATTGTTGTTTGTCACGAGTTGGTGTCTGAAAAATTGTATTTGTGGTAGAATTGTAGTATTTATAGTGTCATTAAATGTGTACTTTGTTGGTTGTGAGCCATTGTTGTCAAACCACAAACCAACAAACAGTGGGATATTGGTACATTAGATACTAATCAAGGTAATTAATCCCTATCAATAATCTTGTAATTAATCAGAATTAATTACTTAGAATATTTACAAAATTTGGATGTACTATGTTTAATTCAATAAACTCAATTCAGTTTGATTAAGTGAATATCCATTTTTATATTCCTAGTTTGTATTCAGAATATTTTATTAATGGAAAATATCTAATCTTCTTGGTTAAGAAAAGGTATATTTTTAACTGTTGTTTCTACCTGTATCAAAATAAACCTGCAAGCATACTGTCAACAAGAAATTTCATAGTAAATAAAGTGTGACAAGATTAACACTTAATTTTCCCTTTTTTTTTTTCTGACTAATACATGTATTTTTTTTTTACACCTCATTCTTGAACACTTTACAAGTGGTCTTAGAAAATTGTTTAAAGAATTAATAAAGAAGTTTCCATTGAAAATGATGTTAATAATACATTGGAAATCATGGTGGAGTAAATTAAAAACATTTTAATGAAAAAACTTATTACTATATTTTTGTGTAACCACCTTATAGCATTAGTTAAATTAATGTTAAACAAGTAAAGCAACTAAGACATAACATTTTAACTTGTGTTCTTCCACAAATATACAGATGTTTTGTCCTACATAGATACTAACATTTAAGTTATTGCTAAACAACACAGGTCCTAACAGCATCAATCCCAAAAGAAGTGAAGCATCTCGAGTCCTTGCTAAACAATTTCTGCCATGGAATGGGAACGGTGGACAGCCAAAACAACTAAAAAGCTTAGCCCAATTGATATATTCTCATGCTTGCAGTTGCAGACAACAACCAGAACAGTGAATCTTTGATAGGTGCATGCCATTGTTTGGAGTAGTAACTAAATTTTTATCCTTTGTTTTGGTCTCCTGCATAATTTTTCAACCAGAACACATTTCCTGCCTGTTCTGTGCTTCACAGTGTAAATGATTGATGATTGTGATGTCAACAGGTGGCCGACTGCAGAAAAATTGTCAGTACTGTTGGAATGTAAAGGTTGAAACACGAGAAGGAAGATAATAATTATTATATTATTCTATTTAATTAATTGGATTTATGTGTAGTTTAATCATTACTGTTTTGCGTTTTAATTTTTTTTCATGTGGTAGATCGGTGTTTGTAATCTTTTCAAACCTTTGAATTTATGTTTTGTTTGATCCGGGGAAGGAAAGTGACAGGCTAACAAAGGAAAAAAGAAAATTATAAAGAATGAAAAAAAAATGAGGTAACTTTATAGAGGCGAAAAAGCATTAAGATTATTTTTTATTAATATTTTTAGTAATTATTGATATAATTATAAAAAAATCTATAATCGATTATAAGGATTTTAGCATCTACTATGAAAACATTTTCAACTATAAAAAATATTTAAAAAAAAAAAGTTAATACAATCCATAATGCTTATTAAGGTGAACTTTCTTCGCCTCTCTTTGATGTGATAAATTGAAAGGGAGAGACTATTACTTTATTTCGATCTTTTTATTATTATTATTATTAATATTTAAATCACATACACAATTGAATCATCAGGAAATTATGTAACAAATAGAGGCTTAAAGATAAGATAGAATAATTTTTTGAAATCATTCTAATTTGAATTATTAATTTTGACTTTATGATTGCAATTAGTTATCTTCTAAGAGTGTTATAAATTTGGTATTGTGAAAGTGGACTGTAATATTCATAATAAGTTATAATTATATTTGTAATACTTTAATATTTTAATTGAATTACACTTGCCATTTTTAATGAATATTTGGTTATTGAATAATTTTTTCTAGTTAATTAAAGTAGTATTAAGTACGAATGTAGTTACTTTATTATCCAAGGTAAAGATTCACGGATTAATATATATATATATATATATATATATATATGCATGCGTGTGCAAGAATATGGGAAAGACACAATGTAATTAAAAATAATATAATTAAATTAACAAAGTTAAATTTTATGTTTAGAAGGATAAAAATATTTAGAAAGATATTGATGGACAAATATTACACTTGAGAAGTTTCTTGCCTTAATGTTTTATTGTGAGGGAATGGAAAAATAAAATAAAATTGCTTGATTAAAAATAATAATAATAATTAAGAGAAAATAAGGAAAATTTGTATTAACTTTAATTAATTTGAAAGAACTAAAAATATATAGTAATTGGTAAATATAATAAATGATCAAAATATCCCCATTTAAAAATAAAGATTACTATTAAATAAGAATTAATATAAATAATTATTTTTCTGTTAAATTTGATTTTTTTAATTATGGAAAAACTAATTAAAAATATTTAAATTTAATAACAAGTTATATATATATAATGAAAATAATTTAAAATTATTTATAAATTTTTGTTTGACATGTTAACTAAAAAATTCTTAAAATAGAATGAAAACAAATTTTAAAAATAAACCAATAAAATATAAAGGAGCAGTGTAATCACTATTACTTTTCAGTATTGCACGTTAGAAATCCATATACAATAAAATAGGTGAAGAATTTTGTGTCAAATAGGTCCATAACTTTGTGTCTAAGTTTTTCATGGGACATGTTCATAAATAGTCAAATGATGTGATGTGATGGATAATTTTATTATTCAATTACAATAGAAAAAAGAGAGTGTTAATAATAGCTATTTCTAACAATTATTCAAAATTATATTCACTTTATTGTTTTTTTTCACATGTGTTTATGTTTCTCAATCTAAAATATACTTGTTTATGATAAGTTTCTAATAATAACTTTTTAAAATTTGATTTATATAAAAGAAAATAGTGTATTAGAAACTAGGGTTAGTAATTAAATATGATGTGAGGTGTGTTGGATGGTAGATAAAATTCATATCCATTCATATCAAATAAATAGGCCATCCTCCCAACTAAAACATTACACGTCAAATATCTTCACTCTTTATTGTGCATTCAATTTTGAACCAAGAAATTTCGATTATTCTTGTTTTTTTTTAGAAAAAAAAGTTGTGATAAATAGGAAAGAGAAAAAGTGAAGAATAAGGTTGTAGTTCATCCACCTTAACTAGAACATTTCCTTCATCAGTAGACAAACTTCTAGGTTTTTGGTCCTGACTATGACATATTCTTCTTATTTATATATTTATAGAAAAAAAGAATTACACTTTTTTATGTACTTTTTTTTCTCAATAAGAATGAAAAGAATACTATATATTCAACTTAAAATGCGATTAATAATTTTTTTTATAAATGTCATTTGAGGTACATACAAGTTAAGTTAACAATCAAGTTAATTATTTGGGTGGTAACTGGTCAAAGAATAAATAATTTACTTCACTATAATTAAAGGTATATAAATGTGTTTTGTTGTTCAGAAAATTAGCTATATAATTGTCCACCTAACGTTTTTATTAAAAACCAAAAGAAAAATAAGAAGTAGATCAATAATTTAACTACATTAATATTTTCCACAAAGGAAAAACACGAGGCAAAATTTCGTTAAAAAAAATTAGCCAATTTTTTAAAAGAAATTAATTATTAATAAATACTCTATACTAATAACATATTAAAAAGGTTAAATTCAAAGTATTTAAAAATACTTATGTAACAAAATATAGAAATCACAATCATTAAGATTAGAATTATATTAATAAAAAGTTATGAAAATGAGATTAAGTCATAGTTGGAGGCGTTTTACACTTAAAATCGATTATTAATTACATGATTTCATCTTCCATCCAAGGCTTTAAGACTATAAATTTATATATTTTTTCTAATCGTAAATTATTTAAATTTCTCAATTTTATTCCATTATGAAATTCCGATAAGATAATTAATTACACCTTCCTAAAATGGTAAAATCAGAATCTGAAGGTGCTTGCAATTGCAATAACATAGTTTCACCCAGACACCGAATCTCAACCGTCCAATGACAATCGAACGAGTCGTGTTAAATCAGATTTATAATGCGCTTAGTCCAATGTCTATCGAACAGTAGTAAAGTGTGGTTGCATGAAAGCGCGTGATTTGTGAGCGTATTGAATCGATTTCCTAAAAATTGAGATAGCTGTAATGTAATAATAGGGAGAGGAAAGTAGAGGTGCTTCAAACGAATGTTACTGCATAAAGACCCTCATTTGAATACCCTTCTAATACAATTTCAGCTAAATATTAACGACATGCAGAGGCATTTAAGACACACGTTTCTACGTACCAACTACCTTAACAGTGAGTGCTACAGAAAAACATATCATATTACAAAATTAAAGTCAGTAAGGGGACACATCACGAACTATGACAATGGCATTTGTTGAAGTTTATGGGAGATTGAAGGGCAAAGAGATATCATTAAAGCTATATGAACCCCACCTATGTCCTTCCTTCATCCTTCACAATCATAACAAAAGTTAGCTGATCATAATAATATCAGAAAATAGAGAGAGAATGGATCTAGTTGCAGAGATCAAAGCCAAAGCAGAGGTGTACCGTGGAGATGAACTCTGCCAAGAAAAGACCAAGTTGCTACTGAAGGAGGTAGGGCTACCCAATGGCCTTTTGCCCTTACAGGACATTGAGGAATGTGGATACGAGAAGGAAAGTGGGTTTGTGTGGCTGAAGCAGAAGAAGACAATAAACCACAAGTTTGAGAAGATTGGGAAGCTAGTGTCCTATGCAACTGAGATCACTGCCTATGTTGAGGTTGGTAAGATAAAGAAGCTCAAAGGTGTGAAGGCCAAGGAGCTCATGGTTTGGGTCACACTGAATGAGATATTTGTTGATGATCCACCCAGTGGCAAGATCACATTCAAGACCCCTACAACGTTGTTCAGGACATTCCCAGTCTCAGCTTTTGTGATTGAGGAGCCGGTTAAGGAAGTGAAGAATAAAGAAGAACAGAAGGAAGTGAAACAAGTTGGTAGTGCTGTTGAAGTCCAAGAGGTTTGATTCTCCCTCTGGTGGCTGCTATGGCCATGACTATGTATGAGAATGACTCTGATATGATAATAAGTTTATTATTCAATAGGTTTTATGTCTAAAGCTTGCACTATGTTGTACTGCTTTCCATTTCTTTCTTGCCCTACAGCAAGGCTCCAGCTAGCTATGTATCAGCTTCAGGGATATAGGCATAGCAACTAGCTCTCTGCACTCTGAAAGAAAAAACAACGTTGAAGTTATAATATTTATATGAAAACTTATTTATTCTCTTAAGTTTCTGTTGATTAACTGAAATGGATCCCCCTCACTCTCCTATTGGGGTTCAGCACCTTGTAAGCAGTAACCAGTAACCAGCTCTCATCTGTATGCTTCGGAATGAAAAAATATTAACTGTGGCCAATGGAGAAAAATGGACATACTTTCATAATTTCGATGTTGATGCAAATTTTTAAGCCTTTTCTTCAATTTGAACAATTTATTAATAAGTGATATCCACAATTCTTGTTAAAACGTGGTGTGATGAGTGAATGAATCTTTGATATCATTCTTTATTTTAATGATTATTTGAATTTTATTTGATACACCGTTTTGTTTATATTATCGATTAATAAAAAATTATTGTTGATTAGGGTTACCTATTTATATATATGTATATATACATAAATGCCTTTTAGAAAATTATTGCAAAATTCAATATTTTTTTTAATCATATGTCGATTATTATATAATGAAATAAAAAATATGATAATTTGTAATTTAATGAGTGTGAAAATAAATCTTGATGCCATTATATTATAGCTGTATAGATGGGAGAAAAGTGTAAGTGAGAAAGAAATATATTGAAAATAGCAAAATTTACGACTTTTCAATTATTGTTAAAATTATTTTTCCAATAATAAAATGAATTTTATACTTCTCATGTCATTTTTTATTATGTACTTGCTTCCACTACAACTCTTGTTCTCTTTGTGGAATAAAACATGTTTTAAATTAATATTATTAAAAAAAATCAATTTATTCTCAAAATTAATTTATTAAAATTAATTTATAATTAACAAAAATTAAAATTAAAACTAAAAAAAAAAATCAAACATGTACTCAATACATGCGGTTCACCATTTTACTTGAAATAAATTTTACACTCTTACTACTATATTCCAAAAATATGAAAACTAGAAAATCAAAGATTGATCAAAGGATCATCTGCAGTTCAAAAGAAAATGCAGGGTCATGCAGTCTTATATCTAAGAGTGCATAATTTTTTAACTTAATATTTAATTAATAGTTTAAACTATAAACTTTATTTCAATGAAAGTTGGAATTCAATTGCAGAGATATTTTATCCTCCAACATAATTAAGGAGATGTATTCTGCCAACCAACACCCATATTATTTAGTTACTAAACTAAACTAACTTAAATGCGCCAAAAGGAAAACCACGCACCAAAGCGATTGGAATTTTCTTATAGCATGCTCTTGTCTCGTTGATTCAAAATAAATAATATACTTTTTCACTAAAATCTTTTTCTTTTTATGGCTTATCCAATGTTTTTTAAGGGCACTGTGTCATTACGAAAAATAATTGTGTAGTAAACCCGCACGTCGTATAATAAACAAAATTGAACCCTTTAAACTCAAATTGCAATTTCGGGAGAATAATGGCTAAATTTACCAGAAAAATGTCAAGGTAAATGTTAAAGCAAAACGAAATCATTCATAATATAAAGTGGTCATTAGCATATCAAGCGAGATGAGTTCGTGTTTGGATTCAAACCAACCGGTAAGTCCTGACGAGTGACTGAACCGAATCCCTTCTATCTCTTGCTATCTTCGGCGTTCACAACTTCATCGCCTGAAATTTTTTTGAAAGTATTGAAAGGTTACGATCTTCGAAATAATATTTTTTGCATGAGTTATATGTTTTAATAACTTGAAATGCAACAGTACGTGCAACTGGAACAAGTGAATTACAACTAAATCAAATACATATTATCCACTCAGATTGCAGAGGAGAAATCTCTTTATTAAAAAAGACTATCAATTCAAGAGATCACTGTCCAACTAAGCTTAGTTTTTTTGCAAAGTTCGCTAGCTTATATCTCCTATTGATTTTAATGAAGTTGAGATTAGAATGCATGATAAATTAAAGTACAACTTAGAACAACCTTGGTCATTATGTCAACATCAAATATTGACCAACGTTAATAATCTATGACTTAAGTTGTGAGAGATTCTTCTTTATATATGATGACCAAGCGCTGCTATTGGTGTCACATCCAACTAATACACAGCCAAACCAAGGATACTTTTTTGTTTCAGTCGACTTTGCAGGTATACCTTTTACCCCTAATCTTTGGTCACAGCATGATTTGTCAGAGAAGGATGCGAAACTAAGCTAACAGCCATAGATGCAGATCAAATTTGGAGCAACTTTATTGTTCCTGCAAAGAAAAATATATATCTCTTGGATGCAAAAGACCCAAGTGCTAGAGGGGTTGGGAAACAAAGCCAACAGTCATAGATGTACATCAAATTTGTAACAAGTTTGGGTATCATTCCTGTAAAGAATGATATAGCAACTGGGTCCAAAATATTATAGTAGGATAGCAGATAGCAGCAATTCTGAAAATTTTTATTAGCTTATGTGATGCATACCATATACTTATAAATTATAAAAAATTTGATCAAAGCTAATCAAAGTTCGTGAAATTCATATTTACCATAAAAAGGCAACCTGTATTAAACAAGACATACAAATATTTGAAAATAACTACCATAACCTAGATAAAAAAATAAGGAGCAAAATCATTTTACATGATTCCACCCAGGTTGTTTCTGCATTTGAGCCCTTGAACAATTGATCGGCAAGATGCAACTTTACCATTGCACCAGGCTCACACCCTCAAACAAAACATACAAGTAAATACCAACAGAATTCAAATACAAATTTTTAAATGGAAATCATCAATCATCATCGTCTAATTTCAAGCCTCAATCATTTTCACAATTGCAGCTATAGATTTCAAGTTTAAAGATTGAGCTCCCAAAAATAACCCCCAAAAGGTCCCAATGTCATTGTTCAGGGAGCCCTTTTTGGAATCAATGCATGGCACTACTATTGCAGTTGCTATTGGTCCACTAAACTGATCCGCTACGACAGCACAGCCCGGGCTTCTCTGCTTGGCTACACCACTACAGTGGCACTAATTAAACCTTGATCCCAACCTACTAAACTTAATCACTCTTAAATTACGTTAGTAGTTATACCAACGTGATTAAAAGCCAACATTTTTCTAGGAAGCCAACGACGGAATCTTCATATGCTAAATTTTCACATGTAAATCTAACGTGAGATACATTCCCACTTAAAAATATCTATAGGTGTCTCTACCTCCTAAAGTGAGTCCCTAAGAGGAAGCTACAAATTCTACTGTTCCCACCTTCCAGCAGGGATCAAATCCAAAATACTCCCACAGATTTACAAATGTATTGAAGCCAGTTCAACAAAGGTGGATGACGGAATATGACAGACGGTCCATCTTCTTCCATATGAGTATGTCATTGTGGCCTATGGTGTCACCATAGCAGAATTCCCTTCACAAATGTTCTGTGGCACTCAGGTAAAAAAAAAAATCCATGTTATATTGATATGGCGGCAGGCGCTATAATTGTTATTTCAAGATATTGATCCCAATAAGGCAACAATTGATTCTGATCAAGGTTTTAAATTGGAATCACAATTGCAATTGTGGTATTACAATAATCAATTGCAGTTGCAATGTAGTTATGCAGATCCAAATTCCTAAACAACAAAAATGATATAATCAATCTCCCTTTTTATTGGAAGCTCTAAGTGAAATTTTAAAAGTAGTTGAAAGTGATTAGAATTTAACTCAATCCTATAAATCTGACTTATATGGTAAGGTTGTGTGGCATATATTATAATTAGACAATACTTCACTTATATCTTATTCATTTTAGGCGCAAGGATCCCAACAAACACCATTTGAATGAACTCCTATATTAGAGAGTGAATATAAATTTTAAAATTTGCACCTCACTTATATAATATAAATACTATGATTTCATGATATTTATAGTGGATGTGGGATTTTTAACAAAATTTGACATGCATGAACACTAAAAGAGTTTCGAATACCCATCCATACCTTAGAAGGCATGACCCATTTTCCATGAATCCAGTCTTGATGCAGCCTTAAATGGGATTGCTGAAACTCTAGTTCCTCATTAGAAGACCTGAAGTAAACTATATACTTGGAATCAGCAAGAACTTTAGAAATAACACCGACCCACCAACCGTCGTTGTACAGGGCATCAACTTCATCAAGGAGACTGAATTCACCATGAGCACCAGTATCGGGCGGATGAGGCCTTATGTGCAAGGCATCAATCTCCTCTCTCAAAAGGTTAGAATCATCCTCAGCCAACAGAGTCTGGTACTCAACAACGAACTTGTCCTGTCCCTTTGCCTCAACAACAGTGGCAGCAAACCAAGCTCCACTAAAGCCGTCTTCATCACTGCTAACTTCAACTAACGCTCCTACGCCTAACTCCTCCACTTTCTCAGCTTCATCAGACTTTACATTGGGTGTCAATAACACTTTCTTCGATTCACAATTATCCTATAATTAGCAACAACGTCATCATAACATTAAATTATAATCAAATTAAGCCTACCCTACTCCTAAAGTTTAAAATTTGCAGTTTATAGAGTCCTCTCTAATACAACAAATAAGAACAAAATTAGGGTTATTGTACCTGTTGTTGTGGCTGGAATGGTGGGACCCATTTGTAATCGAACCATTCTCGATGGATTCTAAGTTTTTCCTTGGGAAACACTAATTGCTCTTTGGATGCCCTGAAATACACCGCGAATTTGTCATCCTCTAATTCCTTCGTTATGTGGCCCTCCCACCACCCATCGTTGTAGAACGCATCAACCTCGTCGCCGAATTTGAATACTTGGCCGGTCTCCGACGGGAGAATAGGTCGAAGGTGGCGGATACCTAGGATCTCCCTCAAAGGCTTCGAGCTGTTTTCATCCGCCATCAGGTTGTCATACTCGACCAGGAACCTGTCAGAAGCGAGACGGCGGATGATGGTGCCAGAAAACCAGGAGCCGCGGAAGCCTTCGTCGTCAGAGTTGACTTCCACGACTGTGCCCGGTTTGAAGAAGGCAGCGGCATTGGAGGTGGAGGTGGAGGCGCCTTTGGTTTTAGGCGTGCGCACCATTGCACACCGGTTTAGGGTTTTACAGTGTGAGTTGTTTAGCGGGATTTCAAAACAGAACTGAAGATGAGAGAGTGTGTTTTATAAGTGTCGTTGGCGGGAATGTGAAGGGACTGGTGGCACTCGCAAGCGTATGCACATGGCATGCTTTACTCGTGAGAATGATTTAAATTTTAGAATCCAAATTATTTTATTTTTATGATTTATTTATATGGATTTTAGTGTAAGAGATTCTCCATTATAATAAAAATTCTAAACTTTTTCTAACAAATCGTGAAACATATGTCTGAAAAGGTAGGAAATATGTTATAAAAGGAGTGAAGACTGATATGATAGAACATAACTAGATGGAGATTTTTCTTTAACTTTGTAATTGTTTTCTAAAATTGTTTGATGAAGCAAGTGATTGCGAGTCCTGTTAGATGTTTGAGAAGAGAAAATCAACCTCTTTTTTGGATCAACAATTACAAAAGCAGGAAAAGAAAATTGGATTGCCCCTTTTCAAATTTGAGTTTGAACTTAAAGACATGCTTGAGATTGAAACATAGAGTGGTGAGGTGGACAACCAGTTAGAATTATCAAATCTTTTTAATTAATTATTTAAAAATTTCATTTCTTTATTTTTTTATTTTTTTAATAAGATCCTGATATTAGAACCTTGATTTCATATTTTTTTTATTAATCAAGATAATTTTGAGATAAGATCCTATCAATTAGGAATGTCTCTTTTTTATGTTTGGTAGAAGTATCCAAACAAAGAATCTGAAAGAAGCTTTGAGCAATAACAACATGGTCTATTCAGCTTCCATTCAAGTGATCATTCTTATCTTCCAGATCATGTACATTGTCCATATCAACATCTTTAATATGCAAAATCAACAATTTCAGAACTTCACACACCTCTTTATTGGAAGAAACAAATCTATCTCCAACAACAAAACTGCAGACCTGGTCTTTCAATTCAATCCAGCTCCTTCCCGAGTCACTTTTATTTTTAATACTTCTCCTCAGTTTTTTTAAGCTAGCAAAATCATCCCAGTCGCCTTCAGCTGCATAAATATTTGATAACAAGGCATAAGTTCCTGCCTTAATTGGCTTCATATCCAAAGCCCTCAAAGCTGCTAATTTGGCCACTCTAGATTGTTTATGCAATTTACAAGCTCCAAGAAGGGTCGCCCAGATAGACTCATCTGGCTCAAATGGCATACTCTCTATTAGTTGATAAGCTTCCTTCACTTTTCCAACTCGACCTAGCAAATCCACCACACATCCATATATCACTATATCTGGTGCTATATGATAACAGTTGGTCATTAATCTAAAATATCTCAGCCCTTCTTCCACTAGTCCAGCATGGCTACATGCACTTAGAATTGCCATAAACATCATCCTATCTGGTTTAATACCTAATCCTACCATTTCATCGAATAGCTCAACCGCCTCTTTACCATATCCATGATCCCCATATCCAATCATCATTGAAGTCCATGAGACCAAATTTGTGCACGGCATTTTGCTAAATATTTTATGTGAATACGCTATATTTCCACCCTTGGCATACATATAAATAAGGGCATTGGATATTTCTAAGTTGTTATCAAGGCCTTTATGAACGATTACACCATGAAGCTGTTGCCCACAATACAGAACTGCTAAGTTTGCACATGCACCTAGCACACTAGTAAAGGAGAAGCAATCTGGACTAAAACCTTCTGAGACCATTTGTGAAAATATGCAGAGAGAGACTCTGGAATCCAATGCTTCAAATCCAGCTATCAAGGTATTCCATGTGATGGTATCTTTATGACTCATTTCAGAGAATAATTGTTTTGCACCAGAAACAGAATGACACTTGCAATACATGTCCAGTATGGAATTCTTGACAGGAAGGTTGGACTCAAATCCATGCTTAACCACTGCAGCATGTACTTGCTTGCCCAAAAAACACCAACCAATTGAGGCACAAGCTCTAGCTGCAATTGAGAAGCTAAAGGGACTCAGTGCTCCTTCCTCCTGTTTGTCAACAAGAAATTATATTGTACCAATTTAGAACACTAATAAATAAAAAATTAGGTAAAAATAGACATGGATTTAGAGCAAGAGTAAAGGGATAAAACAGAAGTTTACCAGAAACATTTGACAGAAAACTCGAAGACCACCATAGGCATCTCCTCTATGAGTGTACCCAGTGATAAAAGTAGTCCAGCAGACATCAGTTTTAGTTGTGATATCCTCAAAAACCATCTTTGCATGGTTCATGGTAGCACAGCAAGTGGCATACATATCCATGAGTGCGTTATCAACATATATGGATGATCCTTGGACACCAACCTTGATGGCCAAAGCATGAGCTAATTGGCCACATAAAAGAGCTTTCAAACCCTTACAGGCCTTCAAAACAGCGGATATGGTGAAATCGTTGGGCTGCGCCCCATCTCTGAGCATTTGAGGAAACACATTCCATGCACTCTTATAGTGGTTGCACGAGTTGTTTCCTGTGATCATGGCCGTCCAGGTGACCACATTTCTGTGAGGCATTTCGTCGAACAGCACGCGTGCCTTTTGGAGTGAGCCCTTACCGAGAGGAATACTAAAGAAATCATTGGCTAAGTGGTCATATCTTGGGGCAAAACGGTTCATTCAATCGAATGCAGCGAAGTGAGTTTTTGACCACCAATGGAATGGGTCGAAAATCAAACGGTGACAGTAACTTCCTAGCAACATCATCATCGATCAAATGCCCATGCAACCAACGCTCGTATTTGTGTTGTTACGGTGTCACCATGTTTGGGGCTGGACTTCAAAAAATTGCAACTGTTAAAATTTCACAATCACGTGTCCTGTATAAGTTGATTCCAGGTATATATTATGCATTTTCCTTATCATCAGAGATAAGTTAGTAACTTGCTTAAGTTATCTAATGACCATGATCTTAATATCCCTTGAGGTTAGTTATGGGGTGGTCATGGAATAAGCTCTTATGATTGAGACCTGTTCAACGAGGGACTGGAGTATTTGGCCTCAAGTCCGGAACATACGAATATCAAAACTTCAGAATAACTATTGAAATAATCACTTTATAAGTTTCTGAACTCAGTATTTCTTTCACAACATCGACCATTTATGCTTTAGTTAATGGTTAATAATTATAATTTACCTTTTAATGTGTCCTTTTAAACTAACGGTGAATTCTTGAATCTTACTAGTCTCACAGTCACTGTTCTCTGCAAGCATCCTATGCGGCAACCTTGACTATATGATTAATGATGTCCTTTAGTCTTAAGACCAGTGATGAGAAAGTGAAGTCAAAGACACACAAGAACGAGGCAAAACAATTATGTAGTGAGATAAAGAAACTTCATTATAAAATGCTGCAAAGGAGCAACTGTATAGTGAGGTAAATCAAAGTGAATATTTGCTCATGTACAAACAAGATGACATACTTTTAACCCTCTATCCCCATATTGTTAAAGAAAGTGAGAATTTCCATCCTAGAGCAAAGGAATACCTTGTTAAACATAATTACACCAATGGAGAAGATATTAACTTTCCGATATAACTGTTACTATAACCTACCCAACGCATAAATAAGTATATGATGCCCTGAACTCTATGAATTTATACTACACTAGATATTCATCATACAAGAATTTGAGACCTCGCAGCACCACGGGAACACCTTTTCCTGCCAGTCTTGCTAAGTCCACAAACACATATGTCTAGAAGTTCATAATCCTCCTCCCAAAATAATCTGGATGCCATCTCAGGATCTTTCAAAAGCATCTTGGATGTAAGGAAACCAGCTATGGTCCATGTTTGATACATCCGGGCTTGTTTTCCAATAAATTTTCCAGTGCGTGTATCGTAGTATTCAGGCCAATAATCAACTGGCAGTCTTTTCTCAGCCAAAGCAACTGCTTTCTGGGCTAGTTCAAATCTCCCCATTTTGATGCATGCCAGCGTGAACTGAATATGAGACGAGATACAAGGGAATACATCAGACATTAAAGCAACATTTCATGACTTGGCAGTTGACATGCAAGGTCCCAGTAACAACTTTGGCAAATAATTGTGTCATTTAAACATTTTTCTCTCTCAATTAACAACCCAAAAAAATAATCTCTCCAGATATTTTTCTCTTACTGCAGGTTTTGCAGTGTATGGTTTTAATTTCCACTTTTCTGCAATATAGTAGAATGAGTTTCTGTTTGTGGCCAGGTAAGTACTCCTCCCATGCTTATTATTCCCGATTGAGTTCAAAAGTTTAGGTAGTAACACACCAGACAAAGTGGATAGCCAACAACACATCTTAGCTTTCCTTAAAATAAACCCATTGCCATTTGGATAAATTTACCTGCCACAGAAGGGTTGGCCAAGATCCACCATTGTGATATGACCAAGGGCTGAAAAAGTTAAGCATGTTGTTTAGTTAACTTAAGATGCACATAGTAGAAGAAATTCTGAATACTAAAGAGAAACAAATTATAAAATATGAATTCATCAAATGTACTCCATATTAAGGAAGAATCAAAGTTCTCGGATATGCAAACAACAAAAAGGAAAATTACGGTAAGAACTTACGTATTCTTTGGGTCACAGCCAGTAGTTATGCGCCACTCTTCATTATCCAAGGCAGGATAACATATCTTAAGAGGCATATGGCCAACAATATCATCCCATTTCGCTTCTATCAGATTTAAAATAGCCTGGTTCTGTCTTGGGGTGCCCAATGATGAGATAATGGACCAAAGATTTCCAAGTGTGAAAAACCTGAAGTCCATATGAGCTGGCTGCAAATTCCCAATCAGATATCCACCTTCTTCTGGAATCCAATCCATTAACCACAATGGAATTTGTTCTGGATAGATGTTGAATTTATTGATGGCATCCATGGAGTACTCTTCTGTTTTATACCTGTATATTTCATTCATCTTTTTCATGTCCACCCAATAATATTCTCTAATGTGGAATGACAGAGCACTAAGTCTGTTGTTAATAGCTCTAATCAGATTATTGGTTCCCTCAGTTACAACAAGCATCTCACGAGAGCAGCGAAGAGCTGAGTAAAATAACGCCTGTAAAGTAAAACATACCACAGATAAATGGAGGGATAATAAGTAAAAAATAAGAAGTACAATGCAGAAACCACATTGCCTGAATTCAGAGTTTTATCTCTTATTTAGCAAAGAGAGATTAATGTCATTTGTAGCATATACACAAAAATAACATAAATCAACAAAGATAGACGTATAGACTAGGGCAATTTCAACTGTGTAATACATAAATTGTTCAATTTTAAACAGAACAGACAAAAAAACAGCATAGGTTCCAAATCTATATTTAGCACCTACTATAAATAACGCAACAATGAAAAAAACATAACATAGTTACACTCACTTGGATCTCCAGGGGGTGGCCATGTATGCCCATCCTCCTGTCTATCATGCAAGAGCCATCAGTGACTAGCAGAGAAGGAAACATATCAAAACCATCTGTTAAACACAAGTTAAGGATCATTTTTAAGCCTGTTTGAACATCCGCCCTTTCTTGCAACCCACAATCTCCAGAGAGCTTCCCGTAAGCCCGCAAGAGTATGATCCACCACAATCCTGTCGAGGAAACAAAATAGAAATAGTAGATGAAAGTTATTTTGTCATACTACTCAAACAATATTTTTCATAATTCTCATGGTGTACTACTAAATATAAGAAACTGCTAAATAATCAACTACTAACCTGAATCTACAGGTGCAACTCGGCCAATAGCTGATTCCCCAAAATCAGGATCTAACACTTCTTCATAATTATCTTCGTCAAGAGCTACAGTTCTAACTTTGAAACTAGCAGGCATCAAGCCCTGTCCTGGACTGTAGCAGTCCACCGTTTTCTCCCAACTCTTACAATAAAATGGTATAATATTAACAATCAGAACTCAACAAAGTTTTAAAACACTCAATGACTTCTCTTATCGCAAATACATTTCTTTCTGGATCAACCAAGTACGGATGAAACATTTAACTATAAAATCTATTCATCCAAAAAGGAGTGCTAGCAACTCACTTTATAACATTCTCTACTATACTAGAATTTATTAAAAACTACAAAATCATGAAACTCATCAAGTTAGACCTATAACAATTTTGTTATTTGAATAATTTGTTTCCAATAGTAAAGAGTGCGTTGTCAACCTTTCAAGGGATTCAAGTGATGGCCAGCCAATCATTTATAGGATGGACTTAGAAAGCACATGATTGAATCATTAGGTGTCTGACTGTAAAAGGGTAAATTACCTGCAACTGCAAGGTGTGAAGAAGAAAGTTCTTGACAATCTCACTTTCTCCTCTAAGCAAGAAAGCCAGTGCTGAAGGGATAAAATCCCTAAGAAAGACCTGATCATAATTCAAGGGTAGCTTGTCACCAGGATCATTTGCAGCCACAGTCCCCACAGGTTTGCCACAATAAGTCACAACAGCTCCCTGTAACAACTTCCATGCTAGTTTTTCCACCTCTGACTCCTCCTCCCATTTACTCTTCTCCACACTCACATTCACATCACCAACTACATTTCTCTCCCCTGCAACATCCTCATGAAAACTTTCAACCACCAATGGTTTCACATTATTCATGCCACCCTGTACGTAAATCCGCTCAAAATTGGTGTCATGGCCATGGGTCTCCACAGAGGTTGAGCAATTTCTAACCGTGAAAGTGGAGACGTCCCTGTTCGACGTGATTAAACAAAAGGGCATTGATGAAGGGGCGAGGGCGAAATTCGAAGAGCGCAAGCCAAAAACTTTCCAAGCGATACCCTTAATGTGATGCACGTGCAAAGGGGGGTGATTGGCGTGGTCATGATTGAAACGAGGTTTCAGCGAATTGTAAGCAACGGAAGGAGTATGATCAGAATTTGCTGGCGAGGACCCATAAGGCGATGAGTTCCGAGAACCGATGAGAATCCTGCGAACGGATTTCATGGCGCGGTTGCGAATAAAGGCAATTGTGTTCATCATGACAAAGAAATTGGAGTGGCAACAGAGACGAAATCTACGAAAATTCGTATGACAAATATGATAAACACAAAGCTATTAGCATTGGGGGTGTGATTTTTGTAAGAATGAGTGAGAAGGTTTGGGTTGAGTGGTTATGGCATGTCGGCTGAAAGCGGTGCTTCTGCCGGCGGGGAACACAAATCTTTTGGTGCGAGGTTATCCATACGTTAGTTTTACTATAATTTAATCTGGTTTAATTACTAGTTTGATATCTACACTTGGATGCACTCTAATCTTCTTCTTTTTTTTCTTTTCTTTCTTTTATCACTGTAATTTTGTCAGAGATTACTTCCCTACTGTTTTTCCTAACATTATAAATTTAGTAGTATTACATAAATATTAACCTATCATCAAGTATGAATAGTTAATCAAAATAATTAAACATTAATAATACTTAAACACTTAGTTAGACCAGTATTGAATTCAATATTTATAAATAAATTGTAAATGAAAAAAATATAATTAAAAAGAAAAATCTCGATTAAAAATATATTTTCTACAAAATTATTATATTTACTTTATAAATTATTATTTTTGTTTTCTTGTCATCAATTTCGTCGAACCCATTTCAATGATTTTGCTCGTGTCCAATATGAACCCGACAAATGTTTACACAATGTACTTATTGAACGCAGTTTTCTCTGCGTAAATGGATCAACATCGGATGAATTCAACGTGTCTCATTACGTTAATTTGTTACGTAGCTTTTAGTTCTCAAAATATTTCAAATTTTAAACCTTATACAAATTTACTATGCTTTTAGTTTTTATATTTTAAAAAAAATTAATTTGAATCTCTCATGAGAAATTTGTTCAAATGAAAAAATATAAAATTTTTAGAAAAGCTAAACTAAATTTCAAAGTATTATAGAGAAGAAAATCATATTATATTCAAATTCTTTTCAAACTTGCCTATAACGATTTAGAATTATGTTTCCACTTGAATCAAAATAAAGAGACAACGTTGCAATTGAAAAAACGTTCAGCGTAAAAAATTTGAACTAGTATTGAGAAAAACACTGTCAAGTGTCAGGTGTCAACCCGATGATTAATTAGGAAAAAAAAGTTATCCTTGAAAAAAAGAAATATTTAATAACTTTATTTATTAATATACTGATACTTTTTAATTATTTGAAAAAAATTACTCAGTATATATAAAATAAAACTAATAAGATGAAAAATATTCAAATAAAGACTTAATCACTTAAATTACAGTCGCATACTGTTAACAAAAGAAAAAAATGGTAAAAAATTAAAACATTGATAAAAATAAATTTCATAATTTTAAAAAGACACATTAATTAAATAATAATTATAATTACGGATTTCATATGTACTGCATCCAAAGTCCTTAAATCTTGAAGCACAAACAATACAAGTCTACCTATCTTATAATGAGAGTAAATTATTTATGATAAAAGTTATTCATTCCTAATGTATAAGCATTAGATGAGATTAAGAGCATGAAAATTTTGTACATCTAAACTAAGTTATGAGATACTTGCTACATACAGAGGTTTTGCATTACTAGAAGAAAACATTATCTACTTTACATAAGAAACCATCAAATGTTACATATGACTTCTGGTAGATCCTAAATTATGATCTTATTTCAAATTCACCTGCCCGAGTAAGAGCTCTAAAACCTTTGTAAAATCGGTATGTTACATTCTTCAGATCCAGTTTATCTATTTGCAGACCAGAAAGGGCGACACCCATAATCCTAAAACCCACTTGAAATGAAGGGAAGACATGAAGGCGCTCCAAACCAGTTTCAATCACCAATGTTCCAGACATGGAAGGAGCTTTATCTTTTGGAATCCGACCAATGGACCATATGCATGTCTAGTATAATATAAAGAAAGAATAAAGTTTGAGTTTAATTCTTATGTACTGCTATGAGTTAGAAATCATCATTTGAAAGTATAAAAACTTTTTATAGTATGTATACACTATCTACTAAATTATACTGCAAATATGGACCATAGAAGCTTATCTTTGGTAATTTTAATTGTTTTATGAAACACTGCTGCAAATTACACTCTTTTCACCAGAAGCATGATACTAGCGAGATTAAGTACCTTTTTATCAAGGATGTTCACTGTTCCATGATTTGAAGTCAGATCAGCTGATATGATGAAAGGAGGGAGCTGAAACTGAACAGTAACTGAGTCGATTGTCTTTCCAGGATCATTTCTAGTTCCAACTAATACACTAAGACGACATGTCCCACCATCTGAAGTTAACTGCGGCTTTACATATATTGGGGTGCTCATCAACTTTCTTACTCTGAAAAGTGAAGTGCTTGAATTATTGAGAGAACATAAAGTGTTCAACATTCACAATTACAACTGTATCCATAACAACTTTCTTTAAAGAGATTTTGGTTCTTGATAAGCATAGCCAAAAGAAACAGATTACAGCATGCTAGTTTCAAATCCTGATCCAGGCAACAAAGAAGTGGATTTTGTACCTGTAACCCATAAGCTTAAATTGTCCATCAGGAGGCACAAAAGAAAGAATTTGATGAGACTCCCAAGGCCGGAAACGAACACATGGATGGAACCTCACATCATCTAGGATGGAAGGATTTTTAAATGAAAGTGTTAAATCAGGTAAACCTGAGATATGGGAATTTACTTGAACTTCACCATAGATCTCACATTTCAACAAACCTCCATCCCTAAATGAATAAAACTCTTTAGCTGTGACTGCTAAGAAATAATGAAATTCTCATAAGATAAAAAATACTGAAGAGAGGTCTTAACATGATCTGCAATAATTTTTTATTACAAAAAAGGGTTCCAAGTTCTAGCTAGTAATATCCCAATCACAAATCTTGCAAAATAGATGTCCCTTTCACCAAAACATTGTAGCATAAAATGACCAAAATGTAAAACACCATTAATAGTATCACTATAAAAGTGTAATTTTAAGAAGTGATAAAGGAGAATCTGCACATAGACCTGTTTATAATCGCATCCATTTCTTCAACAAGGTCTACATATACATCATTGTTGGAGTACTTTGGCTCTGATGTTCTCCAGGGAATACAAGATGCAGTAGCCCTAGGAAGGGTATCCTTCACATTTGAACTGCTACCAGTCACAATGCTCAACGCTTTGTTAACCATATTTGGCGGAGTAATCATCTCTCGCAGGATACTAGGTTCTGTAGTTAACGGGAAGCCATTGTCTATCATCTCATCCAACAGCTAAAAGAATCACACAAAGTAAACTGGTTAGTTTGCATCTTATCAACAAAGACAGTTGAGAAAGCTATATCAGTAGAGAGATCAGTACTTGAGACAAGTACCTCGTACACAATGACAAAGTTGTCTTTAAGTATGTCTTCTTTTAAGGCCCCAAAATAATCATTGAGGACATCAGCTACCCTACAAAGGAACTAAAAATCAGATAGTTAAGAGAAAATTAATAAGTAAACAGAGTAGCATTCATTCGGATGCATATTATGAGTAGCAAAAAGTATACCTCAATGGCCATCAAGGGTGGCATTTCAACTTGCGTGCACCCCAAAAAAGTGATTCCATCACGAAAAACTTGGAAAATGTAATGAGTAGGAGAGGTAATCACTGGTTGTTGCTAAACGCAAAATAGTTTAATGAAGAACACAAATAAATAAGGTCAATGAAATTAAAAATTCTGTAAGGAAATAAAAAATAATAATAAAAAAAAAACCTTGAAGGAGTCGCCAAGTGAAATGGCTTGTTCCCAGAACCAAGCACAAATGGAGCGATCGACGCAGTGCCGTGAGAGCTGTTTCTCTAGCATTACCTCTCTTCACATGAAATCAAATTCAAAGAACTGAATTTGCAGCGAGTGGAGCAGATTTAAAATAAATGAAGATTACGAAGTTTGATTTATCTTACCCGGCATCTGAGAGGAGAAATATGCACTGCAGCATCACTGTCTTTCTCCGGACTGAACCCAAAATCGGAAGGAGAATTGGTGGTGAAGAAGTTTGGTGTGCGGTGAAAGAAAGGATTATGAAACAATAAACAATGCGTCAGCTCTGCAATGATTCCAACCAGAAAAAGCTGGCAAATTTACCTGCTGACATGGATATCCATTAAACTATTACATTAATTTAATCTTATGTAAAGATACCAACACAGTAGATTAAAGACAACTCATTTTATATCTCATTTTTAAAGAATTATTGCAAAAACCTGCCAATTAATTCGCCTTTAATACTTGAAATCCTAGTGTAATAAAAAAAATTACTGTAATTTTGTGAAGTAGTCACAACATGTTGATTTAATCTCAAAAGTTTAAATGTTTGTTAAAGACTTCACATGTAGGTAAAGAAGAATAATCCTTAATCTTTCTTCTTTTTTTTCTTCACTTCTCTCTAATAATCAAACCTCATTATCTCTTTTTTTTTTCCTTTATGCTAATTGATCATCTTTTTCGTGACAATCAATAATAATTGTTTTTCTCCTTAGATTCCTTCGTTAGGAATGAATTTCCTTGGATTAAATTTTGATTAGGAATATATTTTCATGGTTGAAATTATGATTAGTTCAACTTGTGTCTTAGTTAGGAATATCCTTTATTTCTCTCCTTTTGTGCCCCTAATAAATGAGATATAGTTTAAAGAAATGCTAATATCTTTTCCTTAATTTTATTTTTATTTGTTTCAAACCAAACAATCAAAAGAATTTATTTCATCATCTCCTTTATACAAATATTTTCTCTCTTATCTCCTATTCCCTCTCCAAAATCTATTTCTCAAATATATCTTTTTTTTTCTATTTATTAAAATTGTAATATATATTACAGTGCAAATAATCTGAAAAAATAAATTAGAGGGTTTGGAATGTGAAAAAGTGCCACAGATCAAGCACCGAAGATTATTTATTTAAATAGCTAGCCATACGATTATCTTCGCTTCCTGTTAAATCCTTTTAAATTTCATTTTATGTTCTGCATAAATTCTGGTCAGTCAAACAACTGTGGCGGGTTAACCATGATGATGCAACATCGTCATCTATAATTATCCTTCATTTCCATGAGTCAATATCCTGATTATATGCCGTAAAGATTTGTCACAGTCGATACGGAATATCCTTCAATGCAAAAAGAATACAAGAAAAAACATGATTTACACCTAAAAAGAACTGTTTTACTATGTAATTCGATCATAAAAGTCTCATTCAAGCCATTTCATATAAAAAGTACAAAATTTTGCACGTGCTGTATCCGTAACCAGGCAGGTTCGATAAATCCAATCCGATGGCCGAAATAATCATGTACAAACTTCCACCGTATCTCAATTCAACTTGCATTTCCAACTTTCTCAATCAGACGACACTGAATGCTGACTGTAGGGTAGATGAGAACTGAGAAGCAATTGTCTGAGAGGCAAATTGTTGAATCTGCTTCTTGGCATCTGAAATAAAAACCAATAAGCTCTTAAATCATTGCAAGTTTTTAGTCAGTCATTTCAAGGGCAGAGCTAGTTAGCCTAAAACCACTATTCTCAAGATGTGGAGTAAAACTAGCCTTATGGAGAACTCCTAAGGCATTTATGTTTCATAAACAGCCCAATGATATGAAATGAAACATGTCTTTACGGTAAGATCAATTAAACCAGATGCAATGCAGAAAATATTGATACAATAAATAAATACAAGACCCAGAGTTTCCAATCGGACAAGAACAGGATGCTAAAACAACGAATCGTTCGTTTTCACAAACTATGTACAATATCATTCCAGAATGGAGTTTCTTGTTACTTAAGCAATTCCCCCTACAATTATTTCTATAGTAACAACAATAACAGTAATATCTTCAATTTTTTGTAAATATAAAATGAGGTTGAGGGCACCTACAGAAGTCTATATCAGCATCCAAACCATTTTCCATACAGAATATCATGATCCAACCCTAAGGTGTTATGATTCAGTTGTTAAATGAGTCTTGTTGATGCCTAATGAATCCCTTTCACCAACAGGGAATTGACAAAAAGAACACAAATTGCCATTTGACATATAAAAGATGGACTGTAAATATTAACTATCTATCAGTCAGCATCCTCATATGTAAACAACTTTAAAGTAGGAGAATACAGCAATTTATAGTTTGCATTTTTCCAAATGAGAAGGGCAGTACAAGATATGATGACATATATGTATTGTATATTATAAACCATGAAATGTCGTGTATCTTATTATTATATGCAAGATAATTCCTCTAACCTAAATCAAATCTTCTATATTAGGAGAGTTTACATTTAAAGAATATTATCAATAAACTTACTGACCTTTTTTGCATTTGGTAAAACCAACAATATTTGCAATGCTGAGGGTCACACAAACTCCAACAACAAGCAGATAATCAGCTTGAAGCCTTATGAGTGAGAATATTGCGAGCAAAATCCATGCAACAGCCTGTAGAACAATACAAATAAAATGATCATTTCTTATGCTGATCATGATTATGATTTTATCTTCTTGGAGTGGGGTTGTATCAAAATTACAAGCAATGTTGTTAATAACAGATGGTGGTTTATGGAAGCAAGCCAAAAATGCTCCTAAAAACATGCTAGAGTGTAGAACGTCAAATTGGAAGCAAGGTGGCTATAATAAAAACAAACATATGCAAATAATATAAAAAACTGCAGAATCTAAAAAAAAACTAACATGTGATAAAAGAACAATAACAAAAAATATGAAATTCATAAACTCTTTTAGAGACAGAGCACTAATAAACAGAGTAGGAAAACAAGAGAAGGGCAGAATCAATATGAAAAGATGACCCAAGGGACAGAAGAGAAAAAGGACAAACAATGTCTAGCTAGAGAAAACAAGAATATGGAAGAGAAAAAAAGAGGGTCAGGGAGCAGAAAAACCAAAAAGAGGGAGAGGGTCCCAAGAAAACAGGGGTTGCTGGAAATAGAGTCTAGGCTGGCAGAGATGGATGAGGAAAGAACAAGAATGGGAGTTTGTGCTGAAAATGAAAACTGCCGGGAAGGATACAGATCTCCTGGGATTGTGCATTACAGTTTCACTAAAACTTATGGATCATGGGCATACACATGAATATAGGTCTAGCATGTTGGGCCAGGTGGCCCCATTTCTTTCCTGGCATCTTCCACTACAACCCTTTCTTTGGCTCTTTGGCTCTATGGCATCTATGCAACATCATAGCTTCAGTATGACATCTTGTTGAAAATTTGTCATGCCATCCTGCCATCACATTAAAACCACCTAATAGAAACACTGACTACTGGCACCAACACAAACATGCCACGTTGATTCTCCATCTGTAACCCAAACTTTATAAAGAACTGATTACTATATTCTAAGCATTACAACCTATTTAGCAAACTATTTACTCCTAACAACACATGCACCATTTGAATGATAATGATCAGGGACGAATATTATATAAAGCGCCGCCAACAACCACATTTTGACTGTAACTCTGTAAGGATCCAAGAGAGAACTGGAATGCCATTCCATGCTGTAATAAATTTATATTTACTTACCGTGAGGTACAGGGTCCACCAGAAAAGCCAAGAATCTTTCTTGTTCATCCGAGCCAATGACTGAAGGAGAAAATATCAACATATGTAAGGTGCAAGCAAGTGCCGAGAATCAGCAGAAACAGTATATGACATTATTTTAAAAATAAGATTACATCCCTCCCACTGATCAATATAAGGAATACCTACCTCATGGTCAAGACACTCAAATTTCCAAACACTCTCACCCAGATCGTCAATTTCATTCCACCACCTCAAACCAACTAAAATTCGCCCACTCACATTCTTGACTACCCAAAAGTCAAGGGCAGCAAGAAGGACAGTCACCACAAAAATGATGACAAAGTTATCAATAAAGAGGGCCGAGAGGATGTAAAATGCCAAGGCTGCAGCCTGCAAGATATAAAGAAAAAGTTAAGCCTTAAGGAAATGAACATGACTTCATTAAAAATACATGCTAAACAGCACAATTGGATAAACAAAACCTTGAAGAGGACATGAAAGAAGCAAGTCTTGGGATTGGCGTAGTTTTCACCCACAGGCTGCACACACACGAAATTTTAATTAATCGCTTAAATCTGGAAAGAACCAGTATTCAATACCACGATCAATCATTGAATCCTATCCATTTTCAATGTCCAGCTCAACAATTGAAAAATCGAGCAGAAATTAGAAGACATCAGTAAATCAGCAGAGGAAATTAAGCGTGTATAGAGATGATACTCGGTTAGATTTTCCCTAGGGACAAAAATCAACTAAACTCTCTCCCGATAAACGCACGGAAATTGAAAGGAGAACATAGATAACACCAGATCTAGGAATTACGCTGAAGTGTAGAATAGTAGTTGACTAACCTGGTTGGGATCCATGTGTGCAAATGAAAGAGAATGAACGAATTTGAGACGAGGGAATTAGAGCATACCAGATCTCATACCCTCTAACTAATTTCGGACCAAAATTTGTTCGCCAAACGTAAGTTATATTTAATTATATAAATATTTGTTAAAATTATATTAACCCTTTCCACTTTTTCTTTCGAGGAAATACTAGCGGTAAAACAAAAAGCGTTTGGACTGGACTGGGCTTTCCTCGTGCTAATATTAGGGTTTCTACTTCTTACACTCCCATAACTTTTTTACCTCCACCCTCACAGAAGCTGGATTAGGCTTTACTTGATTATAAATTGGGCTCTCTTTTTTTTCGAGCTGGTAAAACAAAATAGGTTCTTACTTTCTGTCTCCCATAATTTCTCTATGCACCTCTTTACCTAACTCAAATATTTAAAATATTTTTTCCATAATTTTATTTTTTACCCTAACTACTTATTTTATTTGTGAACAATTTCTGCAACTCCATCCTTTGATTATTTAATTTTTTGTATTATCACGTTCGTTGAAGATATTTTCTAACAATTAAAGCATTAATATTATACGTAAATTATATGTTCTTACATTCAAATTGTATAAATAGAATAGTGTCATAAAATGAGGTTGAATTTAGCAAAAGTCAGCTCGAATATGTTTTTAGAAAAGCTAATTTAAAAAAACTTTTTCAAAAACATATTCCAGATTCTGTGTTTCAAAATGCGTTTCTAAAAAAATCTTTATAAAAATATATTTTGAATTGAGTGGTCTAAAATACATTTTTGGAAAAACCTTTTAAAAAACCTATTCTAAAATGGTTGTTTTTGAATATGTTTATTGGGTATTTGGAATGTGTTTTTGAAAGGTCAATTCAAAAAATAAGATAAATATAAGAATAAAAATATATTTAATATAATTATAAGTGCAAGAAGAAAATATGGGAATACAGAACACGAAGTAAGACTTAGGACAAATTATAACAATCAATTTCTATTTCAAGATATATTTTAATGTTTCACACTTTTTTTTTCATACGAAATTTACTGTGACTAGAAGTATTATTAGAAAATTAAAACAACCACATATTCATAACAAATAAACTATTAATTTGTCAAAAAAATTTATTCTCCATGAACATATTGATACTAAATTTTACTTCATAGAGAAGTATGGAATGAGAGGTTATAGCTAGACTATTGCTACATTGGAATATTTTTACTTCAGACAAATTCGTTTTTAAAAATTAAGGAAGTTAATAACTGTGATAAAACATGAATTTTTGGATTAAAGAAGAGTGTTGCTTTAGTAATTAGAATGTACTTTATAAATATATCTTGGAAATGATGTATCAGATTAAATGAGAAAATTACTTTATTTATCAATATTTTTATTTTTATTTTCTGTTTGCATCAAGTTTTGTTCAGTCCCAATAATACACATATTATAACAATTTCGTTTATTATAATTTTGACTTTCAAAAATATCTCATTAAAAAATAAAAATATATCTAAATTATTCATAATATCAGCTTTAAGTAGAATCTACATAATGGTACATTTTTTTTTTTAAAGAAGAACAAATTAGAGTCTATAGAAAATTTTACGTGAAATATAAAATACAAAGAATCTCGAATCTCATAGAATATTCTTGTAGAGAGGATGTTTCCTAAGCAGTCAAATCTTTTGTAAAGGGGAACACTTTTGAACCAAAACATGGAACGGTCGGTGTACGAAAACAAGGCCCAATGCATTATCCTAAAAATATAAAATGTCACGATTCACTTTACTATTTGCCCATTCTTCACCCAGACCTCACAATATTTTGTATTTAATTAGATTTGGTCCTTTCGTTAATTTCCACCAACTAACAAATTCAGAAGAACATTGTCATAGGATGTTAGACTAACCGCCGCGTGTCTCTCTTCACCTTACGCCGACAAACTCTCGTAACACACGCAAAGGATTTTATGGACCCCACCAAAATGCATAGTTCGCAACAATGCCTTCTTTCGATGCCGCGTGTCCAGTAATGGCCCACGTGTTGTACTATCCACTGTCTGGGGCGGTGGTTGCAGTTAACCTGAAAACGGATTTTCAATTTTCTCCCTTTTTGCCCTTTATATACCATCTCACCTCCATTTCACTTTTCCCAAATTTTTGGATGTCGGTTTTTTCGTTTCAAACTATAATTTAACATAACATAAATTTCAAAAACTATGACCAGAGAAAATAATCTAATGCAATTATTGATACAAGAAATGAATATATAAATAGTAAGAACATGCGTTACAATGGATAATACCGTTGCCTATTTTTGGAGTAATGATTGATTCTTACTAAAATGAAATTCCGTTTTGATTCGCATATTGAAAAAAAAAATGATACTATTTCACTATGTTGCGTATATTTTCTTTAAAACAAATTAAAGATTCTGATTGATGTTCCTATACTGCAATTATTATTTTTTTCAGGTTGTTTGGTTATTTTTCCTTATAAGATAAAAACTATTCAGATTGTCAATTGTTCACTACATTTGTGTCAATTGTTCAGATTTTTAAAAATTATTGTTATATATTGTCCATCGTTATCAAGGTTTTATTACAATTACAACCTAACCTAACAACAACTAGTGACACCAACAATGCACACTGAAAAATACCAAGAACGGTCCAATGTTATACAAATCCACAAAAAAGATAATATAAATTAATTAATCATTAATATTATTAATAAGACGACCTTTAAGGCTATAACCGCGTGAGTGAAGAAGTAATTTAATGAATCAGCGAAAGTTATCCATTATCCTGCACCGTGTTATTCCAAAACCATATCTCAACCGTTGGATTACCAGCGTACTTAATGACGATAATACCCTCCAGAGCTCTATATAAGCAACCGCGCCACTCCAACCACCAACACATCAGCAACAAAGAAGATCTTCCTTGCAGAATTTCCAGTTTCCTTTGTCTCCAAAGCCCTACTCTTCTGTCCAAAACCAAAACCCTTAAAGCAAGCAAACACTACTCTCTGAGATCATGGCCCCTGTTATGACCACCGTGAAAACCAACCTCACCGACGCTAAAACCGCCGTGGGTGGTGGCCGTGCTTACGTCACTTTCCTCGCCGGAAACGGTGACTATGTGAAAGGTGTGGTTGGCTTGGCCAAAGGTCTGAGGAAGGTGAAGAGCATGTACCCTCTGGTGGTTGCAGTGTTGCCCGATGTTCCCCAAGAGCATCGTGACATTCTCATCTCCCAAGGCTGCATTGTTAGAGAGATTGAACCCGTGTACCCTCCAGAGAACCAAACCCAGTTTGCCATGGCATATTACGTCATCAACTACTCCAAGCTACGTATTTGGGAGGTAGATATATATGCAATATTACATACATGCTATAAATAATTCATGTTGTTTTGGCCATTTGTTTTTAGAGTGCATATGATACTGTGTGTAAGTCTTCTTCCTACGTAATGTGTTGTTTTGTTTATTGTGATTGCAAAATCATGCAGTTTGTGGAGTACAGTAAGATGATTTACCTAGACGGTGATATCCAAGTTTTTGACAACATTGATCACTTGTTTGACTTGCCTGATAATTACTTCTACGCGGTGATGGACTGTTTCTGTGAGCACACTTGGGCCCATACTCCGCAGTTTGAGATCGGTTACTGCCAGCAGTGCCCTGAAAAGGTTCAGTGGCCCACTAACATTGGGCCTAAGCCTCCTCTCTATTTCAATGCTGGGATGTTTGTTTACGAGCCCAATCTTGCTACCTACCGTGACCTTCTGCAAACAGTCAAAGTCACCAAGCCCACTTCCTTTGCTGAACAAGTACTCAATTACTTGATTAATTTTATGTTAATAGATTGGAGACAATAAGAATATGTTTACGATGGATTATTTATTTTGTGTTGCAGGATTTTTTGAACATGTACTTCAAGGATAAATACAGGCCAATTCCTAATGTGTACAATCTTGTGCTGGCTATGTTATGGCGTCATCCTGAGAATGTTGAGCTTGAAAAAGTTAAAGTGGTTCACTACTGTGCTACGGTGAGGGTTCAGTTCTGATTGAAATGAAACTGGAATCTGAATCTGTCATGGAATAAGATAGATATTTGCTTAATTTGGTTGTATTGGTGTGTGACAGGGATCTAAGCCATGGAGGTACAGTGGGAAGGAGGAGAATATGGAGAGAGAAGATATAAAGATGTTGGTGAAGAAGTGGTGGGAGATATACGAGGACGAGAGTTTGGATTATAACAATTCCCTGAACGTGGAAAGGTTCACTGCTGCGCTTTTGGAGGCTGGTGGAGTCAATTTCATTCCTGCTCCATCTGCTGCTTAGAGTGCTTTTGCTTCACCCAAATAGATATATATATATATATATATATAGTTTCTTTTTTTCTGCCATTGTAAAGCAGTGGATACCATATCCTTATTTTATAAATGGATATGAATTTTATTTTGTACGTTTTTGTCATCACTTTCCATTAGCTAGAAATTTCAGAGTGATCACGATCTCCATTTCTTGCCTTCAATTATCAAATTAAAGCTCTCAATGTGGCTCCTCTTCCTCACAATCATATATAAGACCAATTATGGTGCAGTTGTTGAATCAGAATAGTAAAAAAACTGTTCTCACATGGAAGCTACATTAACAATGCAAGTAATCTTATTACATTCTCCATATTAGTTTCCCAAATACTATAGAATTAAATATGGAAGCAAATTTTATAGATAATATTAATAAAAAAGTTGGTGTATAAAAAACAAAACTTTCGAGATTCAAAGTTCTAAATAAATTTTTTAAAATCAATTACTTATTATTAAGTTAGTAATTTGGTCGGTAACCGTTTGTGTTTTGAATTTTAGATTATTATGATTGTCAAGTTTTTTTTTTAATTATTCTAATGAAAAATTCATCCAAGAATTAACCCGACAGAGTTTTACAAAGGTTACTGAAAATAAAATGAGGAAATAGATCCGCCGCTTTCATTAAAGACATGAATGTGTTTTTAATTCCATGTGACTTATGTGCGCTGTGCCCTCAATGGTCGTCTCGTCTCGGTTGGTGGTTGAAGCGAGCGCGAGTGTCTGAGAAGCAGCCACGCAACCCCTTTTCCTTCCGCGAAAATCCACCAAACATCACTTCATGAATCAATTTATACACACATGAATCAATGTCGCAAGCATAAGCAGAAGCATATACATTCATATACGTTTCGCTGTTAAAACCAAAATGGCCGGTAATGGAACCCACTCAGATTCAAAAGCTGCAACAATTGTGATTAAAGATCTCAGATTTACATACCCCGGCATCGACGGCCACCCGCCGCCGGGTTCCTCTCCGCTCATTCAAAGTTTCTCTCTCACTCTCCATTCCGGCGACCGCTGCCTTCTCGTTGGTTCCAACGGCGCCGGTACTCTGTCTCTTTCTCTCTGAATCTTGAGAATAAGCAAGCAATTGGCTACTTTTCATACTTAGTGGTAAGTTTATCGGTTCTGTGATTTATAGGGAAAACCACGATCCTGAAGATACTAGGAGGGAAGCACTTGGTGGAGCCTGACATGGTTCGCGTGCTTGGAAGATCAGCTTTTCACGATACCACTTTGGTGTCTTCTGGTGATCTCTGTTATCTTGGTGGCGAGGTTGGTTCCTGCTTTTAATATACTCTTACTCTTGTCTTACCTCTGTAATTCTTGTTAACGTAACTAATAACTAATGTTCATTTCGGATGTGAGCAACTGGTTAAATGCTCAACTCCTTAGTTACAATATAGGACTGTTGGAAATTTATATTGCGATCATGGAATTTTGTTAACTGTTTAAAATTGATTCCATCAGTGGAGGCGAGATGTTGCTTTTGCGGGTTTTGAGGTGCCAATACAGATGGACATTTCTGCTGAAAAAATGATATTTGGTGTGGCTGGGATTGATCCTCAGAGAAGAGCGGAGCTCATCAAGGTTGGATGAATCTTTTCCTATTATCCTCCTTTTTCCATTGCTCTGTTGATTGGGCTTTAACTATTTGTTCATTTTTGTATCTGGTTTCTATTAACTTGTGTAGTTCATGTTGATAAAATATAAGGAACTCATTTTGGTGGAAAACATATGAACCTAAATGCATTTTATGGTACCTGATTCTATATCCACGAATTTGATATTATTAGTTGATTCCACCAAGACTAAGCTTGGTATTTGTCTAGGGTCTGTGTAGATAAACTTTTCTCAGATGAAAATATAATAAATTTATAAACTAATAAGTTAATATGGAGAAATTCTTCCATAATGAGCTTGGTATTTGACTATTGCCACTGTAGATAAACTTTTCTCAGTTCATATACTAAGATTAGCTTATAGATTAGTTAATATGTAGAAATTCTTTGATATTAGTTTTTCTAAAAATGATTTTTAATTGCATTATCTGATTTTATCTTATGGATAAACTTATTTCATTTTTCTTTTCCGAGAATTGTTTATGAGAAAGTTATCCAAAAATGTTCTAAAACCATGCTGTTACGTTCTCTTCATGTTCATGTTCATGTTCTTTGTTTATGCGTGGCTATCTCTAGGAAGGTTTCTGTGGCAATGCATGTATAGTTTTTCTTTTGGACATACTGTTGCATAATTTCTGTTTTGCTGTTCAACTCTGTAGGTATTGGATATTGATCTTTCATGGAGATTACATAAAGTATCTGATGGTCAAAGAAGAAGAGTACAGATTTGTATGGGTCTCCTCAAACCATTCAAGGTATGGTTATCTTTGGCCTGATCTGTCAAAAAATCATTTTGCCTCATTGCACGTATGTACAAGCCTGTTCCTTGTTTATATAGGTTCTTCTTCTAGATGAGATAACAGTTGACCTTGATGTTCTAGCAAGAGCTGACCTTCTGAGATTTCTAAGAAAGGAATGTGAAGAGAGGGGTGCCACCATTATCTATGCAACACATATATTTGATGGTCTCGAGGATTGGCCTACACATATTGTATGTTTGCTTTATTCTGAACTCTTTTTATGTCAGTTTTAGCATAATCTAATCCTTCATCATTCTTAATGTTCTTTTCTAAGGTTTATGTCGCCCATGGAAAGCTACAACTAGCAATGCCTATGGACAAAGTCAAAGAAATCAGCAAATTGTCGCTAATGGTTAGTGTTGTACATAATCTCGCATTTGAAAAAGTTATTGATAAATTATTTATATGTTGTTTACTGTATCTTGTAATGTGAGCCTAATCCAAGGAAAAATAGCATGATTTCGTAGACGGTTCCAAGTCTGGTAAAGGAGGAAGGTTGTGTTATTGATGGGCATTGTAAAACATGTGAAGATCCCAAACATGGATAACTCATAACCAATTATGTGTGCTAATGTTAGTTTGTACCGCAGAATTGGCATACAAATGTTATAGAAGCAAGGATCCTCACATTTTTTTGGACAAATGAAGATAAAAGAGTTAGTCCAAGTGTAATTGATTAGGTTTGGTACTTTGATAGGTTAGTACTTTTGTTTTGTCTTGGTACCATCAGGACTAACACCTTGACTGTTATTCATCCTTTTAAGAGCATTTTTTACCTCTTCAACTTGAATTTTGCTATAGTAAGCTAAATTTGTTCATTCTCTTAGATTTTTATTTGTTCCATATTACAAGGCGATCCTTACATAATTGAAAAACTCAAAAAAATAAGTCTTTCCCCTCTCTTTTATATCTTGATCTATAACTAAAACTTTTTCTTTTTTCATCCCTTGTATTTGATCCAAATCTCTTGATATCCTTTACATATTTTGGCAAAGCTTATATGTCTTTCGTTCTTCATTCTTTCTCTTAGGATGTCAATAAAATTCTCCAAAACTTTAGACTGTGTCCCATCATAGCATTCCTTGTCTAGTTATTGCCTATCTACATCTTGCCCTATTTTAGCGTTATTGCACACGTTGCTAACACTCTTGTGCTTCAATTTTCTCTCACACTTTCATTCCATTACCAAAATTCATTATTTATCAGTTTTTATATATACCCATTACTTCTTTAGTAGCCATCATCGTTAGCTTAGACATTTGGGTAACAAATACCAATGCAGCAACTCTAGCTTATTTAACGTTGTACTCGAGTCATATAATGCATTACTTCCAAGTATCAACCGAGAGTAAGCACATTGTGTCGTGAGTGACTTTTATTTCGGGGGTTTCGACAAGTTCTACTTTGGTTGTTGGTTGTCAAGAGCCTGACTCAAACATTCTCCTTTATCCGGGTTTGAGACTAGCTATGAAATCATACGTGAAATTAAGTGATGCAATTTTACAATTAAAATAAAATTGCACCTAAATTGATTTTGAACATGCAGAGAACAGTAGAAAGTTGGCTGCGGAAAGAACGAGATGAAGATAGAAAGAAAAGGAAAGAGAGGAAAGCAGCTGGTCTTCCTGAATTTGGAGCGCAAGTTGAGGGAAGCCGTGTAACAGGGGATCCTGCCCGTGCTGCAGTTCGAGCAATTAATAATGGCTGGGCAGCAGGACGATTAAATTCCACCGTTGCAGGTGAAGAAAACTTGATCCTCAGCTCGAATCGAGTATTGAGGCAGTAGATAAAGTTCAAATTCAATGAGCATTTTTGCTGTTATTTTTTATCAACTTCAAAACAAAATTTGGTTGCCTGTGCATTCTGGCATATAGGAATGTTATATAGAAAGTATCATAATATGTGAAATAATATATATATATACCCTTGGAATTTTAATGTCCCATGTTGCCTTAGTATTGCAAATTTGTGACCAATATATGAGAATGGAGAAAATAACCAAAATTCTCTTTAAAATTACTTTCGTTTTCTTTTTATTTAGATAAAGTCTTTGACTGTAAATCCAAATATCCGAGAATTGCACTTCCACAAAATATAAGCTTTAGAAACAAAGGTCGTTAATTATTTTGAAACAAATGGACGTTTAATACTATCGTGTTCAAGATCGGCTTCAGTTGTCCGCATAAAATTACAAGGTCTTGAGCCTCTCTTTAAAAGCTATCTCATAAGATAAAAAAAAAAACAAAGAAGGGAAACAAATGTTTTAGAATGAGTATAAGTAATAAGTGGGCATTGCACCTTAAATCGTATCTCCGTTCCCTAGTCTTCAATTGAAGATTTGTCTTCAGGGTTTGGTGACAATCGTTCAAGAAAAAGCAAAATCATTAACCTGGAATCATATGATGTACAGGTAACATTGTTGTTGCCATGAATTGCGCGTAACACTATGCTTGACTCATGACTAGGTACTTTAATTTCTCTCAAAAAAACGCAGTACACGCGTACCATTATAAAAACTAAGTAGAAATTGTACATCGTCCAGCGGAACAACTGATGGAGGCTTTAAATGAAATGGTGTAAGAGTTTTGAGTCACGTAGAATTTGAAGGAGGGATGATTTATCTTCGACCGGAGGTTTGACAGAAAAATTGATTTGTTTCTCAGTATAAAAAGTCTGAGGCATAAGTAGGGGTGTCAAGCCTAGTTAGGTTCGATTTTTTTATTTCTACTGATTGTCGGCTACTCACTTAACCCACGGGTTAAATAGGTTCAAACTGGGTTATGGTGGGTTAGCTCGCAACCCACCATTAATTTTAAATTTTAAAAATAATTATAATAACATACTAACCTTAATTAATAATTTATTTTAAATTTTTAAAATAATTATAATACTTTAGTAATCCTAATTGATGTTATCTTGTTTTACCTCTACCCTACATTGTTGGTCGTCGCCAAGAGCCAAACCCTCACTTAAACTTGTTATTAGTTGTTCAGCTGCACCATTACGTTTGTCGCTACACTTTAGTCACTTGTCTTACTATCTGTCCATCGCACCACTACACCATGTCCATTGTATTGCTTTCAAAGGTAAGAATTTGTTTCATAACCTAAACCATTGTATTGCTTTCATAGGTAAAAATTTGTTTCATAACCTAAACTATTGGATTAATGAATCTTTATTTGAAAATTATAGCATCTATACATTATTTGTTGTTTGTTATTGATTTATACATATATCTTTTTAATATATGAATTTTTGACTTCTTTCTTTTAAATTAACTTACGAGTATGAAATCTGAAATAATACATCAAAGCGTCAATGTAAATTGTATTGGTGATGATTTTATTATTAATGAAAAACTCAATGAGTCAATTTCAGTTAATAACGAAGATACTAATGTTGAGAAAGAAAGGAAGAAAACATAAGTTTTTACATCCAAAGTTTTTATATAATTTAAAAAATTAAAAAAATATGGGTTAGTGAGCCAACCCACCTAACCCACCAACCCGTGGTGGGTTGAGCAGTGTTGTAAAATTTTTGGCTCGCCAAAAAGTGAACCGGGTTGAGCTCATCTATTTTCAGCTCAACCCATGGTGAGTTAACCCATGTGAGCCGGGTTGGCTCACTTTGGCACCCCTAGGCATAAGTGAAATGATAACGTGTTCTTGTCTTCTCTATATATTTAAATTAAATTTTAGTATTTTAATATTTTTAAAATATTTTTTTTCATATTATATATAAAATCAATTTATATATATATTTTTTTTCTACCTACTTTACCCTTTTTTTTAACTTTTTAAATTAATTTATTATATTATTTTTTTTCTTATTTTTAACTTTTTTACATTTTTTCGCATCTTTAACCAATTTAATTTTTTCAATCATTTTAATAAATTTGATAAATACAGAACCAATTTTTATTTTTTTTAATATTCTACATCAATCTTAATAATAACTAAAATTATTTTATTTTTAATTTATCTTTATTAAATTTTATTAAATTTTATTATTCTTATTTATTATATATTAAAATTTCTTAATAAAATAATTATATTTTAAAGGTTTAATAAAAATTAATAATAAAAACTTTTATCACTTTAAACTAATTAAATAAAAATTAACTTATTAAATATTTTCTCATAAACTATATATTTCATATTTATAAATATTTTAAAATAATAATTTTAAAAACAATCAACTTATATATATAATTAAATATTTAAATAAAATATAATAATAATAATATTATTATTATTATAAATATTCTATATCTAAATAAAGAAAAAAATTAAACATTTTTTATATACATATTTTAATATAAATATAATAAATTAAAATATATATTTAATTAATAATAATTAAAATTATAAATATTTATTTTATATAAAAAGTATATTAAAAAATATTATAAAATTTATTAAAAGTATAATTATATTTTAAAAATAATGTAAAACAATTTTAGGAAAAAAAAACCCCAAAACTCGAGGAAGAGGAGATAAAGAATTAATTTTTAACTCTGACGGTATTGGGACGAGGGCGATCATGGTTAAAAAGTTCTAAGACCCAGGATGCAAACCAGCCCCGTTGTCATCATGCCAAATTCCGAGAAAAGCACGATCGCGGCATGTGTAGTTTGTAATTCATTAATATTATTTAGAAATTCTACAGGAACAAATACGATTGCTATGATAATGTTGTATCGAACACCTAAATAAAGACAAAAAAAGAACTTAAAAAAGAGTTGAAAAAAGACTTTAATGCTTTAGGAGAACATCAACCGATCAACTTCATAATATAATCGTAAAGCCGAGCAAGATAGCAGCGTTCCCAAAAATGTCCCTAAGCCTGATCCACAAAAGTAAACAGAAATCAACCACAGTATACAGATCAAGCATCGAAAGCAAGAGATGAAGAATTTATGCTCTACCTTGTTAGCTATATTGTTGGAAAGCCAGTCCAGTCCTTCATAGAGTCCTTCCCCAGAGGTGGCACATGTGCTCTGGATATACCTGTGATGAACCAAGAAAAACAAACAGCCAACACCAAAATCCAATTATCATAAGTGCTCGATAAAGATGCGGCAGGCAGATATAACAGAAATGCAGTTGAATACCAGTGGCGTTGGCGAAGAGAATGAAGACCAAGCTTGTCTGTGATTTCTGCGGCATTCATAGCATTTGGAAGATCTTGTTTGTTGGCAAATACAAGGAGAACTGCATCTCTCAACTCATCCTATAAATTAATTAATGAGATAACTAAATTTTCTATTATAAAATGTAAATCTTAAATGCAGGAGTTTCACTATCAGCAAATCGAGAAAGGCTAAGATTATCAACAAAAAGAGTTAACTCCATTTTTGTAGTTGACAGATTAAGAGAAGTATCAAAATTTAAATTCAATATTATTTAGAACAACTGGACTTGCAAGACCTTTCAAATTTGATGCTGCCCACATTAATTTACATTCATCTTGCTCTTAAGTTCATCTGTTTACCTCATTCAGCATCCGGTGGAGCTCATCTCTAGCCTCAACAACACGGTCACGATCATTGCTATCCACAACAAAGATAAGTCCCTGTGTGTTTTGGAAGTAGTGTCTCCATAAAGGACGAATCTGTGGGTGCACCGTACAAAAGACCATCAGTGTTCAGCATGCAAGAATCAAGGCCAAGAACAGACAAATTTAGAATCTAACCTAATAGAATCTAATAAGGTCGCAAAAGCCATACCAAGCATCCAAAAATTTTACAGAAGTAAACAGGAAAATAGTTCAAATTTGCTACCACATGAATTTAAATTTTTTTGTCAATTTATATCAGAATATACATTTATATAATTTCCAAAGCAATAAAAATGGACAAATGAAGAAATGACTAAATGGAAATGCATTAAAAAATGATAGGAAGATGAGACTATTCTACACAGACTATCCATTGGTAAATGCAACTCATCAATGAACAGGAATGTATATGTACATAGGAATTATGTTTATAACATCTAAGCTGTAAGCCACAATATGCACAGGAAAAAGTTGAAAACCTCGATGGTTTAATATGTGGTTTATATTTGTGTTGTGTGCTAATAATGAGAGAACCTCTGTTAGGCAGAAGACGATATAAGCATATTTTCATCAAAAACTACAAATTTCAAGCAGCAAAATCTAGAATAAATTGTGAAAGATTGCATATGTCTACATACAAGGAAACATAAAGCGGCACATATGTTCATTGGCAATGGTGGAGCTTCTTTAGGGAGAGGGGTGGCAGCTGTTCCCCAATTTCATATTTCTTGTTTCGTTATAAAACTTATTTCACAATCAAAGCTTGAAGCCTTTTCACCACAACTACATAGGAGCCTTCATTAAGCTCCTATCCCTATCAAACTTTTCGGTGATGTTCTGATGTGTTCCATCACTGTTTTTATGAGTTCTATTTAATTATCTTTAAAATGAAAGTCACGACTCTGATAATTTTCCCCAATATAGTTGAAAGAAAACTTGAAAGGAGATGGATGGCATTTATGTAGAACCTATGTTAATCGTCAAAAGTAGGTCTAACAAGAAAGAAGTAGTTACTGCCACATGTGTTCACATCTGTTATCTCAGGTTCAGAGTGCTTTATTAACAAAGCACACACAATTTAATATACTATTGTTCATTGCAAAATTTAATAAACGATTCTTCCAAAATCTTAACAGATCTTAATACAAATATGTAAGCAACAGACCTTGTCTTGGCCACCCACATCCCATACAGTAAAGCTAATGTTTTTATATTCCACAGTCTCCACATTAAATCCTGTACAACAACAAACATAAGCATCAATTGGCAATTCCCTTTGCAACAACCAAAAGATGTACAAGAGAAGTTGGATGGTGAGTTTGAATAGCCTCATAAAAGCACTAGAACTTTTAAAACTTTGGAGAATAAAAAAATTTCCGACATAAGAAAAAATGAAGCATGTAAAAGACAAATTCAGGTGAATACCAATAGTGGGAATGGTTGTCACAATCTCTCCCAGCTTGAGCTTGTACAATATGGTAGTCTTACCAGCAGCGTCGAGACCTACCATGAGAATACGCATCTCTTTTTTGGCAAAGAGCCGGCTAAAAAGCTTGGTGAAAGACAACCCCATCTCTTACTTCAACTGGATGCAGAAATTCATAAGGCACATGTCAACCAAAACAGATAGTCGCACTCAAATCTCATAGTTTAAGAATCAATGTACTTCAGAACCATTGTCATCTTAACCGGATGCAACGAACGCAACCTTGATTTTCGAAATTCAGACAGAACTACATAAAAAAAAATACTACGCGGGAGTGATATCCCAGGATTTTTTTTTAAATTAAAGAGACAGTGTCATGTGTTATTTATTTCACCAATTACATTAGAAATCCATCAAACCAATAGAAAAACATAATTCGGTACGAGGTAAAATGAACAGAGATCTGCTAAACACAATTATGAAGGAAAATTCTGAAAACTAGTTTTGAAATAAAATGATTCGATTTCTTCGTTGAGCATAAAGCAGCAAATGCGAATATTGAGATCTCCGTAATTAACAAAACCTGCTTGATTTTCTGATTGAAAACGATAAACGGTTTTACTTGCAACAGATCTGCTAGCATAACACGTAACAAGATGGCAAGGATTTCAATCCAGATTTTGCACAGACAAAACAACGAACCAGAACTGGAATAAAAGGTAATCAGATCTAGACCAGACAATAGACGAAAACGGATCGCGCACAGTCCACAAGAGAAGAATCTTACAGAGAGAGAAGTTGCGAGGTGTAGAAGAAGCAGAGGCAGAGAATTGAGAGATTATTAGAGAAGTTGAGAGGGTAGATCCAAGAAGAAGCTCCCTCCAAATCCAATCCAGACGCTGGTGGGGGAAACGGAATTACGCTCCTTACTTTTAATATCATTGAGTTATTTTGTACAAAAAACTATTATCTAATATAATAAAAGAGAAATGCTAATCATGAAAATAATAATATTATGAGCTTTATTCTTTAATTAATGAGTTTTCTTTATTACAAGCAGATTTACTTTTTATGGACGGTTAAGTATAATATTTGTATATTTAAATATATTAAAAAAACATTATAAACAAGATTTTTACTATAATTATTATAAAAAAATAATAATGTATTATACATTATAATGTAAGATTAAATTTATTTCATGTATATTCTAAATATGAAGAATGATTTATAAGAGTTAAAGAATTAATTTCATTCACCGATCAATATAATAAATAAAATGACTTATAATTTTTATTTTATATTATTAGATTAAGGGGGAAAAATGAATGAAAGTATTTAATTCTTATTCTTAAGTTGAATGATTCTTTCTCTAAATATTTTATAATATTTAGTTAGACAAATTTTAAAATCTAATTTATCTGTGAATATTTAAAATGCTTTATAATAAAATATTTGTCTTAAATATGAAATTTTAAAGAAATTAATTTTAATTATTAAATTAATTTAATCATTTTAAATTATAAAATTTTAATTTTTATAGATAAAAAATTTAAGTTTCATAATTTTTTTCTCTTTATCTATTTTTTTTAGTTTCGTATTGAAGATTCCTCCATATTAATCTTGACGCAAATAATTTTTTTACGTAGGTTTTAGAAAAAATAATTTAATCAACATTTATTAAAAAATATACTAACAATAACTATAATCAATAACATAAAAAGTATATTATTAATAGAAATTAAAATAATTATAATTGATATTAATAAACGTTAATATTAATACATAAGAAAAATTCTTAACTTTATTGAAGAAAAACTTACTTCAACATTCATAAAAGGGACATCTAATAATATTTTAAAATTTTTTAACATTAAAATATTTTCTATTGAGTGGTAATTAAAATATTGTAAAGCTTTCGGCTGATACCATTCAACTTTAACGATTTTTAATTTTCTTTAAAAAAAATTGTGAAGCAATCTATTCATGTTAATTACTATAAGTGTCTATAAGTTTTAGTCTATTGATATAATATAATTTATTTTCTAAATAATTACGCTTCTCGCTAATAGCATAAGAGAAAACAATTAACGATAATTTTTATAATTATTATAAATATTTATGTTTAATATAATTAAAATAATTTATTTAACTTTTCGTAATATTAATGAACTTATTAAATTTTTAATTATTATTATTATTATAAATCATCCTTTAATTTTATACCATGTATCGTTAAGTAATATATATGCTTAAATTTTAAGTATCATTTAACTTGTTGAAATAATTCATCTACATATTTCATAGATTTTATTAAGGAAAATTTTGCAAATTCGATTTTAGTAGTACACATATATAATAACTGATAGTGAAATGAAAGATTTATTCAATTAAAACCATACAAATAAATATACACATTATTTATATTTCTCATAATTATTATACAGAAAATATATTTTAATAAAAACTTAAATTTCTCTTTTATCGTGCACAAATATATAAACAATAAATGGATTGAAAACAATAAAGTGAAGAAAATATTCTTATTTATTAAAAATAAAAAAATACCTATAAAATCAATTAGTTAAATGAAGATTTTTAATAATTTATACCTGATTATTTTTCGTATTAAGAGAGAGTTTTTATTATATTATTAGGTATTTTTGAGGAAAATTAACACTACAAGATTTTTTTTTAATGAACATAAGTTCATCATATAAGAGAAAATATATCAATTTGAACTTAAAACCTTAGTATTAGGTTTATAATTCTTTCTAACTTATAAGTTGTTCAATTTTTTCATTTATACTTAATATGAAAATTTAACTCATACTTGAATTTCTAACAAAATAAACTAACCCAAAAAATACTTTGAAGTGAGAGGATATGTAGTCCAATTTACATTACACTGTCTATAAAATTTCATATCACTAAAATTGTCCAAAATAACACCTTAAACAAATTTTTCTTAACCCCTCAAAAAGTAACTTTTCGATGACCATGCACACAATATATTAATTGATTTGTGTAAAACACAAATAAATCAATCAATTAACCAAAAATCTATATTAATTAGGATTATAAAGAAATTCATCTTATATAAAATCAAGATGATAATTTTATTCTATTGAAGTAGACATATGCTTTGCTTTTAAATAGTTCAAATTCATTAATTATATGTAAAGTATATTTTATTTGATATAAGAATATGTTAGTAGATAATAAAATCATTTCTACCCCAATAAATGTCTAAATTTTTCAAAGTTTTTCATTTGAAAATATTTGCTCAAGTAATCTTAGAACAATTCAATAATTTCATAATTATTTTTACATATGATTAGATCATTAACATAGACAAAGACATTAGTTGCATTTGACCATGATGTAGAATAAAGAATGAATAATATAAAAGAGATAACTTGAATCAGTATTGTTTTAAGACATCAACCAATTTGACAAATCAACATTTATGGATTTGATTTGTTTTAAACTGTATGAAAACTTTTGAAGAGAATCTACGAATACACATTTTTTAAGTGATATTATCTTCTTTTCTATCTTAATTACGAGCATAACACAAAAATAAAACACCCTTAAGTAATATTATATGAAAGTGATTGTCCATATAACATTTTATAAATTATTTTTCCATCTAATAATGGTGTTGATATTCTATTTATTAGATATTTAGTTGATAACATTCCTTCCTCCTAAAAAGAGATAGAAAAAGACCTTAAATTTTGAATATATGTGTTCATGTTTTTTTTAAACTTGACCATTTTATCATGTTTAAAAATTAATGTGAAGTCAAATAAACTTTATTGATAAAAATGTAAATTTAATTTTATTATCACTTCTAATTATCTTAATATATTTTTCATATTATCTTTCTACTAAAGTAGCAAAATTTAATAAGACTCTAAAATCTTTCTTTTTATCAAATAAAAGATAAATTCAAACGTTACACCAATATTAAAAAAAATAAGACATGTTAAATGATGGATACTAACAGGATCCCCACAAATTGAGATATTGTATAATTAATGTAAATTTAGTGAATTGAGATCTCGATAATGAATACACTTACTTTTTTAATTACTACAAATTGTTAGGTTCTTAATTATTGAAAAATTTTCAAATTTTCTTTTATATGATTGAAAACTCTCGTTTCGATCATTCCTATTTTATTACTTGTCATCCGTCTTAGTCATGCAAAACTTATTTTAACTCTAATATCATAATAGAAATAGAAAAAATATATAACTCAATCATACTAAACTCCTTCAATAATATCATTGTATATTTAGTTAACGTGAGATTTCATTAAATCTTCTCTCATTTAAAAACAACGAAAATGGATGAAAACTAACTTAAAAAAAAAAGATTTTTTCAGATTGAAAATTTTAAAAACTAATTATTTCGGTTTGATAATTAAGAACCTGTCCAAACCAAATTAAACATAATTAAAATTATAATATATATTATTGAAATTAAAATATAAAATAACACATATTTTAAGTGAGTAAATTAGTTTCTTATACTTTATTTTAAATTGAATATAGAAACAAATTAAAATATTAAATATCAAAAATAATTATCCATGATACTTTTATAATTTTTTTATTAAACAATTATTATAATATATTTTAACAATTTTATATTAAAAATTTATAAAATCCTAAACCCTAAATCAAATTAAATCATATTTAAATTTTATATTTAATTTGAATAATTTTGTAATACAAAACTAAATCAAATCTTACATATTATTAATTCCATTTAATAGTGATAAAATTAATAACATTTTTTTTATGCATAGTTATTTTAAATGATATATATTTATATAAGAGCTTCTAATAACATAGTTATTTTAAGAAATATATGTTTGTATAAGAGCTTTTATTTTGTTTCTATCATTTTATATTTTCATTTATAGGTTAATTCTTGCTTGTTTTAGCAAGCATTCGAAACAAAATAAATGAAAAATTTGAAATTATTCATTACTATGAATTACTACGAGGAAGCTAATAAAAATACAAGAATGATCGGAATAAAAAGAAAATTAATAAAATCATTCTACAATAAAACTCATATATATAGTAAAGTGTGAAAAGGTTCAATATGTTATAGTATTATTCTTATAATATCTTCATATTGGACTTTCTTACACACAAAATCTAATATTTCCATGTTCTTGCGGTGTAACTGCTTGAATTAACTAATCCAATTGATAACTGGTTTGAAAATTTAATATTAATAAATTTTTAATTAAATAAAAAAATTGATTAAAATTTTTAATTGAATTGATTTTAATGAAAAAAAAATAAAGATCAATTTTTATAAAAAATATAATAATTTTTATTTTTTTATCTCATACCAATCATGTAAATTTTAATTAATAATTATTATACTATATTTTTATCTTATTTTAATATTATTTTTTATTTTATTTATATTTATAATTTTTATTATAATTATGATAATTATTATTATTATTATTTTAAAAATTATCATTATTAATAAATTTATTATAAAATATTATTAATTTTTGATTGAATTTGATTCGATTTTGATTAAATTTTAAATTTTTGAATGATTGATAATTTTAAAATATTAATATTTGAAAAATATATTTTAAATAGTCTTTCGTAATTGACTGTGAAGGAACTAATAAAAACAAAAAACAAAAAATAATAATAATCATATATTTGCTATGGCGATCGCATCTAGTCAGAATAAAATTGTGCTGTGGCGGGGTCTCAAAATATAAATTGGCACTAAATATGTTATTATTATGGGTTAGACAAGGGAAGTAAATTGAAATGTGTATTAGCAATTTTCAATTTAGATTTTCAAAGTTGGCATTACAGAATGCACTTAATCTGCGTAGGATCCTCTGTCTGTAACTTTCTCTTCTCTTCAATCATCAGCATGGTGGTTTCCGTTACCTTTAACTTTAGCATTGGAAGGATCATAGGGTTGCAATTCCATATCTTTAACTTCATCCTTCATTGCCTCAGTTATCTTATGAACAGCGACATTCTTACACACCTCTCTGTTCTTTCCCCACAACACAAAGTACAGCCCCAACACTATCAGCAGAGACCCTATGGCACTGAGCAAAATCAAAACCATAAATCAGCAACAAGCTAATCAAATTGAAAAAACCATAACGAACAATTTTGATGGGTGAGTATTGAATTTGAGTAAATGTTATTTCGTACGTGCCAACGTATAATTGCTCGTGCAGCAGGGCCCAGCTAACAACAGCAGTGATGACAAGCAGCAAAGGGGAGAACACAGACACATAGAGAGGACCTTTCTTCTCGATGGACCACGATATGAGCACATACACTAGCCCAGTACAAATAATTCCCTGAAACCCACGTTATGGAATGCAATGATTAACGCCTGTTATAAAATAGATGAACCAACTCATCATGGAAAATGCAACTATATAATATATGTACCGCATAAAGTGCAGAGGTAAGTCTTAAGGGACTATGCAGTGACCAAGCTGAGGCATCGTGTTCAACAGACAAGGCAATGGCCAAGCACTGAATGCTTGCCATCAAACACATGTAGAAAGTGCTGGTATAAGGAACTGCATAGCTCTTGCTCATGTTTGCCTCAACAAACAAAACAAGTATATGTGTTTAATAAAGGAACAAGTATTTAATTCAATGTGACTTAGTTAGTTATATGATACTTACTTGAATTATGAACCATACTGCCCAAACAAGAGCACTACCAATTACAGCAACAGGACCCAGAAGCGAGTTTGTTTGGCCACCAGAAGAGGCTTGCCTTTCCATTCTTTCAGCAAATTTCCAGTGAATTTTTGACTCACCTAGACCAAGGACTTTTCCATGATAAAATGATAGAAGCACTGCTCCACCCACACTAAGTATTGTCCCTAACGCCTTCGCTACCCCGGCTATGGTCTTGATCATCAACCATTCTTGTCTGTTCATAAAAACATTAATTAAATCAATTACAACATGACTTTATGTTCTGCAAAGTGATGTTACTAGTGATGGTGAATAAGAAAATACTGGGGTGGTTTGGTTATGTTTTTTTGCTTGATACTTACCCGAAGAGGAGTGCAAGAACAAAAGTGAATGCTGGGAGCAAGTTGCTTAGTGCACATGCAATTGTAGCGGTTGAATATTTAAGCCCCACGAAGTATAGTATCTGATTTCCTGTTACTCTGCATTCAAGATCAGAATGAGTGAAACAAAGCCTCAATAAACAGAATAGAAGATATATCTCGATAAGAATAATGATGGTTGTAACTAGTATGTCCTGTCTCATTTTCTAACTTGAACATGTATTATATAATATAAGCCAAAAAAGAAAATGCAAATTGAACACATTAAAAGGGTAGCAGCAGCAAACCAGATTAAACTTACCCTGTTAAGGAAGATAATAATATCTGGAAAGCAATGCGCTTTGTCATTCGGGGAGCCGTCTTCCTATTGAAAGGAAACAAAAATAATAAGTGAATTGTAAGTCATGTTGCAGTCACTGATCAGGGTTTTATCCCCTGTTTATCTTCTCCAATTCTTTCTACTTTTTAACTTTATGCTGTGGAAGAAAAAGAAACTAATGATTTGATTCCACCAAGCTTTTTAACTAGCTAGAGAAATAACTACAACTATATGCACCGGGTGGAGTCTTTATTACGAGTAAATCATCTCTGAACTCTGCTACTATAGTTGATCAAAAGCTGAGCGCGAATGAAAATAATAATGAAATCTAATTATTTTAAAAATGGTGTTGTGTTGATAGAATCATAGAAGATGAGAAAATGGGTACAGAACATGAGTGGGTTGTTGACGACTATGAAGTTCCTTGAGCAAAGGGTGTGAGCTGTAGGGTGACGTAAAAAGTATGGGAAGTTGTTATTTTGGTGTGGTGGTGTTGCCTTTACTCTGTTAATTTTTCAGCATTTTGCTGCAGTTAGGGAGGTGTGAATCATATCAGCATGCTTGGTTGTGTAAAAAATTCAATTCCCTTGAAAAATAGAGTTACTAAGAGTTGCAATATTTTCAAATATTTGTTTGCTTTTCAATTCTTTCCAACATTTATATCGCTTATAGATAGAAAACTTGGCATGGTGTATGGGTACTTAACTTTTAATATGAAGATATGTGATCAGTTAAATAAAACAATTTGAAAGTCTTTCAGAAATAATAGGAATTAGTGTGTAGAACTGAATGAAGAACATACGATAATGTGTGTTACCGTTCAAACCAATAAGCAAAAGGAGCTAAGGAGAGAGTAGCAAAAATTTGACGATAAGCAACAAGGACCAGAGGGTGCATGCCAGATTGTATTGCAAGCTTTGAGGAAATATTCATCCCTGCATAAGCCAACTGAACAGCAATCATGGCCAAGAGTGGCATGAGACTATCAGCCATTTTGTCTTCAAAGGTTCTTCTTAGGAATGTGGAGAGAGTTTTCCAGAGAATGAGTATGTCAATGTACCAAGACAAAGGATGAGAAATGAAATGTAGGAGAGTATGAAAGATACGTGTTTCTTTATACAATTACATATATAAAGAACAGCAACAACAAGTATGGGATATCGTGGATGACATGAGCGTGAGAAAAGGTTGCTGGTGTTCCTAATATAAAAAGTAAAACAAGAAACGTAAACAGATAGGGTGTATGTATGTGATCCATTTTGGAGAAAAAAAACAAATTTAAGTAACTAATTACGCAAACACCAACACTTTTGACGATGTTTATACACATGACACGAGCTTCCGAATGTTGTAAATGAAAGTGTCTAATCATTTTGTTTTCCAAAACCAATGGTTTTAGGATTGAATAGATATTTCTGTTGAAAATTCCTTTTGATTAATTCACGTTACTGCACTCTAATCAAATATAGTTGGATATTAATTAACTTATATTTTAGGAGCGTTTAGAGGAATTAGTCATTGTAATATTTTTCAAATATTTTATTTTATCTTCACCTAATATTTTTTACTTTCTGTTGTTTATATACAATTTTTGTAATAATTTTAAAATATGAATGTGATTATTACATTGTATCCAGAGTTTGCGGTGACTTGGAAACAAATGCTACACCATTAGATTTGAAGCTCAATTTTTCACTTGGTATAATTTTTAGTGAGTAAAGACAAATTGGAAACAAATGATACCTGCAAATTTTAATCAACTCCTTAAACCCCACTTATGAAAATAATTTTGTTTCCTCCCATTATTATTTGCCCTAGTAAAAAAAATGTATTTTGAAAACTATATGATGATTATTACGAATGATCTAATGATTCTAAGGAAATAAAAGCTTAACAAGACTATTTATAAAAATAATTGAAATGTGTATTGTATAAGTGACTTTTAATATAGTCCCGTTAGAAAGTTCAAAACTATATTCTGGATCGTAGTCATATAAACATTATAAAACCTAACGTAAAATATTTATCTACTAAAAATATACATAAGCCAATATATTCTATCTTTTTTGACTTAGCATCATATTATTTTTCTTGTAAGTTCCTCCATTTGTCTCTCAACACTAAGAACCGAACATCGAGTATTCAAAACACCAAAGATAATAAAAAGGAAAAAATTGTACAAGAAGGTAGTAAACTCAACTTATGTTCGATCTTTCAATAACAAATATATAATATCTAACTCGATTAAAATATTATCTTGGGATAGAAATTTTTAATAAAAAAATATCTTAAAAGAAGTATACTTGAGATCTTTTACGAAAAACTAACATGAAAGGGTGTGATTTGTTAATAATCCTATCAAAAGGGTTGAAAGTTGTGGCTAGGAGCAAATGAAGTTCCATTGGTGTAGTTGATTCACTCTAAACCTTACACAACTTGCTTGAGTGTTGTTGGTCAACTCATAAATGTTAAGGCATTTGAAATCAAGGCATAAAGGTATTAGACTAGACTAATAGATGAAATAGAAAAAGAAAGTCAAATTAATATATATATATATATATATATATATATATATATTATTAAAATTAAGTATCATGTAAATATATAGAAGAGAAAAGGTGAAAATATGGAATAATGTGTAAAGGAAAATAAAAGTAATATTTTATTATTGAGAGAAAAATATATAACGAATAGAAATTTTTTTTATCAAAGATGCTTCCTAAAATTAAATTTTATTTATTTTTTTAATTAATGAATCATAAAAGAAGGGTCACTATTCCATTTACATATTAATCATGGTTTTTAATTAGGGGGTTAAAATAGATTTTTCCAATACATTTATATAAAATACTCAAAAAAAAATATTAATTAAAAATTTATGACCCAAATTAAATCATACTAATTTTGATTTGAGATATTTAAGTTATAAATTAAATAAATTTAGGACATTGTAAATTTATGGATAATACCATTTTATTAAAAAAATAATAAATTTTAAAATAAAAATAATATTATAAATTAATTTGATAAAGAGTTTATTTATTCTAACAAAATTATATAAAAATAAATATTTAACATCTACTTATTTAAAATCTAATTATTAAAATTAATTGATATTTTAGACCACTAAATTATTAAAAAATAAATAATATTAATAAAAAATAAATCTTTAACTATTATTTTAGGAGGGAATGAATATTTCATCTTATAATTTATATATTAAATCATTATATCTTAATTAAAAATTAATTTTATTAATATAACTTAAAATTTTTAAATATATATTATTTTAAAAATTTTAATTATTTTAATATAAATATATTATTAATTTTTTAGTTTCAATTGAATCAAAATTAATTTGTTAATCATTCACCTAACACAAGAACACGTTAGACAAGAAATTCTAATTTGTTTTAAAATATAGAAAAGATTGTATTATTAATTTTTTATTTTTTTCTCTTGATTCAAGTTAAGATTGTGTTGGACCGTTGATTTTAATAATCATACTTCTGCTCGTTTCTCTAGTCAGATTTCTCCTTATCAAGTTATTTTCCATCTACAGGACAATTTTTATTGTAATAAGGTCTAAAATTTGATGTTTGGAAAATTGATATTACCCTTAAAAAAATTGTATATTATTCAAATAGAAAATAAGTTAATCTTTATTATGATAATAAAATTTATGTGATATTATCTAAAATGACATAAAAGCGGGTTGAAGTGTACAAAATTTTCATAATAACATAAAAAATCTAAAGAAAAATTATAAAATTTGACATAGATATTTTATTCTCTCCCATTAAATAAAAACAGTTTGCATTATACTTCATAACTAGACCAAACTAGTTAAACCCAAAGAATAAATCTTTATAAATAATTGCATTAAGATGGTTTTTCACAACACACTCTTCCTCGTTTTGGAATAACCACACAAACTGCATGATCATAAAACTCTAACAAAATGCATTTTAGTAAAAATAAAAAGATAAAACAAAAAAAATCACCATTCATCCCTTTGTCCTAACTTTACTATAACAAAACTAAAATCACGAGTTGTTTTAATCATTCACTCTTTGAAACATGTGACGGTGTCATTTTAAACTTGGGTGCGTGTGTGTTTGTGAAATCGAATTGTATGTAATTAAACTTCGTACAAATTTAAAGTATGTGCGATGCTACTTTTACTACTTTTATTTTAACACGTTCAATCTTTCTTTAACTTTTTTTTTACTTATGTGATATTATATTTGGTTTTGGTTTCGGTTTTGGATTTTTGTGAATTTGCATCTATGCCCACATGAGTAAAAACAACAAGCATATAATCTCAACGCATTTAAGGAATATATGTTTGGTATGTGTCTATTTGGGGTTACATTCGCTGGTAAATATGTTAAATGAAACTCTCACTTTATATATTATATTTTTTTCTTTATTATCTATTATTTTAACTATGTATAATAATTGAAAAAAAAATAATAGATTTATAATTCACAATTTATTTATTTTTTTATTAACGAGAGTTTGTTATAATCATAACTGGTTATAAATAACAAATTATCAGGTAAAAGGACGAATTAATAAATTAGTCTATTAATTTTTTTTTCATAAAAAAGTTATAAATAACAATTTATCATGTAAAAGGACGAATTAATAAATTAGTCTATTAATTATTTTTTTCATAAAAAAGTTATATATATATATATATATATATATATATATATATATTTAAAATATAATAGAGATAATAAATTGAGTTAGTTTATTATAGATCTCAATCTATTTCATAAAACGTTAATTTATCATTATTTTTTATATATATTCTTTAAAAAATATACCTTAATTATAAGAATATTATTTAAATTATTTATTTAGTAATTAATATTTTTATTAGATAAATTGATAAATTTATTATATTTGTGAAAACATTTAATTATAATCCATAATTTAAATTTAATTACTTTGCATTTATTATTTAACTTATAATATTATAATATATTTGTATATTTTATCAACATAACAAAAAAATAAAATTTCAGTTAATATTTTTCCTTTGATAATTTTATGTTTTTCACTTAATTATACATTAAAATATCCAAATAAAAATCATTAATAAATTAACATAAAATATTATTCTAAAAATTAAAATTAATTATTAAAAAACAAGATAAATTTTTATTATAAACTATATATATATATATATATATATATATATATATATATATATATATATATATATATATTACATATTTTAATATTACGCATAGTCGTGAATATCTATTTTGTACCGCAGACTTTTTCATTATCTTATTTGTACGAGACCTTATTATTAATAAATAGTTGTGCTTTTTTATGAGTTTCTTACATGAAAATGCAAACTTTAAATACATTTTATTCGATATTTTTTCTTTATTTTGAATTATATTTGCACTTTTTTCTCATTTATTTTTTGAAGTGTCAAATAATGTGGGACACAAATGTATTATTTTCCTACATGTTAACATCACAAATATAAAATGTGATTTGATTTTGAGTCCAAAATGAAGCACCATGATTGATTAATTTTTTTAATTTACTTTTCTTCCACCCTACCCTTTTTTTTTTTGTTTTCATGTGGAGATGACAATTAAACTTGTATTGGTGGGGACCGATCCATCTCGCGCCCGAATTTGACGGAAAAAATCGAGTTGACCGGGGTTAGGGTGAGTTTGGGTTTTCCTGCTTTAAAAGTCGGGGCGGGGACGGGGATGGGTAATGCAATCCCTAACCCGACCATGTTCCCGTCCCGCCCCAACTTTATATTTAAATTTAAATTTTAAAATATTAATATTTTAAAAATATTTTATTTTTTATTTCTATTACATATAAAGTCATTTTTTTATATTTCACCATTTTTATTTTTCTTCTACCCACTATTTAATTTTTTTATCTTTTTTAATCTTTTATATTAATTAATTTATTACATTATTCTCTATTACCTTTCTCGGTTTTCACATTTTTTTAATCTCTCCCGTCATTTTGTTTCTTTTTTTTTATCTTTTCAACCAATTTGATGTACACAAAGTTAATTTTTTTTTCTTTATCTTTTTCTAAATATTTTACATAAATCTTAGTAATAACTAATATTATTTTATTTATAATTTATATTTATTAGGTTTTATTATATCATAATTTTTTATCTTATTATTCGTATTTATCATATATTAAATTTTATCTTAATAAAATAATTATATTTTAAAATATTAAAAAGAATTGATAATTTAAACTTTTATTACTTCAAACTAATTAAATAAAAGTTAACTTATTAAATATTTTCTTATAAACTATATATTTCATATTTTTAAATGACAATTTAAAAATTAATTAACTTATATATGTAATCAAATGTTTAAATACAATATTATAATAATAATAATATTATAAATATTCAAATATTTGAATACATTGTTATAATAATAATAATAATATTATTATTATAAATATTCTATATATATATAAATGATTAAATATTTCTTTTACATATACATTTTAATATAAATATAATAAATTAAAATATATATATATATAATAATTATAAATTATAAATATTTATTTATATATAAAAATACATAATAAATTTAATTTTGTTATAAATATAATTATTTTTTAAAAATTAATATAAAGTGAGGATGAGACGAAGTGAACCCGAAATCCAACCGAGATAGAAATTGAAACTTAACTTCTAACCCGACAAAAATGGAAGACGGAGATAAATGAAAAAGTTGAGAACGGAAATCGAGACCCGCCTCCACCTGTTGCCATGCCTCTCGTCCCTTACTAACTAGTTTGTGGTTGTGACTTCATTGTCATGGGCTTTGAAATTTGGTGGACTAACCAGCAACGAGGTGGTCTTTTTCGGAACATGCTTCATTCATACTGAGCCAATTGTCTCAAGTCATTCATTGCACGCAAACTTGGTCCGTAAATATTATTGTATTCCTTGGTTAAGAAATTATGTAATTTATTTATAAGTTGGAAAGTAGAATAAAATTACAAATATAAACTAAGAGAGAGATAAAAAAGAAGTTAGCAAAGGGTATTGTTGGATGAGGAAATGGAAGGAAAATTAAATGAGAAAGCAATTTGGTATGGAAATTAATCATAGGCAAGAGAATCGATTACATGAGACGTGATGGACGGTTGATTATAAAGAAAGAGTTAGGTCTAAATCATGGGTTGGTTTTTCAGGCTGTGTCTGTGGCTCTGTGGTTGCTTCTTCTGGTGATTGTTTGTGTGTAGTCTCTTCCTCAGTCTCTTTCCCCGAAGGACCTGGTGCAGGTTGATAACGATGCAAAGTATTGATCTTGGCCAACTCTTCATCATTCATGAAATCTTCTACTTTAAAACTTGGTTTCCAAACACGCTTTGCCTTCTCTTCTTCCTTCTCTCTACACAACCGATCCCGTGCATCTTTGGTGCTCTTAATCATAGCAAAGAACTTCTGCATCTGCTCCTCCTCACTTTCTTCTTCCCTCTCCATTTTCCTCTTCCTTCTTTCTCCTTCCATTCTTCTCACTCAACAACTACTACCAACCTTCTTATACCAAAATCCAAACATCTATATCACTCACTCACTCACTATTCCATTTTTTGTTACCTCATGGATTCCTACTGGTAGCTGACCATGATTCACCAAAAAAAAGGACAGTGAAAGAAACAGAGTGAATCCAACTTAAATAAAGTAAAGTGAACAATTTTATAATGGAATAGTTAATATAGTACCTCCATATATGCAAATGGATCCTCCAACCACTTCAATGCACCAAATCTACTGCTTCTTCATTCAAGTTGAATGCCAAGATGGCAAGAAAGGAAATTAAAGACCTTCTGGTTTTAATGTATTGACAAGAATGGGTATGAGGCCAAAAATGAACAGGGTTTTAACTTGATGACAGCAAGGGTAGCATGGTAATTAGAAGGAGCCAATGTTTACCTTATAAACATATTGTATAATTTTACTCAATAAAATTTGATGCAATTGATAAATAACATTATTCTTGTAAAAAATGACTCCAATGATTTCTGATTATGAAATATACGTGATCCCATATTCATGTTAATGATTTGTTGGGAAGGTATTGGAGTGGTATTGGTTGTGTATGATATTATTGGTATGGGTTGTGAAGATGGATGAAAGAAAAGAGGAATAGTAATAGTTTTAGGTGGGTAATGGTGGTGATGGAGATGGGACCCTTAACAGAAAAATATTAAAGGGTAAATTGAATTCTCAATTAGTTTGCGTGCCTCAAATTATTTTCTTTCTTTCTTTTTTTATATATTCTTAAAGCATTATCGTTGGTCAAAACAGTACGTTTTTTAAATACTGTATAAGTTTATTCAAAGAAAAGATTTGTGGTTGTTTCCTTGGATTGTAGTGAAAAGCAAAGAAAATATTATTGTGAATTAATTATCATAAAGTGTAAAGGTTGTTACAATTGAGGAGTGGGTCATTAGCGCAAAAAAAAAAAACTATGGTTCTAGTTTCTTAATTTTTTTGTGAATTTGTTTTATTTCTTATATTTTCAAATTAATTAATTTAATCTTGTAATTTTTAAAAATATGTGATTTTAGTTTTTTTAATCCTCAAATTGAATACTTAATTATAAAATTTTACGTTAATAAATTTGATAAAATATTAATATGATTTTAATAATTCTCTATAATTAATTAAGTTTACAATTTAATAATCTTTTTTTAAATTTTATGAAATTAATTAAAGGATTAGATTTATATTTCTTTTAATTTAAGAATTGATTTTTTACTTATAAAATATACGTGGATCAATTTTATAAAAATATATTTAGTCTTTGTTAAAATCAAATTTCCTAATGTCTCACCGAGTTATTTTTAATAACTTTTAATGTTCTATAAATTTATATATATAAAATTAAAAACAAATTTATTAAAAATACTATAAACATGAGTTTTGATATTCTTGCATTGGTCATTTTACTATTATTCAAAGTTGTTTTATATAATTTATTTAACTAAACTTTATTTTTTATTCGTCTAAATAAATTTATTTTCTCCTGTTTCTAACCATTTGAAATACACATTTCCTATCTTACTAATTTTTTTTAATAATTTGTGAAAACTTTTTCAATTAATTTAATTTTATAGTAATTATTCCTTTAAGTATTATTTCTACAAGTATAACAGAATTCTAAGAGGAATGTCAAACTTAAATCTATACTATTCTATTCAAAATTTTGATATATAATTGATCATAAAACATTGTAACTTTTAAGAATTATAAAATTTACAATATTATTTTCCACACAAATAGAAAAATAAATATAAATAATATGATATAATGATTTAAATAATATACTATAACCTTGGAATTATATACTCAATAAAAATGAGTGTTTTTTAACCTAATATTAATAAAAAAATTCACGTGAAAAACAAATATAGTTACGATAATAGTAACCATAAAATTAAGAAAAAAAAATTAAAAGTGTCACATAATAAATTTATTCTTATCCTAAAAGTTTATAAATAGTAGTAATTAATTAATTATGGGTTTCACCAAGCCTATTTAATCCCTCTTTTTAGTATTATAATCACTTTTATCTGTTTCACTGAAACCCTCTTTTTACTATTAAACTACAAAATAATTAACTAACCTGAACTATTTTTAATAAAAATAAAATTAAGTTATTTATAATAAAAAATAAGTTAATGTAAATTAAATTTAAAATATAGCCACCTAAAAAAGTTCGATTGACTACTTTAACTATTATAAGAGATAAATTAAAAAAATATATAAAATTTTAATATAATTGTATATTAAAATATAGAAAAATAGAAATATTGAATTTGAAAGGAACTTAATTATTGACATAACTTTATTAAAATAAAAAATATTTATTGAAGATAAAAAAAATAAAATCTTTGTTCAATTATCGTTAACTATTGAGTGTGGTTGATGATCTTATGTGTGCTGTCACGCTCTGAATGCATTCATGAAATTCAAAGTGGTTCCCATTTCTGTCGTGTACGAACGCATTCATCAAATTTTATTTTACCAACAACTATTGGTCCCAGTCGTGACCATTATTTTAGTAAAATTATTATTTGTCATAGTTTTTATTATGTTTGTCTAATCTATTTATTTGAAAACTATTTGATTTCTAACTTAACAAATAAATTATCTGTTTAAATAAGTGTTTTTTTTAAATAAAATATTTAAATTTTAACTAACTAATCCAATCATATTGATATGAAATAGAAAGAAGTGATATCAATTGTAAATTATAGTATTAGATAAGATAATTTATTGAATAAAATTATAAAAAAGTTAAAATATTAAATATTGCGTAATTCTACATAATTGTACTTATATCTTTCACTGAACAAATGATCAAAACTAATAATTGTATTTTGCAGGCAATTTTCGGTCATGAGCCTAATGTCGGGTGGGCCTAATCCTTCGGCCCAAAATTACATAGTACATGATACAGTTGAACAACTTTTTTTTTTTTAAATAATAATAATAATAACAAATATGTTAGTATATTGAGCGGTTTTTGATATATTTTAAGTTATATTTTTTATCATGTTTTTTTACCAGTTATTTATTGTGGAAACTAATTACTAATTCCGTATATATAATGTAATATTTTCTAACATAACAACTAATGGTTTAATTTGAGTTCTTATACAATTTCATTAATAATACACAATTTATTATACTTTAATTAAAATTATTATTTTTTGCCTTAAATTAAAAGAATATTTTTAGCATAAACTTTAAGGAAAAAAAGAGAGTATAAAGCTATGCAATTAATAATGCTAAACAATGTTCAATGCTTAGTTGGATTAGAGAAAAAGAAAGAAATGCATAGAGCACTAAATAAATATGAAGATTCTTTCACTACTTTATTTCAAAGGAAAAAAAAAAAAAGACAAAAAAGAGTTTGGTATTGGTTTAGAACGAATTAAAGTGAAGGCTTTTTAATATTCTTGTGCTTAATTGTGTAATGAGTGATGATGGGCATGGCGTGAAGTTTTGAAATGCTAAAAAAAAACAGAATAAGAGAATCTCTTTTTCAAACTATCATTTTTCAATACTTCAATGGAAATCAAAGCAGAAAATTTCTAAAATGGACGGCGGAATACCCATTCGTTTATTTGTGGATTGGGTTTTGAGTAAAAGAATAATGCCACCATCAAATTTAATCACTTTTTTTATACGACTAACGAGTTTTTTAATTCATTCATATTAATATTAATACTATGCAAGAGTTTTGAAAAACAAAAAATATCAATTAGTAAGAATTGGTATAACTAAAATATGATTGGATAATATTTGGATTGTTAATTCATTTTAATAACTGTGAATCTTTGAATATATTCAAAGGAATTAAAAACGATAAATTTAATTATGATTTAAGAATAATTTTTTATTATACCCTTATTTCATTTTTTTTATGCGTAATATAATTAAATTTCACTCTGATATTATATTAAAAATTAATACAATATTTAACAAATATATAAATAAATATATTTAATAATAATTAAGTATAAAAATGAAAATCATAAATATATATACCAATCTTCACATTTCCATAAACTCTACTACTAAAAATATTTAATTAAATATTATAAAATCAGCTTAATAAAATAATAATTTCACTTATATATATATATATATATATATATATATATATAATATTATAATATAGTAATGTAAAAAAAAAAATCATTATTTTTCACATTTTAACTTTATTACAATGTTATCAATGTAAAATTTCATCAAATTTTCACATTTTAACTTTGTTATAATTATAAAAATCATGGATTAACAAAAGGGAAAAAAAGTGTAACACAATCATTGTAAATACTAATTTTTTATTAAAACATTGTGTGGCTAGGATTGCATGTTCTTAGCATCCCTCGTGTGGGGGTGTTCTTGTTTGATTCTCAAAGATGTAAATGGGGTTTTGATGCATCATTGGATTCGTTTGTAATTTTTTTTTAGGGTTTTTCACTTCTCATTACATCTATAAAAAGGATAAATTATTTAAATCAACGCACGCTATTAAATGAAATGATAGATTTTATAATATAAAGTTTATATTCAAATTTAAATTATAGTTGAGTAGATGTAAATTATACGATTCTAGAGAAATTAATTAAATCGGAGATATTGATGAATGCGAAGTTTAAATTGTAATGTGCCAATAGAAAAAACAAGAATGGTTGTGTAGGACATTAATTACTTTGTGTTAAGATGATTTATCTCATCCTATTTGTATTTTACTTATCTCAATGTATTGTGGCTTCATTTTTTTAATAGATTTAAATCAGCTTCTTCGTTAAAAATATGTTTAGGTAATAATTGTGAGAGTTTTTTCGGTATTTAAATATTAATTTATAGTGATGGTAAAGAATTAGTCTTTTTTTTCATCTAATTTAATTATAATTTTGTATAATTTCATACACACAAAAGTTTAAATACATAATTTTCATATTTTTGAATTAGTTATTTATTATTAACTGATTTTTTTGCTTAATTATTTGATTATATATAATATCACATTAAAGAAATAATAATTAACATTAAATATGAATAAATCATTACATAAAATATTATTGTTAAAAATTATATAAAAGTAATATTCTATTTCAATATATATTCCGAAATTGACTTAAGTAGTTAAATGTCTCCCTAGATAAATTTCTCACTTTTCATGGTAAAATCAAACTCGACACAGTAGATTCTACAAAATTTCGCTGCCAAGATTAATATGTATGAACTCATCATTTATGATTATTATTTATCATTGTAATGTTTGACATGAACATGTAAAAAATTTAAATAAAACAGAGTATAATTAAATATAATTTAAACATAATAAAAAATAATTAAATGTAATTTAAACATAACAAGGTATAATTAAATCTAATTTCAATTTAATGTTAATTAGAATTAGCAATGAATAGATTATGGTGGTTAGTTAGGTAAGAGTAACTTAATTTATTGACAATAACAATAAAATAACAGTAAAAAAAAAGCTAAAGAATGGTGATAGCAAAATGTTGGTGTTGAGATAGAGATAAAAATAATTGTAGTGATAAAAGTTGACCATAAAAATTAATAATAGTATTAAGAGCATTAAAAAGTAGTGATAATAATAGACATACTTAAATAGTGACATGAATAATAATCAAAGAAAATAGTGATAAATAATTGTTATAATATAATAAGATAAATAGTAATATTGGTTGTGTGAGTGGCAAAATAGACTAAATAATTCCAATGTAAATTAATTATTTTTTTATTTTGCTTAATTTTTCAATGTTTTGGTAGGTATTGATTTGAACCTCTGCAGTAGTAACGTGTAAGTGTATGATAATTAGAAGAAATTGGGAATTAATAATAGGAGTAATAATAGAGTAATAGCAGAAGATAAGATTACATCATTGTATTACATTACAACGTTATGCTTTGTTGTTTGAAAGTGACTCCCACGAAGCCTACTCTAATTATATATATATCTTCTCTTCCTTCTGTCTCTTCTCTAAATAAATGTAATCGGAATCTTCACCAGTTAATCAGAGCTTTGAGTAGATAAGACTCGTGGATGTGTCATCTCTTTTATTGAACGTTCAATTTGTTATTATTCATTCCTGGTAAGGGAAAACCCTTTTTCTCTCTCTCTCTCTCTCTCTCTCTTTCCCTCACAAAAACATGCTCAATCTTAATTGTCTTCTTTTCTGATTCATCATTTACCTTTGCGATCATCAATCATCGCCTTCGTATTCATATCCAGTGTTTTGGCCTAAGGTTCCTTTTTGAGGGGTGTACTGTATTTCGGCCATCACAAAGCCATGTGCTCAGTCCTCAAAATAGTAAATTTATCTGAAAAAACCTATAGATGTGTGGCCCCTTGTCTTTGTCCTTGTCCTTGTCCTTCTTTTGACATTCAATTATCCTTTGATTTGCTCGCAAGATTCTGTCAAGACCATTTCTTTCTACCAGTTTGCCTCCTCTCATTAGGATAACTGCTTGCCCTTGTCAAATTATTGACTTTTTTGGGTTTGGTTACATGGGTGCTCTTTTTACCTTCTCCAATTTGTTTTCTTTGTGAGAACCCTTCAAATTTTATTATTAATCTTTGCAATTCATCGAAGTAATTTTGGGTTGAAATAAAGTTTGACGGGCTTCTTGTGATCTAGGATTTTAAGATGATTTCTGTATAGGATGTGATCCACCTAACAGGAAACCAATTCAATTTTTATTCCATTTTTACTCAATTTTGCTCATCATTGAATGCAGGTATTGAGGAAATACTTTGTCTTTGAAGCTTTGAATATTAACAGACCATCATCAGCAGATGGGGTCTGAAGGTTCTCCAGCAGCAGTAACATCAGTTTATGTTACAGGTTTCAAGAAATTCCATGGAGTTTCAGAGAATCCAACTGAGAAAATTGTCAATAATTTAATGGAGTATTTGAAGAAGAAGGGTTTGCCAAAAGGGTTGGTTATTGAGAGCTGCAACATTCTTGAGACCGCGGGTCAAGGAGCAGTCGTTCCCCTCTACCAGATATTGCAGTCTTCCATTACTCCCAAGGAGTCTGAATCTCCAAGTTCCAACAGAATTATCTGGGTGAGTTTCCCATCCACTCGATATGTAGGTTCTCAGTTCATGCTCTCTTGTTAATCCTCATGGAGTTCTTTGTTATAATATCAGATCAAGATTGATACCCAACAACATCCTGGTGAATTCTTTACAAATAAAAAACCAAAAATGAGACAATATCATTAACATAGTAGGCTCTGAATTGACTGAAGTAAGGAACTCAATGATGATCCTTTCGTAAGTAGGGAACTAAGGGTGACAAAATTATCCCAACCAAGCCTGTTTAATCAACCAAGTTGGATGAATTGTTTACTTTGAAACTCTAATCCCATTACCCTTAGGCTCCATCTAAATAAACTTTAACACAAACATTTGTGGCAGAAAAAGTAATGAAGTAAAATTATTAAGCTCTTTACATTTAATTTTTCCAAAAGGTAATGTGCATAAGTTGATTGTAGATTATGGAGAAACTCAATTATATTATCCTATAACTGGTTGTGAAGAACTTTCTCTAAACACCCGTTGAAGTTTCTTATTCTTGTTCACCTGCATACGCCAGTTGCATTTTTACAGTAACTACGTACAAGCCTATTATTTTTTCTGATAACTTAATAAGCAATGCTGAATATAGACCGCGCCATGGGTAGTCTGTCTCTTCTACTCTATCAAAGTTTATCGTTTAAAGCTATTATACAATTATTGGTATCTTGATATTTAAGCAGCTGAATTTATATTCAGATGGATTAAACAATTAGGATTTAGCTCCAGTAAAAAGCGAGCAAAGTTAGAATAAGTAATCTCTGTTGTTGGTGAATGAGAAAGCTAACGGTTGGTGTTTCATTACATTCATGATTTGTTATATTTGTACAATTATTACCATTCTTTTTATCTTACACGATTCAAATTATTTTATCCTCTAACATACTTTAGATCATACAGTTATGGTTTAGCAGTGATTAAATATCAGTGGACTATGAACTGAGGTTTCTTGAAATTTTTTTATGTAAAACTGAATTTAAACTTCTATTGGACTTCTTTCTTAGTACCTTAATTGTAATACTAAAGCTGCACTAGAAGGGTTAGATGATCTTAAGACCAACTGAGGCATTTTTACCCAGTTGATGAGTTAGAGTCATTCATCTATCTTAAATCTGTAGTCATTTGATTAAATTTTCTATCATTTCTACATCCATAATCTTATGTTTTGGCTGTTTCTATTTTTTTTTCTTTTAGCTGCATTTTGGGGTTAACAGTGGCGCAACAAGGTTTGCTATAGAGCGTCAAGCTGTCAATGAGGCTACCTTCCGCTGCCATGATGAAATGGGATGGAAGCCTCAGGTTAGATTGGATTCAATTTAATAAATGCATTATAAATTAGCTTTCATCAAACCTGATTTTAAGAACTCTGTCCTCCTTCATTGAAATTTCCAAAATTTTATGTTGCAGAAAGTGCCCATTGTTCCTTCAGATGGTCCGATTACACAAACACGTGAGGTAAATTTCATTGACCGATATTTACTATATGGTTTAGTGTTAGCCTATTGGTCCTCATATAGTGATGTTACGGATTGTTTTATAACATACAAGTGTTTGTTATTTGTTGAATTATTTTTATGGCCCCTAAAGCTGCAGCTTACACCATGTTCAAAATCATTTAGCAGGCTTTTCAACTTTGTTTTGGGACATAGCTCTAGAATCTTTATATTCTTCATTTGTCAAAACTCAGATGTAAGGAGTTATAGAAAGAAAAAAAATTGTTGTAGCAGTCTATGCCTCTTGGTGGAGTACAGAGTTATTGGTTTGCATATAAAAAAACTTGATGAGCTTGTTTTAGCATAACTATTCTCTGATATTTTCATCTATAATACAATTTTGAGTCTTAACTGTTATGCAGACTACTCTTCCTGTGGAGGAGTTCACCAAAGCCTTGGCAAGTAAGGGTTATGATGTAATGACATCTGATGATGCGGGCAGGTTCGTGTGCAACTATGTTTACTATCATTCCCTTCGCTTTACGGAGCAGAACGGGTTGAAATCCCTTTTTGTGCACGTACCACTCTTCTCTACAATCGATGAAGAGATCCAAATGCAATTTGCTGCTTCCGTGCTAGAGGTAATTGCTTCAACATGCTAGAAACATTCAGATCATGTCAATGTTCTGGTGTTGCCACACTTGTTAAAGTGGACGAGTGTACTTTGATTGAGATGATATAAAAAGATATTGTTTTGAGATGGAAAATGGTTTGTTGCAAATGGCTTGTGTATCAGAGGTGTTTGGTATATCAGTGAATGTTTCTGATTAAAGGCTTCAGCAAATTGTCAAGACATGTTGACATCGTGTTACCTTGTGAATATATGTTCCTTTTCATAGTGTCCTTAATACTCTGCTTTTATATATGTTCCTGTTCATATTGTCCTTAATACTCTGCTCTTATTTTTCGTTGTAACTTTCATGAGTAAAACTGAAAACTAATAATTCAGAGTGCTTTTTCAGTTGGATGCCGAGACAGTGTGTTGAGTCTTAATGAAATAATTTTGTTTAGTTTTTCGTGACTAAAAATAATCATTATTTAGTTATGGTCTCACATCACTATGATTCTAGTTTATCTCTATATGATACATAACCAAGTCTAATAATTTTTGTAAGGGTTAATTATGATGTTAGTATCTCACGTTTAGAATTATTCTAATTTTAGTCTCTCAAAGTTTATTTTAATCCTTTAAAATTAAAAAAAGGAATTTAGTTTCTAAACAACACATTTGATGGACTAAAATACTTTTTTTAACACTTCTTTTAGTCTTTCAAATTCAGTGTTTAGATGTTAAAATTATATTTTATTACATTTTTATTTAATTTAAGGATAAAAGCATACTTAGATATTTTTCAAAAATTTAGAAAATTCAGTTGTGTATTAGATAAAGATAGATTGAGATAATAAATGGTGGTTCCAGTAATAATTTCTCTAATCCCTATTAACATGATTGAGATAATGGTTAGTTTTATTAAACTTATTGATAAGTGCTTATGAATAAATAATTTTAAAAGTAATTACTTATTTAAGAAATGGATAATTTTTTTATGAAAAGAAAAACTGTTTATTTTTAAAAGAAACATATTAGACAAACACGATAAAAAATTAAATCTGATTATTTTGTTAGAGAATTATTTTTATTGAAAAAAATCTCTTTCAAAAAAACAACAACTCACACAGATTTAAATTACGAGTGTGGTTGCTTTATTGTTGTCATCCTTCAAATTACGAAACAAGTGTTGTCATGATTACTGTCAGGCTAAGCCCAAACCTTTTGACATTGACACTTTTCTCTTAACTTTTGACATTGACACTTTTCTCTTTCATTGTTGTACTTATTTTGTCTTTCATCGTTGTACTTCCTTCTTTTCTTTCTTTTCCAAAATTACGCTAACTCTTTCTTCCTTCAATTGAGCCATTCCGCTAATTATGATAAGGAATATTCACAAAACATCTAAATTACAACTCACTTTATTATAATAATCATAAACAAACTTTATAATAAAAATAATTTAATTATTATTATTATAATATTATTAAATAAGGTAATAGGAAATATGTTTGTTAAAAGGTGAGTGTCAAACTTTTTTTTTTTCTTAAAATAAATTAGCAATCTGCGATAAGAAAGTTACTGTTTCGAAATGCTACTTTCAGAAAGAAAAAGAAACTCCATTTGATATCGTGTACGTAAAGACTCTACGTAGAAACAAATTGAATTGAATTGCATATGATTATAATTTTGAGACGGTTAGATTATAAACAATTGAGATCGGTGATAAAAGGAATCCGTGAAACATGAACTTCAAAAATAACGCAGAGTGATGAAAATTTGAGAACATTTACAAGAATATTTCAACTTTTTCTTAAAATAAATCCTAGCTCCTGTTCCCGGTTAAAAGTGCCAAAATTTTGTTTTGGTCAAAATACCCATTGTTCGGCCATTTTTTGACTAGACACCAAACAGCATCATTAGGCATAGTGGATTTCCATCTAGAAGGCCTGACACAGGTGGAATTGTGAGTGTATGCATGGTTCCTTTTGCATTCCAGTCACATGGGTTGGTCAAAATCTGGCCTTGTGCAAGAAACAAGTCCAGTTCAGATAAAATGAGTTTTGTGCATAGAACACAATTCCTGGAAGCAAAATGCGTTGAAGTCGAAGGGCTTCTCACATTATAGTTCCTCATATTTAAGTGAGAAACATAAACACAAGCTCGGGATGAATATATATGTGTGTGCGTAATATTGTCATCTATCTATGGTTACTCACTAAACTCAAGGTCATGGCAACTCACATAAAACAGTTTGAAAATAGTAAGTATATATGCTCGACACAATTTGCTTTACATAAACATTTCGAAAAATAATTGATAGAATTAACGTTGGAAATGACGAATTGTAAATATTAACAGTTACTGTGCTTTCAGTGAGTGATGGGACCCAGCTGGTGATATTATTTTAAGCTTTTCTATACGGACATTTTGACAGAAACATCAAATCGGAAATGAATTTGAGGGCTGTTCTAGGTTTTAAGTCCTTGTATTCAACAACACAAATAGCTTCTATCATTGGTTAGACATAGTAGGGGGTACAGAGAAGCAAAGCACTCACATTCCTGGAAATAGAAAACAGTTTAAGTAGTAGATTACCTTGCCATATGACAGGTATTGAACAAATAGAGGGCACTCTGGTCACATGTGTGTGCTTTAATGTTCTTTCTTTTATCCTCAAACAACTATATTTTGTTTCGATATATAATCCTATATTTTCTATTTGCATGATCACACATCTATTTTATTCTAAAGCACTTTTTTCAATTTTAGACGATGAAAAGGGAAACCGCAAAATGCAACGCAGAAGGCTAAAATCATTGTTGAAGATCCTTCACTGGATGCAGACAATAGCTTATGCAAATTATTCAAAATTCTCATTCAATAGATTAATCCTAATATACTCCCATTTAGTTTGATTAAAAGATAGAAGAAAAGAAGAAGGAAGAACGAATATGTGAAGGAATAAAAAATATGTGATAATTTTGAGGTAATTTACTTAACAATTAGGACACAATTAATATAAACACAAATGAAACTCGAGTATTATTTTTAATACCCATAATTTCTCATTATGACACATCCCAATCAAATATAAGTTAAGTCATCGTAACGTATATATATATATATATATATATATATATATATATATATATATATATATATATATATATATTATTAACAAAAACACGTATTGTCACGTTTATGTATTTGAAATTCTTATATCACATTATCTTATATTCACATATATTAATTTTAATTATATATTAAAAAATATTTTATTTAGTCATATAATTTGATTATATGAAACAAGCATTTAAAAATAAATATTACCTGATATATTAAAATGTTTAATTAAATGATGTTCCATTAATGAAAAAGTTATAAGCAATCTTAGTTTCGAGAGGTTATATTTTAAAAGATATATACACTATATAGAAGTGTGATTGTTAATATATATTTTATTTAATTAAATTATCTTAATTTAGTAAAAGATAAAATAATTCATTAAGTGGTGACATTAAAAACGACTAACAAAATCAAATCTTTTATATAATAGTATAAATAATAATAATACTAATAATAATATAATTAAAATATAATATTAATATGACAATGAAAGTTATTAATAACAAATAAAATCATGGTTCATTTTACACAGTTTTTTTTTCTAATTAAATATTCTCTTTTTTTCATTCATTTTTACCTCTTATCCATTTTCTAATAATTCCTTTTTCTCTTCTTTGCGAAGCATAAAGCATTTACAGAACGGTCACAAAATGCTAATGCATTTATAGACAGTAAGAAATTCTTCTCAAGATATTGAAGGTTTCAGTCCAAAACAGACGTTTCCTTAATTTTGATTTAAGAATCAATCAACTCAATGAAGCTGAATAATGAGATTATTATACATTATACTCCAATACTGGATTTGGGGATGGCTCAAGCCCACCGCCAACCAATTGTACGGTGTCAAGGTTTTAAATTGGAGATGTGTCAACTCCTCACCAACCAATTATTTCATGTCAAGGCCTTCAAATGGGAAAGGGTCAGCTTCATCTCCAATCAATTGTTTCATGTTAAGGTTTTAAATTAAGGTCGCAATCCATTATGTTTTTTAATGCTATGAAAAAATTGCTAACAAACAGTAACAATGCATATACAATTGTGATCCTGTTACTATGATGAAAATCCTACAAATGTTGACAACCAATATCACATTCACTAACCCTTCTTAAAATCTTGTTTCATGCATAAGAAAACTCACTCTGCAGAGCTATTAATACCCACTTTTCAATAGATGTGTCCTTGTGGGATGCTGACTACATTCGGTGCCTGCTTTATGCAATCAAAATTACTGTTTATAATTCATAGATTTGACATAACTGCCACTAAAAGCTGTCGAGACAGGCAAAACTTTTACAATTTCGTTTTCTTCCTACAAATAAGTTTCATGGGGATATTTAATCATTAAAAATATACAGATCAATTATTAAGTCAGGGATATTTTTGTTGTCATTAACGAGATGAAGAATGCTTACAAATCAAAATGCAGGTGTGCCTTTAACTTGGTAATGTGCCAAAGCAAACTCAGCAGTCCATTATCAAATTATATTATATTAGTATTGATTGAACACTAAGATAGATTTTGGATAGCGTTTTGATGTATGAAAACTCCAAATAAGATGGTCGCGTAAAATGTTAGGAAATAAAAGGTTAAATAAGTAATAATAATAATAATAACAATTGATAAAAATAATAATAAATCAATTGAACAGAGTAGTCTTCGCTACACAGAGATTCAATTGCTACAAATCTATCTAACTATCCCCAATCCACAAAGGGGAGATGGGGATATCCAGCCTCAGGCGGAGGCTGCAGGGATGGGGGTAAATTTCCCAGTGATACTCCTACCACATTCCCTGCATGCATAATTGCACATGTATAATATTTTGTACGATTAAAATGTAAATCAGTAAAATTAATTGTGATTGCTGTTGTTGTGTTTCGTTAATACTGACTTAACATTCACACGGGACAGGAATTGAAGGGCATAAAGTGACGAGTGATTGGTAAATTACCTGGTGAGGGTGTGCTTACGATTGGAGACGGGTGTATAGCGTTGTTGGGAACAGGATGAAGGTACTTGCAAGAGTGGGCGTAACGGCAAAATCCCTAAAATAGAGAGAGTGAATGAGAAATGAAAATTGAAAGAAAAGAGTGGTGCGTAAGGTGACGTACCGTGTTGAGGAAGTGAAAGCAAAGGGGTGGATTAGGGATCTGTTGGTGGTGTTGATTGAAGGAATCGTACCACCGAGCTTTGGCTTGTTGGTGTTGAATACCCTGAACGTGTCGTTTCCGATCGGCTGGTGTGTCTTGGAATTGCTTGTCGCAGTAGTCGCAGTAATATTTCCTCGCTGGCATCCTCACACTCAACCACCACCTTCGCTTTCAATCTAAATAATAAATAAACCAACCAACCCTATTTATCTTATTACTTAAAAACAATTTCACCAATACTTCCGCTGGCTTTTAATATTTTTTAAAATTATGTGAAGAAGAATATTTGAATAGTTATTTCAACTAACTTATAATTTATTTTATCAAAATATTAAATTTAATGAAAAATTTAGAGCATTTTTTTTAATATTTAATTTAAAATAACACTGAACATATGTTTTAAAGATAAAACATTGTAATAAATGATTTATAAATATCCTTGTGTCCTTTGCATTGATTAAAAAATGAGTAAAAATTATTTACTTTACTTCATATCAAAAGACGAGGGAAATATACGATTACATTAGAAAAAAAATTGAAACTATTCTATCTTCAGCATGAAAACTTCAAGAGTTCCGTTGTGGACAGAAAATTAAAATGTAAAAAGTAGCGGTCAATAGTCATCCCGTATGCAGAGAACCCAACGACAGAAACCACCAAATTGACGATAGACCCCTTAGCGAAAGTAGTTAACAAATATTGAGATTCAAAGTCGTTAAAGAATACCTATGAACTTGAAAGTGCCCCGTGGAAAATATAGCCTCCATTGACGAAGATGTTCTTACCCTAATGAAAGGAAGAGAGAAAAAAATAGAAAAGCAAATTGTCACCTAATCTATCGCACTTGTATATATTCTTTGTATAGAAAGCAAGAGTCATTCATTCAAATTTGATTAGCGTTCGTACAAGTCCAATCAAACACCTCATCCTCGAGTTGAAAATAAAAAAACAGCCAGTCTCTAAATTGTTTGATTAAACTATACCGAAAATCGCTTTCATTCACTATGTTTAATAGTTGTCAAACAATTCATTGAAGACAGGCCCAGAGACTTCGTCCCATATCATTCGGCCAGAGATTACCTAAAATGTGGAAAATAAACAAATGCATAGACAAGGCCAGTACAACTTCCAACCACCACGCTAAGCATTAACTAAATTAAAACCCATCATTGTCTCGACAATACAAATACTGATGCAACATTTAGATAATTGCAGACATTTGTCTTCTATTGTATGTTACAATCTGCTGTGACACAGGAAACGGGGTATTCTGCATACCATTTGGGGTTGGGTAATAAGGAGTAGCATGTATCTCTAGATCTGCTTTTACAGGGCAACCGAATACAATAAAGATACCAACAAATATCATATCATCAAATACAAGTAAAGCGCAGCATTCTCATATGGGAACAACACTTGATCTTCTGTCACACTTCACAAGCCAAGAAACGGGCATTGCTTCCTCGCATGCTCTGGAACCAATTTCACCAAAATCTCAGCTGGGACTCCTTTCAGTTCTGGTACACAAGCACCAATAGCATACAAAAGGTCAGCCATAACTATTTAATGAAAATAAGAGACGAGCAGAGTCACAAACACAATAGCCTAATCCAAATTCAACATACCATGAGATTTGAAATTAAATAGTGGTGGAAGGAATCGGCCATTTGGCAAGCGAGTATTTGGATCACGAAGCTCATCAAAGAAAGGATGCATCAAGGCATCTAACTGCACCACATAAAGCAAAATCCCCAATTACACAACCATTATCGGAAGATGAAAAAAATCATTGAATAATTAGATTAGAAGACGTAAAATTTCCAAATACAATGTTGCAAAACCATTATCTGACAGAAGGAACCGATGTTATCCTTTTCCTAAGGTGGGGATACTAAAGGTTTGATAAGAAGTCAGATACTCACAGCTGTGCACCGCAAGTTAGGGGAGTATTGTAGTAGTCTTGATACCAGATCAACAGCCTCTGGAGGCATGCGCTTATGGAAGATCTGGTAGAAGAAAATCAGTGAATATATGTTAGTATAGTGTGTTCAATAAGGATTTTTAAATACCTGTGAATATGATGAGCTTATCAAAATAAAACATGAAATGGTATTAAATTTATTTGTAATACCTTGTGCCATGGATGTGCTTTAATCTGTGGGAATTTAAATTCTGTATAGTTAGGGTTCATGCATTTAATCTCTTCCCTTGTTGGGGTGCCAAGAACCTATCAAGACATAACAAATAGTATCATCTACATGCTATAATATTCACACTGCAAAGTATGCAAAGCGGCCTGTAAAATGGATCAAATAATCAAAGAAGCCAATTCCATATTAAAAGGCTACAGAAAAATGAGATCGACAGTTCAAAACAATTGCAAATAAGAAACATGTAACAACAGCAATGAAAGAGGTTAAACATCACAAAGATTACCTTTATGATCTCAACAAGCTGATCAACTCCACTCTCACCAGGGAACAAAGGCTGTAAAAACAAAATATAAAATTTAATTAAATATGCTAAACCACAAAAATAAAAGAGATCACACCAACAGCCACCGACCTGTCCAAGAAGCAGCTCAGCTAAAACACATCCAACAGACCAGATGTCAATGGCTGTAGTATATTCAGTTGCTCCAAATATGAGCTCAGGTGCTCTATAATATCTAGAACATATGTACGATATATTTGGTTCGCCTTTTACCTGTCAAATATCATACCAAATAAGGAAATAGAGCTAGAATCTAACTTGGGAAAAAAGAAGGTCGAAGGAAAAGGAATTATTTGAGGAAGGTGCAGAAAAGTAGAGACATATGTGTCACATACCAAAACCTTTGCACTTCCAAAGTCACATAATTTAACCTGGTGTGTGTGTGGATTGACCTGCATAGAAACACATCCAATTAGTATTTTCCACCGGACAGTCCTCAACACAACCATAGCAATGAAGCAAGATAACCAAAATAAAATCCAAAATAAATAGTCAAAGATTTATGCAAAATAAAACAAAGGTTATACATACCAATAGATTTTGTGGCTTGATATCCCGATGGCAGACTCCAATACAACGATGAATATAAGATAATGCTCTAAAGATCTGCAATTTATCAAAATTATTGTTAAAGCCTGGACATAGATGAAAGCTGAATTCGGGAAGGGCAACAGGCATACCTGGTATGTGTAGAGTTTCACATAAATCAGAGGCATCCTTTGGTTCAACTTGTTGTAATGTTTGATCACACGATTTACTGTTTCAGGAACATACTCGAGTACCAAATTAAGGTATAATTCATCCTTTTCAGTGGTTGAAAAGAAACAATGCTTCAAAGAAACAACGTTTGGATGGTCAAGAAGGCGCATTGTTTGCAGCTCCCGGTTCTTGTACCTTTTGTCTTGAAGAACCTTTTTGATAGCCACAGTTTCACCAGTTTCCAAACACTTAGCCTATAATCATAGAAAATGTCAGACCTAAGGCATCAATTATGTTCACTTGTGTTGTAAAGGATAAAGAAACACATTTCATTAATGAGTTAACTATAAACATGATTTTACCTGGAAGACAACTCCAAATGATCCATGACCTACAACTCGTTCTGCCATGTAGCTTATAGTCTGAAATATTAACAAGGATATAAATTTATTTTGAAGTAATAACAATCTAGAAAAAGAAGCATCAAGGAGGTAGACTGTTATACAGAATACAACAAAACTACATCATGACATTAACACCATATCAATAATATCACGAGATTCATCAATCAGAAACCAAATGACCACGATAATCACCAATCACAAGACATGACAAAATACGTCACAGCAAGGGGTTCTGTGAGACACCGTAAAAAAAGATACATCACAAGAATAAGATATGACAAAAACCACATCACGGCAATCTCCTATCCAATAAAATCATGAGATTCGTGACACCAATCCGTGAGGATAATCACCAATCAGAAAAGACACAACAAAACAAGTTACACACAGCAGGAAGTTATGCGGGTGGCCATAAAAAGACTTGGTAACCAAATTTTGAGAATTTGTTTTTTTTCCTTCAAGAACAAACACAATCATTCTCAATTCAAATATCAACATTCTAAATCACAACAGCTAAGAAGGGAGAAAAAAATTGCACACAAATAATAATACGTAGCTGAAGCATTAATTGTTTACAGTCTTCCATGGTAACACAGTAAGTGAGATGGCACATATGTGTACAAATTTGACAGGTGGTAGAAAAGAAAGGGGGAACGTATACCTGCTTCGGCTGACCATTTCTACCCCCAATGGTAGTCACGATGATATGTCCTGTCTCCGTTCCATTGCCATCAACAACTGTGGCTTCCATTTCCTACAAGATGAAGCAAATGGCAAGTAACTGAGTCTGAAATTTAAAATAAACCACAAAGGCATTAACAAAAAAAGGTTAATGTGAAAATTTGAGAGAGAGAGAGAAGGGTTTACATACTCTATCATCCCTAATTTTCATATCGTTCATCTCCTCTGGCAATCTATCAACACCTGCTGCTCCATGCCCACTGGCCTCTCTCAAACCTGAAGTTGGCGCCACACCAACCGATGTCATCTTCACAGAATCCCTTTCTCTTTTAACTTCTGCTCAAAAACCACTCATACACCTGCCAAATGAACAATTCCACCATGATTAAAAAATGAACATCTTTCTTTGTTTAACTTGAGCATTAAAATTGGATTATAACAGACATAACAAAAACTGAACCAAATAGGAAAGTAGCACAGTTCAAACTCGAATTAAATAAACTAAAAAACTCATATCCCTTTTGTCCATAAATAAATATCCATTATGCGAAAAAGGAAAACATTAAATCAACATAAAACTGAATCAATCTCACAGAAAGGTGCAAATCCATCCAAAAACTCATCAACAGAAACAGAAAACAAAAAAGTCCCTAAACAAACCTAAACCGAAGATCCCCGCAACTGAAGGTGAAACAACACGATCCCAACCCACAAAACACGAAATTAACAACGCAGAGCGTTCAAAACAGGCGGAAAGTACAAACAAAAACCAGTCACCTCGGATAAAAAAAAAAAGTAGAACAGAAGATGCAGAAAATCAAGAGAAGGAATTAGAGAGAAAGGAAATCTAGAGTTTGGAATGAAAAAGAAGAAGAAAAAGGGCGGTTAGAAGGAAGAGAGGGTTAGATCCACGAGAGGCATACCCATGGCGTGTTTGGATTTGTGTGAGTAACAGTTGTTCTCTGCTTTTTTGTGTGGTGTGCTATAATGCGCTGGTGACAGTCAAAGAAGAAAACCAACCCATTCTAATTATTTTATTTATTAATTAAATAATTAAAAATGATGCATTTTTGGGGTAAATAAAATATAGAAAATAAAAATTGTAATCTGATTTTTCCTTCACTTTTGACCGTTCAAAGTTCAAACATGGTAACAACTATTAATTGGTCACAGTGGCATGTGCTTTTTAGGCGCCTTATGGTTCCAAAAAATATATATATATATTTACAATGGCACGTGAAAAATTACAAACCAATGAATAGACACTTTAATAGTTTACAATATTATTTTTGTTCTCGACTTTAGCATGTTACAGAAAACAGTGTGCTGAATAATTTGGTTTGGGTACATGTGTATAAAAATGTCACTAATATATTTCTTAATTTGGTATGTTTGATTAATAATAAAAATATATTATAAAATTGTTATTTATTTCTTATTAACATGTATTTTAATGTTGTAAAATGCATACAATAAATAAAGAAAACAATTTGTATGTTTTACTTGCCTAAGAGTTTTCTCTCATAAAAAAAAATTGTGTTCACATAACATAACATGGTTAATAATTGATTTTTCAAACTTTTAATGTAATCATTATAACAAAAATGAAAATTTGAAATTAATTAAGTAGTTAAAAAAATTAAAATATCAATTAATTCAATCGTAAGTTAAATTAATATTTTAAGCTAAATTACTCTCTAACCTAATAAATTATATAGTATTTGTGATAAGACAAAATATTTTACCTCTAAAAAGTAAATAAAAAAATCATAAATTTTTTAATTATAAGTTATTATTTATTAATGTCATACTTTCTTATTTTAAAAAATGAACATACAATATTTATAAGTGTCTTTCTTAAGAAGAATACATTTGTCAAAAAAATAATCACTTATTAACTATATTTTACATGAAGTTAAAACTAAAAAACAAATACCTTTTTATAAATGTAATCACTTAAAAATTTTAAAATTTTAAAATATATTAAACTAAGATGAATAATTTTTTAAAAATTTTATTTCTCTAAAATATAATTATTTGACTTCTATTAAATTGTGTGTATTTAGATTTACATGAAACTAAAAAGTGAAAGATTGATAAAAATAATAAATGAAAATGTAAGGTAATTTATATAAAATAAAAGACAAAAATTACTAAAAAAATATTATATTATTTATATATAAAAAAATATTTTTAAAAAATATATCTTAAAATTATTTTGTTTTAGAATTGGAACTTATTTGTTGGATTTTGTATTATTTTTTTGATTTTATAATAATTTAATTAAAATTCAATCTTTATAAAAATAAGAATGTTAATTTCTAATTAAATTAGTCAGTCAAATCCAATTTTCAAAATAACCAACTTAATTAAAATTAACCATCTTCATTTATTTTAGTTATTACTCAGTTAAATAATAATTAATATCAATTAATTTGGTTAAATATTTAAAGGATTGTTTCAATAAAATATTTGAAATTGTTATTAAAATATTATTTTTCAGTTTTTAATCTATTTCAAATTTTTACAATCTTTTTTTAAGCATATAAACCTTGCAAATAATAACAAACTTCTACATATCTCATTATTATATTTTATAAATAAAAATGGCTAAAATATAATATAAGTAAATGTAAGAAAATATATCGATGATAATATCTAGAATTATATGAGATTGTTAAAGTAAATATATATATTTTTACATTTGTTGAAATTTAAGTAAAACAAGAATGCATGACTAAAAAACTTTTATTATTCTTCTATATAATACCGTGGATTTTTTTAAAATAATAAAAATGTCTTAATTAATGTGATAATTTAGTTTAAATAATTAATATAGATATGAAAATAAACCATAATTTCTTCATACATAGATAAAAGATAAAGTTAAATTTATAAAATTTTAATCCATCAAGGAAAAAAATGACTTAAAAAAATACTCAATAAAAAATGACAAATATATAAGAATGTATTTTTTACTATAAATTCAAATATAAAAAATATTTTTAAAGAATAGTTGAAATATTTATATTGAAATAGTAATATTTTGTGAGAAAACAAAAAAAAGTAAATTATAATGTTAAAGGTAGTGTACTGAATTTAACAACTATAAAATTTAATGAAGAATATTTGTATTAACTATAATAATATAAATGATCATTTTATCCAATCATTATAAAAGAAATAGTAGGATTTTTATTAACATATGCTAACAAATTATCCTAAATTTACTTTCATATTACTAACTTGGCATGATAATTTGTTTTACAAGTGACCCAACATATGTAAAAGGAAAAAGGTTCCATTCCAACAATAATTAGTATATTTCTGAAAATTTTGAAAGTACATGTAGTATTTAAGAAAAGTAGAATAAAAATAAAAAAAGGACATGGTTGTGTAGGTGTTCTAGGCCCAAATTGTAAACCCTAGGACGGTGGTCTAAATCATCACCACTTATTGTCCCGTTGTCATAGTCAAATAAAATATTAATTATACTTTTATTCATAAAGCTTTTCTTTTTATTTGATAGTCACAAATATTTAATGACTCAAACAATTAATTATTCATGCAAAACAATTTAATGTCATATATCTCCGTCTAACTGATTTTTTGTTCTTTTTCACCTTTTTTAAAAATTCTATATATTTTAGAGAATAATTTATAATTTTAAAAACTAAATTGTTTAATTACTTTATTATTATAATTTTTTACCTTTAATATTGAATAGTGGTTCAAATTTGATAAGAGGATATATCAAACACACAAGAACAGAAAAAATGCAAAGAGTCAAAACCTCATTCATTAGGTACCTCTTTTAAATGGTTTGACAAACATTTACCAAAAAGATAGAGGAGCTAATAAATGAGGTGACTTGTTTGCCTATTTGCCTAAAAACATGTATGAATCATATGAAAAATTAATTCACATCAGAATTTTATAAGAAATTTAATTCAATAAGATTGTATCATAAAACAGGTTAAGTTAAACTTTGGTAGGTAAAAGAGGAAATAAAGTGATATTTTAATATTATCTTTTATTAGTTAATATTAGTTTATAAATAAAATATTTTAAAACATACATGAATCTATAAACTAACTTATATATAAGTTAATTTATGAAAAATAATTTATTTTTTCTTTTGTTGAAGTGTTACGAAGAATGTTAATCCCAAAATCAATTATCACCTGAATAAGCTTTCTTAAGAGTCAACAAAATTTGATAGGTGACAAATGAATCATTATTGCTTTAAACAGGTTCTCACAATAGCCAATGTAGGTAAAGTATTGTGAATTAGATTATCTGCTTTAATCAAATCGAGACAATTGATGATAAAAAAAACGATAATGTTGAAAAAAATATTTATTTGATTTTCCTTACAACTTTTTATATTAAACATGATTAAAAATAAAATATTGTTTATAAACATATTTATAAAAAATAAAAAAAAGATAATAAATGATTTTTAAACTAAACAAGTAATTGAAGGTAGCTCCTTCTTTCCTAAAAGAAGAATATAATTTATTTAGTGTTATATTTAGTAACACTCGTTCTTTTCTTTTTTATAACGTATTCACTTTTTACGAGATTAAGTTGTAGTTAAGAGCTTATTTAGACGAGTTTCTTTATATATATATATATATATATAAAATAAGAAGATTTTTTTAATAAATAAAAATAATTTATACATAACAATAACTATTTAAAAACTACATACGGGAATTTTTACAATTAATATTAACAAAATAAAATTTATTAAATAAATAACAAAATAGAAATATAGTATCACAACTTAATATAAAAACTAAAATTAACATATTTTCTTTTATATTTTTAACTTATAATACTTTAGTTTATAATTCAACAATATACAACAATATTTTTCATTAAAAGTATACTACAAATCACGGATCAATCAAATTAATAATTTCATTTCACGTTGATAATTGTTTTAAAAATATTACCGATATATCACATCACATTTAACCTCATTATTAATTACTTCTAAAATTATTCATTTATAAAAACACACGTACTCGTAAAATTTAATTAAACAAAGGAATGAAATTTAATACTATATAAAATCTATAAATTACCTTATAAAAAGATCATTAATCTTTTTAAAAATATGCCATACAATAATGAACCTTCTTATGCAAATTTTTAAATTTTAATTAATTTCTGATTTTCAAAACGATTCCCTGATTTTCTAGTTTTAATGCCATTAAAAAAAAGGTATCGTTTGAATTAATAAATATAAAAAATCATAGGTAGTTTTGAAAATAAATTAAAGGTATAGTCTAATAGAAGTGAAGACCAAATGTTATAAAAAAACACAAAGTGTCATCATATAATATAATGGTAGAGATAATTACATATATTTATTCTTCAATATTACAATATTTATTCTAAACATTATAACGATTACACAGTCTACTTTTAATAAAATATTTAATGTTTAAACATATAGGAAATAAAAAATTACCTAAATATGAGTATTCTAATCTACAAAACTATGCATAACTAATTTTATAACTTTTAACAAATGATGCAAATCCAGATAAACAGCCAGTATGCTCTCCTATATTATCCAATATTACAGACCTCCACCAGGGGGAAAACGAAAGCAGTTTGCAGACGAGGAAAAGACGTGATTATGAAGAAAACAGTTCCAAATCTAAAATTCAGAATATAAAAAATTATCACAAAAAAAAATTCAAGAATTAATAGACTGTTTTTTATGCGCCATCCCTGTCAGTGTTTACTCCCCTACCCCAAAAAAAAAAGAATAAAAAATAAAAATATACCATAGAGAGCTGCATCCTTTAAAAAAAGTTTTATTTTCTATTTCTAGGACAGAAAAACGCTTTGAATCTAATCACTACGATACAGTTCACCAAATTCCAGGACGAACTTACAGTTTCCATAAACCATCCTTCTCACGACCAATTAGCCAAGTCAAGCATCAACACATGTAATGCATAAACTCAATTTATTTATGTAGAAGTGATACGGTCCTTCAGTTACCAAAACGGTAACAATCCTGACAAAACAACACACCTATTAATCCATGGAAAATGTTCACAAGAGAATTGCTCCATAAAGTAGTTATATGCAGTGATAGATTTAGATTATTGATTTTGAGATTAAATAATATATTATTAATAAATAATAAATAAATATGAAATGATAAAAGAAAATAAATAGATAAAAAAATAAAATTATAAATATGCAAACAAACATATTTAATGATTATTAAATTTGAAGACTAAAATCATTACCACATATAAAAGTTATAAAATTTTAGAGTACCTGGAGGATCTGCCAATAATTATGTTAAAGTCAATATAGCTATCAATCTCAAATAGAGTAGAGACTACAATATATACGGGGACATATCATGTGACAGCGCGAGAGGATCTTTGACTGTTCTATGTCAAATGAATGATCAATATTGAATTTAAGTAAAAACAATCTTTACTAATGTTTGAATACTTAATATTAAACTCTTCTCACCTCTCAGGTTCTCACTTGACTAACCTTCCTAAATATATATACATACACACTGCATTTCTTTCGTACTAAATTCTACATGGTTCCCCTATCTAAAACATCAAAGATCCATGATTGTCCTTATTTTTCAAGAATTACTTTCATTTTGAAGAGTTTTAGATGACCCAAATTTCATTCAAAAGATATTTAATGTAAATTGTTTCACAGTCTATATGTCCTGTTGATTAGGACTGGGCACTGTAGTGCCACTCATACAATAGGGACAATTACCAGAGGATGAGAAATTTTCATCGATGTAAAAGAATCACGACTACCGATTGCCAGCATGCATTAATTGAAGCTTCCTAACGGATGATTACAATCAGTACCTCTATATTATCATTGCTGCACTTGTCGGGAAATCTGTATTATCCAATCAGCATATCCCTTATTAGCACCCATCTGGTCCTCAAACAGGTTTGAAAGAAAAATGAATCCTTCTCTGGGGTGTTCACCTTGCCTCACAAGGTGGCACAACTGGTAATATGCACGGTCAGTACTTCTGAACTTCTCAAGTACCTTTATCAGCCTCTTAGACATTTCATTATCATTCTCATTCTCATTCTCATTTAGAGTAACCTGTTCAAGGAATCAAAACATATATACAGTTGAAGATGGATATCAAATGTTATATAGATCAGGATATCGATCAACATTGGTGTAAGTCTAAACCATTACTGAATTTTTTTTTTATCATGAAGCTGCAGCGCAGAAATGCATACTAAATATAGTCTATTGAACACTCCAGTAATATAGCTTAAGGTAACATACAATATACTTTTCAGCTCAAGTGTAAGAAAATATGAACAATTTGTTCAAATACTTGGTACTATTAATTATCCTAAATTTACCAAGCAAGGTCTATATAATAACTGTTTATAATTCAACAATCATATACACGTGCAGGATCAGATTGCAGAGAGAGAATAATTTGAACATTTACAAGCTTTAATGAAGAACCAAAAGCACTTTCCGAGAAATTAGAAAAAGATGAGATAAAAATGAAAATTTTAGGAAACAGAGTGCTTAAATGACAAAAGTAATAAACCCTTGTGCTCTCTCCTTGTCTTTATTGAATATAAAATACCTTTGATAACTCTGCTGCAAAGTTAGATCCAAGTAAATTCTTAGCTATGTCAGGTGAAATCACTCTACCAAACCATATAATGAACTGGAAGCCATCGTCATATATATAAAGGCCCCTAGAATCCAAGCTCTCCCCAGCCAAAGGTAACCTTCTATCAAAGATTTTCAAGTCATCAGCCTGAACATAAACACACAAACAGAAATAATTCAATGAGCAGACATTAAAACCATTTTAGTCGTGACTTTTCAGAGGCAGTAAATGTATACCTTTAGAAGATATTCATCAAGTCGATGCAAACTAGGATAGAGAAGTTTCAACATCCTCTTTATAGGTAGGGTCATCATTGTGTGTCCTGCTGCACACCGTTCATCTAGTGGAACATCCCCATACCCACCACGGAGAGGTGCTGATCTACAAAGTGCTAAGCCATACAAGGGTAGGAACTTTAATGACTCAGGATATATCATCCTATTCACCGAGCGATGTTGCACACCATGGATATTTCGATATTCTCGGAGGGCTTTCACAATTCTTAGTTGTACAGCACTCCGGGTTTCTTCCAGTTTATGGGACAACGTTTTCTCAATTGCTGCAAATATGAAGGAACTGCTTAGTAAGATGAAAGAAAGATGAAAGAAACTACGAATCTATGATCCATACATATATATGATGTAACTAGAATAGAAGTCATGTTACCCTACCTAGCCTACTAAACAGAGATAAAATTGCACCAGTATCAGCCAAGCGATACATATCTACCAAGTCTGTAACTACTGGAGCTCCTGCTGTATGTACTCTGATACGCCTTTCACCGCAGGATGCAGTATACCTATTTTAGTTGTTAAGGACGAAACCATTGTACAAGTTTCAGATTCTAATTGTACCGCCATAATGACCTTAACTGAATAACAAGCATAACAGTAACAGATATCTACATTGATGTTAAACAGATGAAATAATAATAGAAAAAAAAAACAATAAAATGTGCTGAAACAAAAATGAAAAAGATAAAATAAGTTTACTATATTTTGTCTTTCCATGTGCAAGTGCAACATCAAGAGCAAGTAAGAAATGAAAAGGATAGACTAAGAAAAAATAGCATGATGTCAGCACCTCAAATATATATTTCTGATAATCTCTTAGGGGACGCTTGTTTCAGGGAGTGATCCTGTATTCCCAAGAATATTTATAACGAGATATGTTACTCCTGGGAACATTTAAAATATGCTTGGTTGGATTTTAACATTCTTAAGAATATTTAAAAAATTTAAATAATTGAAATAAAAAATAAAATTTGAAATGGAAGTTAAAGTTGAGTCAGAAAATAACTTCCCACATTTTCATGGATAGAACTTTCCCATCCTTCTAATAGAAATGACTTAATACATTGAATAACCAGTTCCTAGGGAATAAACAATACCTGAATACGTTTTCAAAGCTCATAACAAACATGGAAACCTACATTCCCAAGTTCATACTCCTAGGAATGAATTTTTGACATATTTAACAAACATACTGTTAATGCAAAAATGTGATGAATGAGAATGCCGTCCTGATTCAGATTGATGATTATGCTGAAAGAATGAGCTTATGCGTTTATCTCAAATGGCAGTATCATTAAACAAATTGTTGAAAACCATCAGAAAAAATGAAGATATACATGATTTATAATTATAACTCCTATCAAGGATTATGGAAGAAAGGATACAACAACGCAACTTGGAAATACATTGTCTGAGTTTTCAATGATGTATCTTCGAGAGATAACTGCATGGCAAAGGCTTTATCACAATCCACAGCTGGAAGTGCTAATAAATCTGTGGACCTTAGCATAAAGTTTCCATGATAAGTTGTGAAACGGACACCTAGAAGCACAAAATCAATTATCAGCTATTGTACTGTAGATATTTGTATATAATTGCATACTTGCTGCATGAGCCAGAAGAAAAAGAAAAGGTCAAAATTCTCATGAATACACAAACCCTTTGCACATCTAATTCGCAGTACAGCTTCCCAGCCAGTTTCTCTGGTAAGGTCTCTCCTTAGCTCATTCCTTAGTTTCTCCCCGTGAATGACTGATTGGAAAGCTGGATAGTAATACACTTGACCAGCAGTATACTTTGCCAAGGTTCCTATAAATAGTAAATTATAAGCAAATAGTGCACTTTGTCACGTATAACTATAAGTTCATTAGCTGCAAGAGTTTGTGCTTAGAATAAGACCACTTATACCAAAAGAGGCAATAGAATTACAGGGAAAGAAAATGGATGCATTTGATCACAGCCAACTAAGATGCATCATCAAATAATTGGCCAATGACAACTAAGCAGTTAAGAAAGAGGAGATAACCCTTTAAGTAGACACATATTTGAGTGACCCTTTTAAGTTGATACTCAGCCATCCTTATCACACAACACTATCAAACACCACAGCTGAGTAAAAATATGGTGTACTCATTCAATTAAGTTTATTATTCAAAAGTCTGAAGGAGATGGAGAGAACTAAGAAAGATTTATGAAAATTAGTTTTGACAGCCATAAGAGCGGCATATAAAGAGTGGAAAACCATAATAAAACAACATTATGCCAACAAAGAATCATCATAAATATCCATCCCATGGAGAAGTTAAAAGAAATTGTAAATAATTACCAAGGGATGCTATGTCAATGTACTTATCACTGAATGCATACACATTCACTGAGATCTGGTATTTAGAAAACTCAGCAGCCATTTGCTTGTAAAAGGGATCTTCTGGCAATCTTAACATATGTTCTTTATCTGTGCCATAAACTTTAGAATCATCTCCACGAAGTTTCAGGTGACCAACACCAAGAGAAGGGAGACTGTTTTGAAAAATTAACAATTTTCCTCCAAGTTGACTCTGTATAAAAAGGCAGGAAAATTTTCACAACAAAGAAAATGTATAAGAAAGTGTAAAGGGATGGAAAAACATGCACTGAAATTCCACAAATTCTGAAGTGGACCCTCCTTTAACCTTAGAAAACCATGGGTTCCATTTCTGTGCATGTAAATTTCTTCATTACGATATATCAGATTTATTAAATTACTTTTGGTTGTTTAGAGTGCCTACAGTAATAGAAGGGCCCATCCTTGTAATTGAACAAGGTATTGAATATAAAATTTAAATAATATCTTCCAATAGTAACTGTCATGGTAGATGAACTTTCTAGAACTGGGTTAAGATTTTCTAGTCATGGTCCCAGGAAATACATATACACACACAAAATAGAAAATTCTAACTAGTAAGCTTGCATTCACAACATTCAATATCATTTATCCTCTCACTCTTTAGCAAGAAACTAATCTTTTATATCATACTGTAGAAATTGTTTTAACTTTCAACTAATAAAAACTCTATTCAATGTGTTTGGTGTATAAAAGATTTTTGAGTTGCACCCAAAACAACAACTTATAATAATAATAATAAGACAATTCAAAGTAGTAGGAAAAAATGAACCATCATACCATGATCATAAAGGCAACCTTCAAAGCAGGACCAAAAGCAGATTCCAGATTCAGGTTGTCCTGGAACATGGATGGTAGACTATCAAGAAATGTTTCCACCACACTTCTTGATTCTGATAAGTTGACAAGGAGATCATCTGGCAGGGGAACAAATATGTCATCCAAATCTGAGACCACCAACATCTGTGGTTGAGTCAAGGATGACTGAAAAAGTGTGTCAAAGAAAAATCAGCATAATGTTGAGACAGTTAAGGCAAAGATGAAGATATATTACCAATTAATACTAAAAATACTGCAAACCTTCATGTTATAAAAATGTATTGTGCTGTCAAAAGTCGCAAACCCTATTTGTGTTCGGGGAAAGCCAGGCAGCTCATCTAAGCATGACCTTATTGTTTGGGCCACAACCTGAAATAAGAACAACAACATGAACCATCAATAAAGAATGATGTGAGTTTGGATGACAACTCCAGAATGCACTCGAAGTTGAACTTTATCTTGCATAATAGAAATTAATTTTGGGTTGAACTGGATTTTGGTATCCTCAAATGCAACATACATCTATAAACCGAAATTGACCATAAAAGCATTTGTCAAGTTAAGCCAAAAAAAATTGTTATTTTTTGGCAAATGTCTTTTTCGGCGTATTTGGAATAATTTGACAATTTTGTCCATAACAAATTATAAATATCAAAAAAAAAATTATACAGATACAATCTAAAATAGAACAAAGTGTGCATTTACAATTAAAAAGTATGCAAACAACACTTAATTTATCAAAATTGCTGTTAGCAAATACTCCCAAAAGTAAAGCTTATTCTTCCAAAAATAGTTCTTTAAAATATATTCTACCTGAAAAGATTCTACACAAATAATTCAACCCAACCATGCTCATAAAGGATTAAAATTAAATCCTTCTTTCTTTTTCCCTCCCTTCCTATGTGTGTTTTCACTCATGGTTCGATCCTACCTCTTCTGTTGTGCATGTGGTTTTGTAATGATGGTATTTGGAAACAAGGAATAATTTGCAAGCAGCATTTGTTCACAGTGGTTGCAGGCTGACAAAGTATAGACCGGCCAATTTTACAAAACCCATTTCAGTTCAAACAGTTTGCTTACTGATCCAGTTTCTAACATCTGAATGTTCTGTTACCAGTTCAACATGATGGCCAACTTTTAGAGGTTAATCCAGCCAGTGACATAGCTGGTTCATGGTCATAAGAGTCAGTTCAGTCCAGTCTTCAAATATTGCTCAAAATAATCTACAAGATATAACACCCATTTGTTTAAGATTTTCTAAAAAGTGGGTTATTGCTTAGAGATTTTATAAAAGTAGTTTTTTTTGTATGGTTACAATTATAAAAAAAACTTTTATTTTGAAATGTAATTATGATTTCAGTTTTTTTAGAAGTTACTCAAAACATCTCAAATGATTTCAGTTATTGATTAGATATTTTATAGATTTTGATTTTTTTTTTCAAAGATTTTAACTAACACAATAAAAACTCTTAAAAGTTAATTATCAGTGAAAAAGAAAAGCAGAACAAACCAGCTTGTTTCACGTTTATGTAACATAGATATATGAATTGTTTCCGGATTATAACTTGAACCCCCCCCCCCTTTTTTGGATGCATCTTAAGATCAACAACTCATCCCTACCACCTATGGGTAGTTTAAGACAAGTTTCCTTTGAGGTGGATACTTGAATGCTAAGTACAGCTCGTAATAATCGATCTCCCAGTGAATTCGATGGAAAGCTTAGTGAAAACCAAACCAGATTTTAGTGAGCAGACTTGACTGTCTAAATTCTAAATAAAATCATCTAATACATTATAGCCCAATTTTTAACCAGGGTGGTCCAACAAAATTTATCACATGCATGGATGCACCTGGCTAACTGAGTTTCAACTATACAATTCATACAGAAATACAAACAAATATTGCATATCAATACAATTATTTTCTTAAATCAGACCTGAAATCCCCCCATTTTCTTGTTAAGAAATCCTTAGAACGCATTACAAACTATACACTGCTTCCAAGCTTCAGTTGTGCATAAGCTAGATTTCATATGAACCAAACAATTGTAACTCAAAAGATTGGAATCACCTTCCGTTACATAACAAGTGAAGCATTTACCTACTAATCATTAAAGTGCTACAAGTGAAGTACTTACCTCAATCATTCCACTTCTAACTGCAGATATGGAAACATCAATGAGGAAGAAATATACTGGAGGCATAGGAGGCCGCACCATATACTCTGCTGGGGCAACAAATTCTACAGTACCCTTTGTAAGCTCAGGTCTTTGATTCAAATCAACTCTTCTGCCACTGGCATCTAATTGTGCATGATATTCACTTGGAACTGTATATAAGGCCAATATATTAGCATCTTTAGAAAGATATATCAAACCCATTACTAGTAGAAGATACAGTCAAGACGAACAGAAAACTTTCATTATAGAAGATCTTCACTAAGCATGCAGGTTACCAGTATGGATTGACACCATAGGATTCAACATATTAGCATCTCAAGAAAGATACGTTAAAACAATCACATGGCCTCTGACAGTACAATTCCAGCTTGTAAAAGTAACAAGCCAATTATAAGCATGATTTTATCAAGTGACCCTATGGAATTAAAATGGGAATAATACTGAAATAATGATTTTTTATAACCACTAACCATGTTCTTGTTTCAGAATATGATGGACTGGAGTTTGGTCACTTTCAAATATAATATATTAATAATATCATTAACAGAGCCTCGATTACTTCAATTTTCCTTTTTAACTATGTGCATTACTTCAATTTAGTAAGAACCGTTAAGCATGATCTTATTTCAAAATGTGATGGACTGAAGTTTAGGTAATTTTCCTGAATAGAGATTTAATTACTTTAATTTTCTTCTTTTATTATTTTAAATTTGTGAGGCACATGAATGTCAAAGTACCGTCATTAAGCAAGGAGCAGGTGTTGCACCGGAACTTTCTTCCGCCTTCAGTAAATTTCACATATGGATTTACATATGTGCGGCATTTCCTACAGCGTACGATACCAGTTGCAGCAAAATTAACTATTGGTACCTCTTCCTGAAATTAAAGAAACATCAATGCACAAAGAAAAATAACATGGTCACTATGAGTTATTGCTAATTGAAAAGGATAGTGAGGCACTAACCGCATCAGGAGACTCTGCAAGCGGACATACAACTGCTCCAAGTGGAAGATGCCACCTTGAACATAAGGACTGGGTGTTAGGCATTCCACTGGTTGTGAGTCGTAGATATCTAGGATTGCAGTTCATGGGATACATATCTAAAGACTTTGGCTCCTCATCACCGTCCAATGGCCTTGGCAATTCTTTAGCATCAACGTACGACTCCATGAGTCCAGGACGAGTTTGAATTGATAGCGAATTGAAGTCTTCTGGCAAGCCATTAATGGAACCTATAGGCGGCCCAGCTCCTGGGTATTGCATGGGCTGGACGCCTAACGGAGCAGCCATTGGGGGCTGCGAAACATAACCTTGGTGAGGTTGAAAAGGCGAAGGTGGTACAGGCCCATAGTTTCCTTGATTTGAAGGGTGAGAGGAATGCATAGAGGGAGCTTGCATTTCTGCACCAGCCTGTTTCTGCGGATATCCAGGAAAAGATGGATGAAAGACAGGACGAGGAACATTCGATCCTGGAAATGCAGGAGAGGGAGACCCCATTGAAACAAAAGGCATTTGCGGCTGAGGCTGAAGAGAAGCCGGAAAAGACTGTGTTTGACCCGCAGAAGGTTGAATTGTTGGTTGTCCCATGGGTGGAGCATGCAGGGAAGGTGCTTGACCATTTGAGGAGAACTGTGGCATTGGGAAACGCTGGAGAGGTCCACCAGCAGGTGGGAAATTGGAAGGAGGAGGAGGCACTGAGGGGTCATTAAACTGGCCCAGTGGCGCAGGTCTATAACTAGGCACACCGTGTTGAACCGAAGGTCCATATGATGAAAATGGCGTGGATGCCAAGGGAGGAGCCGGAGTAGTAGGTACAAAAGAAGGAGGCTCTGATCCAACCATAGCACCTGTTGACGAAAATTGTGTCATACCCTGTGCAGCAGCAAAGGGTGGTCTTGAAGGGAAGGTTGGACGAGCAGGGTTTTCTGTCCCCATTGTTTATGCAAATACAATAACAACTATTCAACCACTTATTAAATTCAAACTTTCAATTCATAGCTTTGACTCCATCGTCACCAAGCCTGCCACAGAAAGCAATTTGATACAATCAATGCAAAACAAGCCACTAGGTGTCTGACAAGTCATACAATTCAGTGCAAAACATCTAACACAACTTAGGAAAATGATACGAAACAGAATGAATTATCAAACAGCCACGATGAGAATCGAGTACGAATTGATTGAACTAAGAGACGGATCGAGAAAGGTGAAATTGAAATGGAGATCGCGGAATCACGGAATTAGAGACTCACCGATGCTGATTGGGATAGGGCAAGAGGAGTTAGATCGGAGAGGCATGTGCTGAATCAGAATCAGAATATTCAATCCTCTGCATCACTTGCTCAGTGCTTCTTACACCATCTCCTCCACCCTACCCTGCAATCACACCATTCTCGTTGCTCTCCAATCTCTATACTCTTACAATTCATTCTCTTTGTTCGCTTTATTTGATTCACACAGAACCCCACCAAAATATTACTACTGCAACTTTCGTTTTATATGAAACCTTCTAGCAGAAACTAACAATGGGAAGGAAAATGACTTCACCCAAAATTTACAGACACTTGATGGTTTGTTAGTGGTTGCATTCGTACAAATCTTTTCTTTGACAATCTGAAAAAAAAAAAATTTAAATTTTCACATGCTTTGTCAGAAAAAGAAAATATTATATATATATGTGTGTTATATGAGATTGATTAAATAGAATGATAGACTGAGTTATAAATTCTCTTACTCTAGTTGAGGATAGACCAATTTCAACGGGATTGAATTTAGCATAGATATTGATTAAATTTATTTATTTTTTTACAACAAAAGAAAATGTATAGATATTTATAGATGGTAAAACGGTGTTGTGAAACCTTACTCATTTTAAATATTTATAAGAGAATGAAAAATGTTGGAAAAAATTATATGACTTGTTGAATATATTAATCTTGTGACGTATGCATTATTTTAATATTATATTAATATTACTGAGCAAGAAAACTTCGTAACGAAGTTTTTCTCATGCACAGGAAAAATTTTCTTATATATGAATACTGAAGCGGGGGAGGAGGGAAATAAAAAATTTTCCTCTCATCCTTCTTCTTCTATTGTCTAAATTTCAAGCAACGAGACTCTACTCGTGCAGGATCTGGTGAAACGGGAGAGAACTTGAATTAAGTGGGAAAACTTCGGTAGAAATATCATACCAAGTAAGGGGAAGTTTAATTCATTCAATATATGAAATTGAATTGTTGGGTACTCGTGAATAAGGAATAGGAGTAGAGATATGAAGTATTGAAATGTCTAATTTTGAAGAATGTCTAATTTTGAAGAATTTCGATTTTGATGAACAGTTCATCGTTTGAAAGTTTTTTTTTTAATTATTGAAATTAAGGATGAATTATATACTAAAATTGTTGTTTTTAACTTAAATTGAACATGTTTATGGTTAAATTTTGATTTGGAACTAAATTGGGTGATTGAAACTGAGAAATTTGAAATCTGGATTTCGAAAATGGCGAACTGGAAAATCTGCAAAAGTCGCTCAAGCGAAAAATACATCGATTGAGCGAGGACACCTGGAAAATTTGGAACTCTCGGGTCATGTCTCGCTCAAGCGACCGATGTACTCGCTTGAGCGACGAAGCCTTCAAACAAAGGGGACTCTCGGGTCATGTCTCGCTCAAGCGACCGGTGTACTCGCTTGAGCGACGAAGCCTTCAAACAAAGGGGACTCTCGGGTCATGTCTCGCTCAAGCGACCGGTGTACTCGCTTGAGCGACGAAGCCTTCAAAAAAAGGGGACTCTCGGATTCTGTATCGCTCAAGCGACCGGTGTACTCGCTTGAGCGAGCGAAGGAAGAAGAAAGGGATATGGTGGGAATTTTTTAAAAGATCAAGGGTAAACTAGTCATTTTACATCACAGGGACATAAATGGAATTTTCAAAAATGTCCAAGGGTAAAATAGTCATTTAGGGACATACATGGAATTTTAAGAAAAGATTAAGGGCAAAATAGTAATTTAATGATTTCGAAAATGATTTCGAAAATAGTTTCGGAAATAGTTTCGAAAATAGTTTCGAAAATAGTTTCGGAAATGATTTCGGAAATGATTTTAGGAAAAAATATATATATAAAGAGAGAGAGAATGAAAGTAGAGTGTTGTGACGTGTGTGGGTCAGACTAAGCCTGAGGGCTGATGCCCAGAATCAGTCCTGAGACGTTATATATGAGCCAGAAGGTTGGTGCCAGAATCAGTCAAATACTATTTTTATTGACCCGAATGAGCCGTGAGGACAGGTGGTCCAGAATTTGGCAAATGTGAATAAATTTTGTATGTTTGAATGGTACCGGGGTGGTACAAAGTACATTAGTGTAATAACTATGTCGGAGGATTCCGAATGAGGTCCCGGACTTCACCGATTGGTCGGGTCGGGTAGACTACGAGATCGGGTGGTGAGAAGTCGATGGGGGATGACCGGTGGCGCGCTCGGAGGGGTACTCCAGTATGAGTGATGAAGGGCGCCGATAATCCTACTCGTGTGGAGGGTGGTCAGAATGGTACTGCGGTACCGATCACAATGTGCCCACAGATGATAGCCTCCGAGTTCGGGCATAGTTAGGGTATACTTCCGGAAGGTGTCTTAGTGTGTTGATAATTTCGTAATTGATCATAATATATAATTATTACTTCTATATCTGTTTTATTATATCGAATGATTTAATACTTACCCCTATTTTTCCATGTGGATGGCATCTGCGATGATCACTTTTATGTGGGAGCAGATCAGGAGTTGAGAGATGGTGATGTGACTACTTGGACAACAGGGATAATTCAGTGGGATAACTTCGAGGGAGTTACTTTTACATATATAATATATAAATAAATTATGTTACTATATTTTGAAGTTCGTTAGTGAACCTGGAATTTCAATATATGTTAAAATTTCGATAATATAATGTAAAATAGATGTTGTTATTTACTTGTTTACTACTTTGCGAAAACATCATTATTATAGTAGCGATTTTTAAGTTCGTTACAAATCTACTCCATCTTTATTCAATTTGAGAAAAGTTTGACGTTGGATTTACACATTCAATGAGAAATAGTCAAACTTGTAGGGAATAATCGTGGGAATACTTGTGAACTATAAATAGTGATGTAAATTATACAATTTTACTTAAGATGTTTTTGTTTAGATAAGGATGGCAAATACCATGTTTTGTCTTGTAAAAAATATATGGAATGGACTTTCCACTCCAGCCATGAGCCATAAATCTTAAAATTGATGGATTAGATTGTTATTAATTTATATATATATATATATATATATATATATATATATTAATATATCTTTAATTATATGAATATTTTTAAGTTTTTATTTATTAATTAATATTTTTATTAAAATTTTAAAAAATATATTATATTTATATATTAAAATAATTAATTATAATTAATAAAATTAATTTAATTAATTATTTTTATAATTTAAATTATAATATATATACATATTTCAATAATATAAATAAATAATATTTTTAATTATAATTTTTTAATTTTAATTTTAATTTTAATATATAAATTTTTTTGGTAGGAAATTAATTTATTTTATTTTGTTCTTAAACCATCAAATTAATAGATTAGACATAATGAATTAAAACGGATAAGTAAATTAAAACTATTAACCCATTTTATTATTGATGAGATGAGTTGATAACTCAAACCTAATTTGTTTTATAATGTTCTAACAAGTGAACTAAACAAAAGATAAAGGTGACTATATATAAAAAATAAATAAACTAAGTTTTTTTTTCTCAAATAAAAAAATTGTAGATTTCAATAATAAAAGTGATAGAATCTCTTTGTACTCTTAAAAAAATTATAAAAAATAAACAACTCACATAATTAAAAATATAAAATAAAAAAGTTATTACATTTTTCACTACTTTTTTTATTCACCTAATTTTTTTTTAAATTTTAATGTTTTTTCACCTGTTATCATTATGTAATTCAAACAAAAAGATTCTAACATCTTACCTGAGTATCTTCTAACTTTTATTTTCTTTTTTTAATTTACTCGTGACAGAATCAATTTATTAAAATATTTTATTTCTTAATCTACTCGTGAAAGAATAACTTATTAGTTAAAATATATTAAATCTTCAACTCTACAATATGATTTCAAGGGATGTAGAGTATTATTTTCAAATTTGTTTTATTATGCAATTTTCTTTTGAGCAATTCAATTTGAATGTGTAGATTTTAATTATATGATTTAAATTATGTTTGACCAATTTTAACATTTTTTTACCAAATTAGAATGAAGTGTTAAATTATAAACAATATGTTAGAATACATGAGTTTAATGTTATTTACCAAAATAGTCACTACACACTTCATTTTTCATGAGTAAAAGTAATGGAGTTTACGAATTACATTATAATTGCTTGAATTACAAAAATATATAATAAATAAAAATTTAGATAATTGTAAAAAACATTGTTAGTGTTTATTGGTTTATTTAAAATTATTTAAGAATTATAAACATGTGGTCCCGTAGCTCAGTTGGTTAGAGCGTTGGTCTTATGAGCCGAAGGTCGCGGGTTCGAGCCCCGCCGGGACCATTAGTTTTTTAAAATATTCATTCATTTTAGCCATTTTGCTCTTGGAAACCTATGGACTCTGAGTTGGGTAGATGCTAAATCTGGGAAGACCGTACAAGAACTTGGCAATGTATTTAACTCCTCTGTCAATGTCCAGAGATTTATAAGGACCCTGACCCTTATTTCAACCCCAACTTGGTTAGTTGGGAAATTCATCAATTCCCAACTATACTAATAAATGATCTTAAAATTCTATGTCGTGCTTCACCAGCCACAGTGAATTTTACACCAAAGTGTGTTCTACTTAGAAGATGTTAAAAATGATAGGTAAAAACTTTTCTTTTGTGCCACTTAAATTCCACTACTCAATTATGCTTAACAGAGCTATTTAATATTAGGTAAAAAAACATTAACATGCCTTCACTTGATGGTAAAATTATAAACAACAAAAGCAATTTTCTTTTTCGAGATTAAAAAAATTAGGTAAAATCATTGTAGAGAAATACTATACTATTGTCTGAAAACTACAAGTTTAGTAAGGACAAAAGGATTGGGACTATAAAAGGGGAGAGAAATGTGAGCATTGCCATCGTCCATACATGCCTAAGTGTTCTGAAGAAGAGAGTGAGGATATTAAAAAAATGGAGAAAGTGACCAAGGTGTTGTTGGTGATGTTGGCCATGGTGGTGTTGCTGCATGCTTGGGATGTGGAAGGAGGAAGATTACTTAAGGAGGAGGAGAATGTGGATCAGCCCCAGAACTTCATCGGACCCGGAGGCCTTGGAGGGATATTTCCGAGCCCAAGCCCAGGTTTCAGCTTCACCGGTGTGGGCTTTGGCCCAAACGGGTTTTGCACTTTCCCTGGTGGCTGTACCCCTACTTTGCCCACTCTCCCCGGAGGTGGTGTGGGGTCAGTACCTGTGCCACCACATGCATAGGAAAATGTGAGAGTGTTGTTGGTATTGGTAGAAGATTATGTATTACAAAATGCCATTGCTAAGTAGTATAAAGTAATGTAAAAGTTGTTTACTTCTCTATGTATGAGTCTCTTAGGTCTTGTTATGGTCTCATAGAGTGGGTGTGATTTCATGTCTTTCTTTCTATTTGTTTAGTCTTATTACTAATATCAGAGTGTAGTGTAGCTTCTTGCATGCCACAGTTTATTTATATAAAGATTATGCTTTGCTGCGTCATAGCAAGTGTGACAAAAAACAAAATACATACATTGCTTTCGTTGAGAGTCGAACTCAAGACCTCCCGCTTACTAAACGGGTGCTCTAACCAACTGAGCTACGAAAGCTCCTTGAGATAAAGTTTAAGTTTTACATAAATTACTCGTTGTTAGTTGTGATTTCAAGAAAAAGTATTGCATCACAATACATTACTCACAAAATAGGAAATAGGGCTTCACATTAATTAAGAAACATTTATTAATTTTACCATTAACCAAATTCTGTCCCAAAAAAATTTAATGATTATTTTTATTAAAATCTCTATTCTCTTCTATAATTTTTTTTAATTTCCATATCTATGTTTTGAAATTATTGTCTGTTATAGTTTTATTTTTAAAAATACCTGTTAATTTATATAATTACTTAATAATTATAGTTAAATAAAATTATTGAGATAAAAAAAACAAATATATGAATAATAAGATTATATTGAGATAATTTTCTCTTAAATATTTTTAAAAAAGCAGAACAAATTTCTCCATAAACTTCTAAAATTAGTTTATGTATAAATTAATATACAAAAACTTTTTCTCATAATATTTTTTAATTTATATATAAGAAATTTTAGTTTATAAAAAAATAATTCCTTTTTATTAAGATTTTTAGAATAAAATATTGGAATAAACAACTATTTTACTTTTTTTACGAAATTTTTTAAAGACTCTACTATTAGCCCATAATAGACTTATTATATTAAAGGTATTGTTCGCTTTAATTTTTGTCTTTTATAATTTTGTTTTTAAAGAATACTAAGTGAATTAGGAGAAGAAAATATATAAATTACTATTAAACTAAATTCTTAAATTATGTGGACTCTTGAATGTACAACAAAATTTATTATTCTAGTTTTGAGAATGATGTTCCAAGTTTGTATTTGTTTTATTTGAATCAGCCACACATTTTAGCATGAAGTATCTAAATTATATATTTTCAATCTACCACTTGGTTTGCCTCTTGTAGCTTGAAACTAGAGGAGAATGGATACCTTCATGTTCATATATATGATGCAGTGTTTGATGCCTCTTGGAGCAAGAGGCTGAAAGCAAGATTGCCTATGAGACGTGCACCAAGACTAACTTGGTCTTGGTATTTGGAGAGATCACCACAAAAGCTAACATATAGACTGAGAATTGTGAGTGATGCTTGTCGTTCTATAGGATTTCTATATTGATGCTGACAACTGCAAGGTATTGGTGTACCTTGAGCAACAAAGTCCTGACATAGCTCTGGGGTCCATGGCCACCTCACCAAGCGACCAGAACTCATAGGAGCTGGTGATCAGGGTTACATTTTTGGCTATGCCACAGATGAAACAGCTCAGCTTATGCCTCTCAGTCATGTCCTTACAACCAATCTCAGTCATGTCCTTACAACCAAGAATGGTGCCCGGGTCACCGAAGAGTGCGAGAATGAGACCAGTCTTTGGTTGAGACCTGATGGAAAAACTCATGTCACTGTTGAATATGCTAATGATAATGGTGCTATATGGCCCGGTATGTGTCCAAACTGTTTCGTATTTACTTGGCATGATGAAACTGTTACTAATGATGAGATTGTTGCAGACCTGAAAGAGCATGTTATTAAGCCTCTTGTTCCTGCCACCTGGTTTAGGAGTCAATTTTCCATCTCAATCCATCTAGTCGTTTTGTGATTGGTGGTTCTCATGGCGATGCAGGTCTCACATGGCGCACTATCATTTTTGACACATGGTGGTTGGGGAGCTCATGAAGGACCCTACCAAGATGGATAATAGTGGAGCCTATTTTGCTAGACTGCCAAGAGTATTATGGCTGAAGGACTAACCAAAAGGTGCCCTGTGCATACATCATATGCAATTGGTGTTGCTAAGCCATTATCAGTGCTTGTTGACATTTTTGGCACATGAAAGATTGATGTTAGGGACATTTTGAGGCTTGTGAATGTTGGTCAGGAATGATTTCCTCTAGTTTGGAAGAGATGACCCGGACTGCACATGGCAAGCGAAGCGGGAATAGCAACATGAATAAAGATGATTGCCAAGAAAATGTTTATATCTCTAGCTGCTTTCATGCCTATCCGTGGTGTTTTTGCCTTTGCTTTTGTATCTTAAAAATATATATACATTATCTTTTCTCTCCATCTCAAGTGTTTGTAAGGTCTTTCTCACACGAAAGCATATGTTGAGTAGGGTAAATGAACATACAAAGGCATCAGTATACTGTTGGAAGTTAATGTTCGAGAATATGTTCTTTACGATCGCTACTCATTAACTAAAATGCTAGTATATTCACATGTCACAATGGCTTAATTGTTTCATTCCTTACCTAGATTTTGTAAACAGTCCAACAATAATAACAATAAAAAGTTTACGATTCAACGTGCAACCTTAATATATAATACTCAACAAAGGGACTACAAGATCAAGGAATTTTTCCGTAGCTATTGCAGTGTGAAACGAATGATCTCAGCAAAAAAAATCGCCAGAAGGTACAGCCATGAACTGGTTTATTTTACTTGGCAAGGCCAACAAATTTATCAAATAAATCTAGGAAAGCTATCAGATTCTGTACATGCCCCCAAATAATTGGGTTCTTATAAATAACACCCACCTTCATACACAAACAATATATATCCTTCTAGAACAAATACCTATTCTTCTACAACAAAAGAAAGGAAAGGAAAACACAAAATTAATATTATCCCCTGCTCAGCCTCTGCCATGCCCATCTTGGGTAGGCAAATCCAAGAATCTAACCAGACAAAAATAAAATAAATTCACTCACTTTATACACCCCACTGATCCTAAAAATGAATCTCATTCTCTTAGGTCATGCCTGCTGTTACCTTCCACTTGCTGATCTAGAACCCTGGATCTCACTCCCATCCGTGTCAGAACTATCTTTATGGGATTCAATGTCTGAGTTAACCCCCTGATTTCTTCGATGCCTACGGTCCTGAGAATCCAGAAAATGAAATAAATCAAATGTCAACCTAAAATCTTCTAGTAAAACTATCTGCCCCTTAAGTATGGGAATTATGTATCCATTTATGTCATAGTAAGAAATGAAATGTTGATACTGAGTGATCTATATCCTGAAGTAGGTCCAGCCAGCTTGACTTAAGATTATTCAGAGGCCAAAAATGTTTTTGAAGAAAAAAACAAAGCTTTGAGAAAAGGATGATGTTAATAATGACAGCATAACAAACCTCTCTAGCTAAAGGGTACTCCTCTGACTCGAGCATACGCACAACTTGACCCATCTTGGGTCTTTTCTCTGAATCTGGATCTACACATCTCAAAGCAGTTAAGAGCGCCCGTTTCAAAGCCCTTGTAGATGGCTTCACCTCAATGTTTGGGTCCACCACTTCTTCTGATCGCCTGTTTCCAACCATCATCTTAAGCCAATCAACCATATTAACCTGAGAGCATTGTAGTTTATCGTAAATGTTAGTCAAAATTCTTTCATTAGAATTTGTCATAACAAACTGATGAAGAAATAAGAAAACTGAGAAGAATAGAACATCTGAAATTTTTGTTGTAAAAAATCAAGCACGAGATCCTCGAGAGGTATATACGCTGCCCTTTGCATAAAACTAAACAAAAAATAAACATGGTACATCTCAAGCTGATAACGTTGCATAACCCCTAATTTCTTTTTATCAGCATTACAACCCTCATTTAAATCCCAAAGTAACTCCAAATCTCTATTTCCCATGTGGAAGCATACTAAATTCAGCATCACAGTCGTAAACCATACTACAGCAGCAACTGTAATTGTATTCACATTATAAATGTGAACAGGAAGAAGAATGAATAAGAAATATAGAACTCATTTATCAATATTCCAACAGTCAGGTCCAAGTGAAAAAAAAGGAATGAGGACAGCTGACAAGAAGGTTAAATTAATCTGTATGATCATGTACATCTTGTGGATCCTTGTAGTTATTATTGTTACAATAACTTTTTCGTTGGGTCAATGTAGCAGTGATCTACCAAAAAACTAGATTTATGGATAGCAGTGAAAAGGTTTTTGAAACTCTAGGGACCTACTTAATTCACAAAAACTACAGGTTTAGCATCCACACAAAAATTATTGCAGGTGCCCAGCTGGAGTTCATATGTATCATAGCTAAAATGGATGTGATCAAGCAGTCTAACTATATATCCTAAATTTTAGCCACCGATGTATGATGCCATATAAAGGGCAGGGTAACTAGTTTGGGAGATTGGATCGAAGGACCCCTAGTTGCACTAGATAAATTACCAGCATTCTTGAGAATTTTAAAATTTTTCATTGATTGGTGCTTACAAGGTCAATATTAACTCCTCTAGCTGTTTTATGTTGGTCACTGAATTTTTCACCATAATGACCCATTATTTTCTTTTCTTATAGTATTGGATAAAATAATTATAGAGATATTTCATAAAATAGTTATGCATCAGACCCTCAAAACAGAACTGTACAAGCTTACATTATATGGAAAATTTAGAACCGAGTGGGTAAAACTAGGTTCAACTTTAAATGTGTCTAACTAGACCCATTTAGGAATCAGAATAATTTTATCCTTAAGTTGCCTATAATATGGTAGGAGAAATGCAATATACTCTTTGGCGGTCTATAATTGGGTGAGGTGCACATGAAAATTTACCCAATAATAAAGGAAGTGTTAAAAAAAGAGTAAAGGAGTATATTGCTAACATTTTTCAATAAGATAAAGTAAATGTTACATGTCTAAAAACATATGTTGAGATAATAGGCCTCAAAATTTAGATTCATGTGTTGCAATTAACAACTAATGTCAAGACACACAGTTTTTTGGATGAATAAGTCAAAAACTCAAAAGCTAATGCTTCATGATTATTTGGTGAATTTAATGAATTATTAACAATAACTCATACTTCAAAATGGATTTTCTTCCAACATTAAAGTTCACTCACTTCCTGTGCGGGGCGACCATAGTCCACTGGATCTCTTCCAGTAATTGCTTCCAATAGCACAACACCAAAGCTATAAACATCACTTTTTTCATTTAGAAGACCAGTATTTGCATATTCAGGAGCCACATATCTGTCAATTTATGGAGCAAAAGAAAGAGAGAATATATATAAGGATCCAACTCATCAAAGTTCATCAGCATATTGAGTGTGGAAAGAGGACATAGCTCTATAGTGAAGAGCACAAAAATACAGACCCAAAGGTTCCCATAACTCGTGTTGCAACATGACTCTTCCCAGAACCCAGTAACTTGGCCAGGCCAAAATCAGAAACCTTGGCATTAAAGTCATCATCAATTAATATGTTGCTTGACTTGATATCTCGGTGTACCACCTTTGGCTCAATTGCTTCATGCAAATATGCAAGCCTGAAACAAATATGTTGCTCTAAATTAGGACTAAGAGATAAATCTAAGAATGAGGACTACAAAAGCCTGAAGAAGCATAGACACACCAACTCACCCCTTAGCCGTGCCAAGAACAATCTTGATGCGTGCTTCCCAGGTAAGATATCCATGATGCCGCATAGCTCCATGAAGCCATTGCTCTAAGTTTCCATTACTGACGTATTCATAGACTAACATCCTGAAATATATCGTATTCAGGAGAAAATATAATTAAGACAACATGCTCAAATTGTTGTTTTGAACTTGAGACCAACCTCACTACCAGATAATTGGTTCATGAATATGCACCTCATAGGGGTATATTCATAATTTTATGATTCCGGCAATTATAATTCAATTCCTCTAAGAAAGCTATTGAGATTATACATGTTGAGACTGTAATGTAATTGGTACCTGTGAGTCCCCTCCATGCAGTACCCCAAAAGTCGAACCAAATTTTTATGTCGGACATGGCCAATAGCTTCAACTTCCACTCTAAATTCTTTCTCAGCTTGACCACTACAGAAAAGGGGGAAAAGAAAGTAGTCAAATTAGGGTACAAGAATGAGGATTAAAAACAGAACACTAAGAATAAATTCAAAGCCTTAGACATTATGCTGGAACTAACATGTTATTGAGTATCTTTTTAACTGCCACTGGAGTCCCATTTATCAACTGTCCCCGGTAAACAACTCCATACCCACCCTCACCAATTACATTTTCTTTCGAAAAACGGTTTGTGGCAAGTTCAAGATCCCTCAGAGTAAACCAGTGGCCCCAACCCAAGTGAGAGAATTCTGGAAGGCCAGAGAGAGGTGAAGGAGCTGTTACAGGGTATGAAGAAGAGGGCATGTACATTCCAACCGAGCCAGAGCTTATTTCCTCCCCTGATTGTGACCCTCCACCATCTTTCTCCAAGTAATGAAATGAATCCGAGTGACTGCCACTATCCCCGTGTTTCTTCTTCCCAACACCTAAATGAAGCATAACTTTGTCTGATTCCTTGTCACTGGATTTATCATGAATTGTAAGAAGTATTCCTTCACGAGGAACAAATCCGTTCGCCGGCACTTGCTCAACCCGCACTTCCGTGATTTCCTTTGAGATAGTAGGTATGTGATTAACAGGAACCCTGTCCCTGGCTTTTCTAGATTTCTTCCTTGAAGTAAGCCAAAATGAGAGCACACAGAGGATGACAATAATAAACAATCCAACTGCAATTCCAATTACTTCCCAAACCTTAAGATCAAAAACAGGAGTTTTCACGGACAATTCTGCTTTAAGATCAGCACCCATCTCTTTAGAACCCCTGAAGCCTACTATATATATGTAATGATAGAAGAGATAGGCTGCATTACAACCCAAAAATCACATCAATATTCAAATTGTCGATGCATTATACAATTGACACTAAGGAATATGAACAAGTATCTGTTACCACTACACTACGAAGCAAAAAGCGAATAGAATATTCACCACACATAAACCAGTCTCGATTGGTTGATAATACAAAAGCGTGAGCATTTCAGAACAACTAGCATACACAAACAACAATAAAAAACAAAGAAAGGAACCCTAAAAGTAAAGACACAGACTTCAAAGCATTACCTATCAACGTGGATTGCGGAGCTAGATTGACAAGTACAAGCACCACAAACCCCAGATCACCACATCTCAAAAAAGGAACACCAAACAGAAAAAGGTCAGATCTTTGACTATTATACAACCCAAAAAAGATGGAACACTGACAACCCAGTTGTGAAAAGGAGATGAAAATTGAAAAGCCTTAGTGGGATGGGGAAATGTGAGGGAAAATCTAAGTAGTGTTGAGAATGAGAGTGGTGGGTAGGAGTGATAAGAAAAAAGGGTGGAGTTATGAGTGAGAGAGAATAGATGCGTTAGAAGGGATACACATAGAGACACATCCAATTCGAAATTTCCAGTGCAGTAAAAGAAAGAGTAGAGAAGAGAAGATAAACATGCAAGGCAATGTGATTGTGATGTATCTGTAAAGTCAGTCCTCTTGCGATGGATTGGATATTCTTATGGCATCGGTTATGAACATCACATTACCAACGAATACTATCAAAATTTGAATTCACCCTTCACAATTTCCATTTTTATTCTCTTTTCATTCTTCCATTTGACTTCATCGTTAGCTCTTATTTACTCCTCTCCCCTTTCAACCCTGCTGCGTGACAGATACTCACTCCCTCCCTCGTAAATTACTGTCAACACTTATTCAGACATTGTTATTGTCTTTTTTTTACTAAATTTATTGTCTAAATAAATATTGCATAATTCATTTTACATATGCACACTATTAAATTATTATTATTATTATCAAATATAGTTTTGAATGACATTTATGGAAAATTTTAATTTAAAATAAACTGGCATAATAATGATATTTATGGTACTTTAATCTAAAATAATAATAATCATTATTTTCTTTTAATGAAAGATAACCACGATTCCGGAAAGTTGTTTTGAATTTTATTTGTTTATCTTATTTAAAGTTGTTAAACATTAATGAAAAATAATTCTGATCGTCATTATTATTTAGAGTTATCATGTTCAAAACTATATAAAACTTTTATAATTGATAAAATGATTGATTAAATTGGAACGATGTGTAATAATTCATTCATTATTGACATTGTTGAACTTGTGTAAAATAGTTATTCAATTGTTATTAAAAAATTTGATGGATGGCTTATTTATTTGCAAAGATGGAAATGGGGGAGGGAGGATAAATATTTGCAATATTATGAACTATTTTCTGTTATGAAAAATAGAGATTGAGAAAATAAAACTAAATTATGAGTTTAATTTCATAATTCATTGTCAAACTGTATATAATAGAAAATCATTATTTTTGAAGATCAAAATCATTAACTGTTTTTTTAAATAGATTAACATAAAAATATGTTGGAAGGAAATTGTCCCTAATGCAACATGAAGAATACGTATCAAAGTTATAAAAAGTAATAATGAATTAACATTCTTTTTTATTTTATTTTTCTTTTATATTTCCTTCAAATTAAACACCTCTAAAATTCACCATAATTTTCCTTTTCTTAATTCTCTTTTCTGTACTTTTTTATGTATCTATTACCATAAAATCAAAGCTACATTAAATATATATTCATTTAGATTCTTCATATAAAAAAATATACCATAAGAGTATTAAAGTATTGTGAATTATATAATTACTTATTGATACTTTTCTATTTATGAATATCCTTATCACATATTTTATATGTTTTTTTTATAGTATATGTGATTAGATACAATAATAAATCAATAACTTATTACAAATGTATAACTCACTCGCGTTATTATATTGTACATTTTAGCTTAGTTATTAAATAACGACATAAATATCTTTGGTTCCTATATTTTTTTTTCAAAATTCCTATTAAGTTTTTTTTTAAGTATATATATAATTTACTGACCTATTTTTTGAAAATTTATAATTTTAATTATTTTATAATTAAATTAATATTTAATCATATTTTTCACTGTCACAAAAATTATATAAAAACTAAAATCATAAACTATATCATTATTTATATATAATTTTAATATTTAATAACAAATTAACAAAATAACTTTTTTTAATTAAAACTAATGAATCAACTTTAAAATATATATATATAAAAACACATAACAAATATATTTGTCTTTCAAAACAAGCTAAAGTCTATTTAATTATTATTAATCACACTTTACTATAATATCTTTAAAAAAACACATATATGGTATAACTTCATTTTTTAAATAAAATTTATATTTATTTTCTTATTTAAACAAAGGAGGTCTTATCATAATTTAAATTAATTATTACAAATTAGTTTTTTCTATATATGTTTTTAACTTACACTAAATTTTTCTTTAAATTAAAATAAAAATTAAACATCACTTTTTAAAAGGAAGGTCTAAGACAACAAAAAATTGACTTAAACCAATCAGTTTAGATTTTACAACTGTTTTAAAAATTGAGTTGGATGAGCGTTTTTTTATTTAAATCCAAAGTTTTTTTTTCTTTTTTTACATATATATAGGTCATTCATCTATTAGTATAAAGCAAATGGGTGTAAATTAACAATCCTGGTTCAATTGAGAATCCGATTAAAAATGGGTCAGTTGGTTATAAATAATTAAAGTTTAATTAAATTAGCATAAAATTGAAAAAAAATCGGTTATATTTTAGATTGAATTGATTTTAGTAAAATAAAACTAAAATCAATTTTTTTTAAAGGATATAATATATTTTAATTTTTATTATATATATTTAGTAGGTTAATTTTAAATAATAGTTATTTTATTTTATTTTAATAATTATTTATTTTTTATTCTATTATATTGTATATTTATAACAATTTAAGGTATTTATGATAGTAATATATTATTTCTCTCATTTTATACAAAATATTATAATTAATAATTTATTATATATTTATTGTATTATATAAATATTATTTTATTAAATTGAGGTGATCTTAATTAAATTGAACTTTTATATTCTGCACTGGTCCGTTTTTTAAAATATTGGATTTTAAATTTAAGAAAAAACGTTTAGATTTATTTGGGAGAAAAAAATTATTATTTAATTTATTTTTAGAATCAAAATATATAATTAAAAATTGTTCTGTCGGATATTTAAGTAAAATTATTAAAGTCAATTATGATGTAATGTTTCTATAATTATTATATTAAAACATATTTAACTATTTTAAAGAAGCACTGTCGTATCCTATATTTTTTTTTTTACAAAACAACTTAAATATAATGTTTCATCTCTTTTTTCTCAACAACTTATTATTAAGATTGATTACCTCAAATATCATCTACTTGTACGTAGTAATACGTTGATTGGAGTTCAGATTAACACACCACACAAATCAAATTAGAGTAAGTTAGTGATAAAAAAATTTATTCATCTGATTATCACAAAATATTCTCAATATTCATATTTGAATAAATATATCAAACACCACAATATACAATAATATAAAGTGTTTAATATCTCATCATGTAATCTACATCTCATGTCATCATACTCTAACATTCACAATCATAAAATTTGACTCTACTTCCCAAATACTCTTATGCATTGAATTTAAACCTAGAAAGATTTGTACTTATCACACTACCTTTTCTAACTGGATATGTGCAACATATAGGTACATAATTTAAACATATTCTCTCACGTGACAAAATAAATTTTTATAAGTTGTGAGATACAGTTCTTTCTCACACCACAAACTAAGTCATAAAGATCTTTTTCAACTCTCACTAATATTTTTCTCTACATGTGAATCCAATATCAATAGAATTACGATATCTTTATCAAAATCTCAAATTCAATACATTACTTACATTTCAATATAGTATTTTCTCTTTAAATATTATTATGTTAACTTTCATTAATTATATAACATACATATAAGAGTATCACACGATATTTCTCACATTATAATAATATCTCTATATATATATTAACATTCAACATACATTATTTCGTATTAAACACAAGTATTTTATTATCCTAAGTCATGTATATATCATTTCTCATATTTTAATAAAGATAAATTTGTAAAATTTGACCTACGCTTATTTATTTTATTATACATTTTTATACAAATATATTTTTTTTACTCATTTTTATTTTATTAGATTCTTTATTTCTAGTACTTCAATTTTAATACATAAAACATTAAGTTTAGAGTTTTGAACTATTGTTTTATGTTTTTTAGAAGTTCATACAAAAAAAAAATCCTACGTTTAAATAAAAAATACACCTAAAAATCAATTTATTTTATGAAAATTTTTCGTTGAATTTTTTTTTCTTAAATGAAACTCACTCTTATTTGAACATAAATTTCTTACCTACACAATAAAAAACTCGTTATACTTAAATTTTGTAATTAGTTTACGTTTTAATTATATAAAATTTGTATTCTGTTAAGCGCTGACAAGCAAAAATAAATCATCATACAAAAAAATTAATTGAATATTCATATTTAAGAAATCAAATATTCATAATTTTTTTCTATTTTACAAGTATTGATTATTCTTATAATCTACGTCTCATAAAAATGAATAACTTATTTTTAGGAAGAAAAAAAAAGCTTATTACAATTAAATAATTCTCATTTTATTTGACGATAAAAAAAAAATCAAAGTTGGACATAAAAATATTAATAAAATACTTTTTTAAAAATGCAAATATAAAAAAAGATAAAAACAAATAACAAGACAGAGATAGAGATAGTTAGTGAATAAAAACA